GCATACCTGCATGTCGCCAACAGATCCCCTCTGAGTCTCCTCTTCTCCAGGCTGAAGAGACCCAGTTCCCTCAGTCTCGCCTCATACAGCTTCCCCTGCAAACCGGCCACCAACCTTGCGGCCCTTTGCTGCACTGACTCCAACCTGGCTATATCCTTCCTGTAATGAGGGACCCAAAACTGAGCACAATACTCCAGTTGTGGGCGCACCAGAGTCGTATGGAGTGGTAGTAATACCTCCCTCGATCTAGAAGCCACACTTCTGGCTATGCAACCAAGGGTGGTGTTCACCCTCTTGACCACCGCATCACACGGCTGGCTCATGTTCAGCCTGCAGTCAACCGGCACCCCGAGGTCCCTTTCACAAGTGCTGCTCTCCAGCCACTTGTCCCCTGACCTGTACTTATGACACCTATTCCGATGCCCCAAGTGCAAGACCTTGCACTTATCCACGTTGAACGCCATCCTGTTGTCTCCTGCCCACTTCCATAGTCTGTCCAGATCCTTTTGGATCTGGAGTACCTGCTCCTCAGTTCTGGCCACTGCTCCAGTTTTAGTGTTGTCTGTGAATTTGATCAGCAGACTGTTCACCCCTTCTCCCATGTCATTGATGAAAAGATTAAGCAGGATCGGCCCCAGGACAAAACCCTGGGGGACCCCGCTTGTCACTGGCCGCCATCCTGATGATTCCCCACTAATGGTTACCTTCTGCTTTCGGTCAGTCAACCGTGCCCTAATCCACCGGACAGTGCTTTGGTGTATCCCAAAACTCCTCAGTTTCTCCACCAGGATATCATGGGGCACTTTGTCAAAGGCCTTGCTGAAATCCAGGTAAGCCACATCCACTGCATCCCCCCCATCCAGCCATCTCGAAACCTTGTCAGACAAGGTTTGTCTGGCAGGACCTGTTTTTGCGGAAGCCGTGTTGTGTGGCTGCCAGCCTCCCTTCCCTATCTAGCATCGCTAGATCTCTCTCTATTATGAGCCTTTCCATTGTTTTTCCTACACTGGACGTAAGACTAACAGGTCTGTAATTCCCCATGTCCCTTCTACTACCCTTTTTGAAAATTGGGACCACTGACGCCACCCTCCAGTCCTCTGGAACGTCACCCATTCTCCACGAGGTCTCAAAAATGGAGGCCAGCGGGTGTGAGAGAACCCCTGCCAACTCTCTAAGTACTCTCGGGTGTAACCCGTCAGGGCCTGGTGCCTTTGTAATGTCCAATGCCCTGAGGAGCCCCTCGACTTTAAGGGGGGGTGACTCTAATCTGTGCCCCTAAGTTCCCAGCCTCACCTAATCTCCTATGCGGATATCCCCCGTCCTGCTTTGGGGAGAACACAGAGGCAAAATAGTCATTTAGCATCTGTGCCTGTTCCCTCGCATCAGTCACTGGATCCCCTTCCTCCTTATTTAGTGGTCCCACCACTTGTCTCCCTTCGTCTTCCTATTTACATGCCGAAAGAAGCCCTTTTTGTTGCTCTTTTTATTCTTGGCAAGTCAGGCTCAACTTCCAGGAAGCCAGGGTCCGGCTGGGCTTCCGAAAAACCTCCTGACTAACTGTTAGAGCGCAGTAGCATTGGTACCCTTTCCCAGGGTGGGGGAGGCTCTCCCACTCTGCGGGCATCCGGGAAGGAGCTGGGCAGCCGTCTGAGATGCTTTGCCTGGAGCCCTGCCTGGATCCTACCCTCCGGCTTCTGTTCCTTCACCAGTCAGTGAACTGTAAGAGACCCTCCTCTTTTATTCCACGGCTGCTTATTTTGCCAGGAGCCTTTATTGGGAGTCTTGGTCAACCCAAGTGAGAGGAATAAAACTGCAAAACCAGAACAGGCTGACCTGCTACCCCAGGGGGCAGTTTGTCAGGAAATATGGGAAATGGCAATGGGTTGGTGCCTTGAGTTGAGGTTTCCTTGCTGTTTGCTTTTTGCAATCCTTTGTTTTAATTGTGCTGCCAGTGTTTTGCTTAGTGGGTGGGTAGGCCTCTTGTTCTCTTTCAATTTCATTTGGAGACCTGAATTGTGAGCTTCTTGGACTTGTTTCTGCCTGCAAAGCACCCCTGGGTCTGTGATGGCTGAAAGACAGACCCGAAATAGAGCCGGGAAGGGAAGGAGGACAGAATTACCCTTTCCCCGGAGTCTGACATGCAACGCACTCACCTCTCCCGGGAGAACTTGAAGGCATCATCCACCAGCTGCTTGGCTTCACTGACACAGCTTAAGAGGTCCAAGGCAGTGGCTGGCTCAGAGGGGGCTGATTCAAAAGAGAGCGGGCTGGGTCACAGGTGGCGGTTCAATTTTACTGCCAGGGTCTCCCTTTCTTTCCCAGCCTTCCGGGGGGATTCCTCGTGATGGCCTTCAGCAGCATCTGGGCAAGTCTTACAAAGCCAGTAGCAGAATTTACACTCCCCGTGACCCCATCCCCCTGCCTTAAACTCGCCCAGCCTGTCCACCAGCGCTGGCAGCGCCTCCTTCATGGCCGACCAAGAGCCGGAATGGGACCGGCACCGCGCCTGCTCCTAAAAACGGCTTTTCCGATCACGTTGGGAATGTCGTTAATGCGCCCTTGGTGACAGGGTGACCTGGAAGTTGGCTGGGGCTTCGGTCCCTCCCATGTGCCACCCTTTGGCTGCACCGGGGCTGGGAAGGGCATTCTCCGCCGCTGGGACTTGCCTCCCCCTCCCAGCCATAGAACGGCGCGCCCTCCAAGACCGGCCCAGCCCCCCCCCCCCCCCCGAGTGACCATGCAGCCTGCTGGCAAGCCGGAGCGAGCGCCCCAGAAATGCAGTCTGCACACACGCTTCTAGACTTCCTTTCCGTGGCTTCCTTTCCTTCCTCCCACCAGAGATACGATGGCCTTGAAGGAAGCAAGGCAGACGGGGATTTGTCCTGTTACCTTCCAGGGAAGGTTTGGATGCCAGCAAAAGGCCCAAAGCCAGCAGGCAGCTCAAGAATGCAAGGCTTCTCTCCATCTCTGAAAAGAAAAGGCAGGAAGGGGTCTGCGGTCAGCAGGGCTGCAAGCAGGGGGGACAGAAGGAAACTATTTTAACCCCCTGAAAACCTATCAGCCCTGCAGCGCACGGATTGCATAACCCCCATCCCTGCATCTCCTCGAAGGAAGAGAGCAAAGCCCTCTGCAAGCCTCTCCAGCCGTGTTTACTGAGCTCGGGGACCAGCCGCCTCCAGGCAGAGCTTCAAGGGGCCTTTGCAGAACCTGCGCTTCCAGGATCAAAGCACGGTGCAGGGCTTCAGTGCGGCCCCCTGCCAGGCAGCCTCAGGTGCTGTGCTTGCGATAAATCGATAAATCGGATTCCAGTGCTTGTTTCCAGTCTCATGTCTTTGGAGAAGGACCTGAGCCGATACTTCTGTTTGGTGGATTAACCAGCCGTTCTGACCTGCAGGACGAGTGTCACTCCATGCGGGATGTGACCTGGCCAGTGAATCCATGGGAAAGAGCAAGCAAGAGGCTCTGGGTTCAGGCAACCAGCCTCCGGAAGGCGAAGGGGGCTGGTTGTGGGAAAGAATCTTCCCATGGTGGGGAGAACCAGTTCATTCTTTAAATGTTCCCTTGTTCCATTCTTGGCATCTCGGGGGGGGGGGGGGGGGGGGGGGAGGAGGTTCTGCTGGTAAAGACATCAAAGCCAGAGCGAACAGAGGGAAGGATCCAAAGACAGCCAGGAGCCCACCCGTCGCTTTCATCAGAGGCTGCTTGGCTGGTACTAATGCCAGGCTGGCAGAGCATCCACCCTGGGCTTCAGCCTGAACCTGTCAAGAGCCCTCCATGGTGCTTAACCCCACGCCCAAATGGTAGTTCGGAGCCACGGTGTGCTCCAACATTCAGGCTGAAACCCAGAGTGGATACACCGCCCTGTTGCCATTAGAGCTGCCAGTCTCCACTGTGTGTGGGGATGCGAGGGGCAAAGATCTCAGCTGGAGCACCTTGAGGAAGGCTGCTTCTCCAGGGAGACTGTTCTGGGCTGTTTGGAGCAAGTGCCTACCAAGGGAGGGGCAAGGAAGTCACGTTTTAATGAGAACTAACCCAATACCACATTTTTGAACCAAATGGTGAACCAGATTCTCATCTGAAATCTACACTTCTCCAAATTTCACCCTGGAGTATTTCAGTCAGGAAATGGGTCCTGAAATGAGCATTAGGGACCCAGGCACTTGAAAATAACATTCGAAAGGATACCAGATTAGGAAACTTGCTTGCAAAATATGTATATTGGTCAAAATCAAGGACACTGATATAAGAATTGGGAGACGTACACGCAAAGCTGCACGAATTTCCATGCAAGCTTCATATAAAAACATTCTATCCTCAGAGTTCAGAATGAAAAACACCTAAGTTTAGAGAAATGCTCGAAGTCTGAGGTAAAGCAAATAAAAGACGGAAACATGAGAAGCCGAGATGCGGCAGACCACTTCGCGAAGGAGAGAAGAATTAGCTCAGTCTGGCGTGGGACCCCAGACCAGCCGGCCCGGGACGTGGGCCCCTTTTGCAGAGGCCGGCCAGCCGGCCCCACCTGACCCGAGGGACAAGCCCCCCAACAGCTCACCTGCTCCACTCAGCTCTGGACCACGGGATCCACCAGGCAACAGGGACTTTTATAGCCTCCAGACAGATAGCATGGGCAGCCCCTTGCGGGAAGAGGATGGGTGTGAAAACACCCTGGGTTGGGCCAAAGAGAAATATTTGCCCTCATCTTCCTGGAGCAAGAGAAACGATTCATTCCCGCTTCCTTGTTCCTGAAGGCCAAAGGCCACTTGGCAGCACACCGGGGGGCGGGGGGGAGCCTGCATCAGGCTCGGGGGCGGCCGCAGGTCCTGCAGCACCCCAAGGAGCGGAGCAGCCCCTCCCAGCATGTGGCCGGCCCCAGCGCACCCCGGCGGCTGCTCCGAGTGAGGCCCGCTGCGGCCGCCGGTCCGGAAGGCCACGTGGCTCCTGCGGGGTCAGAGGGCGCTGTCACCGCACACCAGTCACTGGGGGACACGGGTGGGAGGGCTCACTTGTGCCCCAAATATCCCTGGAACCCCAAAATCAGCCTTCCCAGCAGAATCAGCAAGATCAGAGGTCGCTGAGGCCCCATCGGTGCGGGTGTCCAAGGACAGGCTGGACGTCCACATGGTGGGCATGTCATGAGTGGAGCCGGCTGGTGCCGGGGGTCAGACTAGATGGCCTGGGAGACCCCTTCTGACTTGCTCTGTTTCTGTGTTTCCCCCACTCGTGCCCTGCAGACAACCCCCAAGGCTGGCCGGACAGCTGCAGCCCCACACACCAGGGGGCATCCCTGGAGCAGTCCTGCCCCACTGCTGCGCCCACCTCCCCAGGGAGACTCCCCGCCGTGGGCTGTTCCCAGATCTCTTCTGCCCCGGAGCGCTGCCCTGGTGCTCGTCCTGGCACACAGGTCCTTCCGCTGCCACTCACACGTGCGTGCCTGGCTTGAGGCCCCGGTTCCAGCAGCGCCCCATGCCGCACGCCGGGTCTTCGCGTCCTGGCGGGGGAAGCTCCAGATTTGCAGGCCATCAAACGCCCAACCCTTCCAATGCAAGAAAGGCGTCCACTTGCCCTCCTGCACAATCGGAAGACCCCACGCCCAGCCGGGGGACAAGGCACCCGGGATATTTCCTGGCTTTCTGGGCCAGCAAAATGCAGGCATTTGCCGCACTAGTAGAAACAGAAACAGAGCGAGTCCGAAGGGGTCTCCCGGACCATCCAGTCTGACCCCTGGCTCTGGTCGGCTCCGCTCACGACACGCCCACCATGTGGACGTCCAGCCTGTCCCTGAACACCCGCACCGATGGGGCCTCAGCCCCCTCCCGTGGAAGCCCATTCCACACCCTCGGGGTCCTAAGCGTCAGGAAGTGCTTCCTGGCACCCAAATTGAACCTTGGCTCCCTGGGCTTGGCTCCCTTGGAGCGCGTCCTGCCTTCCTCTGCAGGGGAGAACAGGTCTCTGCCCACCTCCGTGTGACACCCCCTCACACACCTGTGTGTCGCCAAAATATCCCCTCGGAGTCTAGCAAATAGGAGACAGAGCACGGCAACTCAACCCGCGTGCTTCAACTAGTCTTAGGCGTGTGCGCAAGGCATCAGCCGGCTGCTCTGCATATCCAAAGTCCCCAGTTCAGTGCCAGACATTTCCAGGTGGGGGAAATGTGGGCTCCCCGCATGGGAATGTGAGTGGCAACACACACACACCTGCGCGTGCAGCGGTGGCCCGCACCTGCCACGCGGGGAGGGAGACGCTTGTGCCTTCCATTCATGCCACACTCGTCTCGAAGGAAGGGGGCGGCAGTGAGGTCCCATCCTGCCTTTCCCGGCTTGGGAAGCAGGAGGAGCCGGAGTGCAGGGTGATTGGAATGATAGAATAGCAGAGTTGGGAGGGGCCAGGAAGGCCATCCAGTCCACCCCCCTGCAGTTGCAGGACACCGTGTTACACCACCCCACTCAGAGGGCTGTCCAGTTTCTTTCTGAATGTCTCCAGTGTGGGAGAGCCCCCCACCTCTCCGGGCAGCTGGTTCCATGGTCGTGTTGCTCTGACCGTGAGGAAAGGGCTCTGAAGTTCCTCACAGGCAGTATCACAACCCCCGTGTCCCTGACTGAAGAAGCAGACAGGCAGAAGAGGTTTAAAAAGGCGGGGGGGGGGGGGGGGGGTGCCCTGAACAGTCCCGCTAAATCGGGTTTGTGCCAGCCAATCATGAGCCAATCAATATGCCCCTTTCATTGATTAATCTGCCCAGGAGAGCTTGCTGGCTGAGTTTAGGCAACACGGTTGGGCCTGAGAGTTTCCCCGTCCAGCCAGAAGTGCCAAGGGCCGAGAAATGGCAGCGTCCCGTTTCCTTTTCCGAGTTGGGCTTCTTCCAAAGCAACCTCTTCAGGTTCCCGGTGACCAAGTGAGCCATAACTTTGAGCCCATTTCCTTCTCCCCTTTCATCTTTCACCTTTATTTGGTGAACGACTAAGCCAAAGTACACAACTGAGGAAAACCAAAGTCAAGGTAAAAGATGTAATCACCGATTAATGTTAGTTGAACTAAAGCAAACACTGTGAACGCTCAAAACGTGGGGAGGCATTTCGAGCACGGGCAATCTGTGCATGACTCTGCAGTGCCCCGCCTCCGCTGCTCCGCGAAGGAAGTGCGCAGATCTGGGGCAGGCCTCCCCTGGGGCCCGGATAGGTGGTCTGAGGAAGCCTCTTGCGTGGCCTCCTGCGTGGGCTTGAACCGCCGTGGCCAGACACGATTTCCCCCACAGCGGTTTCTGGGGGAGAAGAAGCGTGCAAGGAGACATCCAGATAAATCTACATAGAAGTTCGCTTTGTGCTATAAAATCAAACCGGCAGTATCCCTGCGCCTCTTTCCCAGAAAGAGCCAGAATTCCAAGCCAGGCTTCCGTTTAGCATCACTATCAGTGAGCTGTTCCTCTCGGAACTCCCTCGGTCGGTCGGTCGGTCGGTCGGGGTGGCTGCCACATTCAGTCGCAAAAGCCTTTGCAGAGCGGGGGCTCCCCAGGAAAGCTGTCTGTGCCCATTCTTGTGCTGGGGACAACAGATGCCGGTAAGGCAGCCAGCAGTTTCTTCGAGCAGCCGTGCAATTTCCTTCATTTACATGCTCGAGCTTACAGCCGAGACCTGCAATAGTCCCTGCACCTTCCCGATTGTAACGACAACCTCTTGTCATCAACACAAGTCCCTCTGCAGATCTCATGTTCTTTTGGCTGCGTCCCCAATCCCTCACCCTGCTGCTGCGCTACGCGACTCAGAGCCTATGAGACGCTCTGCATCTGCCCCGATAGCTTGCAGTCAGCTATGAGAACCGCTGCCGCTGTCACAAGTTACGGCAGGGGCCTGGGCAATCCCGCCAATACAGCACTGGGGTCCGAGGCGCTGCGATCTTCCTTACTGATCTGAGTGTCCGTTCCCGCCATTGATTTCGAGGCTCGGACCTTGCCCAGCAGGCTCCCCGGCGCATGATTTAGATGGGACAGGAGGAGAACCGGGAGCAGCGGTGGGCAAGCATACATCTGCCCGCGTGCGCACACCCAGCACCGCAGTTTCACACGGGCTCCGTTACCACGGCTGGGTCATGCCTGGTCCTGGGGCAGAGACGTTCTGCAAAGCTGGGGACCAGAAGGGTGACGCTTCTGCTGAAGAGGCCAGACTACAAGCAAGCAGGACCAAAGCTAGGCAGCGCTGGCCCAAGCGCAGCCCAAGAGAGGGGTCGGAACCCCGGCATCTCCATTCAAGAAGAGGGGATGAAACTCGGGTTCGTGGGAAAGACCAAGCGCCCAGACCGTCTGGGGCTTTATTGTTTTACCCCCAAGGTTCCCGTGGTGCTCACGATAATGCATGCATTACCGGGCAGGCAGAGGTGAACTCCGCTGCCAAGCTTCAACACCATTACAGGGCATTTATAGGTACACAGGCACAGGGCCATTGATGACAGAATGCAGAGATTACAAGAAGATTCTGAGGTCCTCACATTTAGATGATGATGTTCATTTAGATGAACGTGAGTGCTTATGTTCATGGACAGTTTTGAGCACCTGCCATTTTAGCTGCCCACCTCCTTGGGCTGGCACATGGGCTCAGTCCCCAACAAACATTAGGCTACTGGAAGGAAAATTTTCTTCTAGCACCCTCAATAACAGTAACAACAATATCATTATCACTAATATTTGGCAACATTGCAAAAGGGGAAAAAAAGAAACTTTGTTGAACTCAAGGGTAAAGTAGCCTCATAAATTTGAAAAGAAATCCTTCTCACTGCATGCGCACACACACATACACAGCCCCAGAGTTTCATCCATTCCCTCCCAATCATTCAGTTGTAGCATAGCAATAACAAGATGGTATACTCAGAATTCAGAACTTATACACAGACACAAGAACCAGATCCAGGTTGCATAGAAAAATGGAAGTTACTGGAGAGGGAAAAACTCTTGATGGCTGACACAAATCACATGCTCACAACATTGCTAAAAAAAATCCCCTAGCTACTCATTGAGAGTGCTTAAGCGTCTTTGTTTTAACCCAAACCTTCCCAGGCAGATTTTTTCCTGAGGCAAATACAAGCTTTGAACACTCAACGAACCTCAAATGCCTTGCCTCAGTTACACAACTTTTTCTTTTTTCCCCCTAAGACACCAAGATTTCTTTTGAGAGTTTTCTAGATACTCAAAGACTTTCTTCTGAGAACTAGTACAAGCCCGCCTCCAATCTGTGGCTGGAAGCAGAGCCGCTCAAATTTCCCAAAGTACTTTGAACTCTGCACATGTTCAGAGGCTTTGTATGTGCTGCTTCTGCAGTACTCACAAAGTGGTGGTATCTTCCTGCCAGAGCATCCCCCCTTTTCTTGGCTCTGTGGAATAGCCAAGCTCACAGAGTCAAGAAATCCAAATTTTCCAGCACAAATCCCCCCTGAATTCAGTTGGCCAGACCAAACCCAGAGAAGAGGCTGCAGTTACTGTCTCTTTAAAAAATGGGAGTGCTCTTAGCAAGGTAGACTATTTCTCCCTTTTCTTCATTTGTTTTTCTTGTCTTTCCTCCAACAGTTACACGTTTCCTTTTTTTTTCAGTAGAAAAAGTACCAAATCACCCATATACCAAAACTCTTAAAATTCTCACACACCAAATCTTCCTACCTAGGAGGGCTGTAAGGCAGATGGAAGAGGCAGAAGAACTTGCATTAAATACATTAAAACAGTGTTCCCAGTTTCTGACAAGGAAAGGACCTGCATAAAAATGTTTCTATATGACCCCTCTTTCATACAGGGATTTCACACAGGATAAACTTATTGAGGATGTCCAGGAAACTGGGTAGGACCTGTGTTAGCCCAATTCAAGGGCCACACATTTCCTTACTTCCCAGTTCTGGCTCATATAGAAGGAATGGAGGAAGGAAAAAATCTCACACAGACATTTCCCTCATCATCACATTTTCCCAGCTAGACTCAGCCATGCTTGGGCTCAGGCAAAGGACCTCATGAATCTATTTCTCCGTCAAAGCCAGGTTCTCACATTCCCATCTCAGGGGCAAGAACACCCATCCACGCCCTTGCTTTCAACCGTGCCCTGAAGAGGACGGATTGGTGCAGCTGCGTGGGGAGCGTCTATTTCCTGAGGAACCCCCACAACCCACCCTGGGCTATGCCTACGTCCCAGAAAGGGGAACACTTTAAAATACAAACAGACAAGACAGAAAACACAGACACAGCAACAATGAACACAAGACTTTCACAAACAGTGAACATAAAACTTTACACAAACCCCAGTGCAAACATATACTCACACGTGTAGATCTTTCCTGGTGCACCAACCCCATATTAGTTAGCTTTTTTCCTCCACCAGCTTGGACCAAAGCAAAACTTATTCCATCTCCTTAGAATGTATTTCCGCCAAATGCTTTTGCAAAAGGTGTAGCCAATTTCAATCAAATGAGCCCTCTGGGGCCAAATTAGTTAGGTTTGACCATGCTGTTTTAAATCAAAATACCAAGTGCTTGCTTCTGCGACAACCCCGCAGGTGCCGCCCACGGCCATTTCACACCCCCCTGCAATTTGGTGCAGGTGTCCAGGGGGTAGAAAGCCGAGATTCTGAGACCCCCATGCTTCCTGGGAGACCCCAACCAAAGCCAACGTGCAATGAGGTTCAAAACCAGATCTAATTACACTGATCCGCCTGCGAAACGGAAGAGATGGCCAGTATCTGTGCTCCCCCAGTGGAGAGAATTTTGGCCGAACTTACCATCTCTCCTGCCCAGGATAAAGGGCCAAAAACCCACAATCCCACCTTCATCACCAAATTGTCAGAATCCCGGAATCTCAATTTGAGAAGAGGGAATGAAACTCGGGTTCGTGGGAAAGACCAAGCGTCCAGACCATCTGAGGCTTTATTGTTTTATCCCAGAGTTCCCGCGGTGCTCACGATAATGCATGCATTACCGGGCAGGCAGAGGTGAACTCCGCTGCAAAGCTGCAACACCATTACAGGGCATTTATAGGTACACAGGCACAGGGCAACTGATGACAGAAAGCAGAGATTACAAGAAGATTCTGAGGTCCTCACATACAGAACAGATAAAGGACTGTCAGTCAATCACACTAACAATGAGATTACAATATTTCTAATTGTCTGTATTGACACTTTAGTTCAGTAGCTTGAACCCATCTCCAGGTCTGCTCAGACATGCAGATTCAAGCCACTAGAAACTATTCATGATAAGCTCAGACCCCTATCTCAACTCTAAACAGTCTGCATGATCAGGGCACATGAAGCCCTCTGGGCTATCAAAGATTATTGTAAACTGAATTCCAACAATGACTATTCACAATGGATATTTGGGCTAAAATGGCCTGTCTGCTGTAGCGCACAACTAAAGGTGAGAGAAAGGAGTGGGGGATGAAGGCCATTTTAAACAGAGGCAGCTTGGTTTTGAGAAGGAAGGCGGGATTTGGTCCCACAATGCAGAGGCCCACAGGAGTAATGCTTTTCAGGCAGGGTTCACCCAAATTTTCCCAACACCTCCCATGCCCCACGCTATCCACCAGCGCCCCAAGACCAGTCTGGGTCAGTCAGCCCAATCTCAGGTCTTGCCTGCTTGTCCTGAAGGCTGGGATTGGGGCCAGACCCTCAGCCTGCCTGCCTGCTCACTCATGAACAAAGAGCGAGCCACTGACTTCTCTTCTGGTCGGAGGAGGAGGAGGCAGCTTTCGGGAGACCCGCTAAATCCGGGCGGTGAATATCCTGCGGCCACACATCTTGGGTGGGGGATTTTAGCGCACTTTCCTTTGCTGGCAAAAGGCCCCTTTGCGTGGAAACGGCTTTGTCCCTGAGCTAGTGGCAAACAGCGGGGGTCTTTGCGCTCAGGCTTAACGCACAGGAGGAGCGCGGGGGGGCGGGGGGCTGTTGGCTGCAGGGGAGGAAGCCAGCAAGCAGGGTTCAGTCCTGTGGACAGGAATTTTACAGCAGCCCCCAAAGAATTCAGCATGAGACTCAGCTCTGGCTGCCCCTTTGCTAATGTCTGAATTGATTCAGAACTAAGCCAAGAATAATCATGCTCTTCTTGGGGCGGGGGGGGGGTTCTGCACAGCCCAGTTTCTCCAGCAAAACCTAGCAATGTTTCTAGAAAACCCCTTGCGGTAAAGAGCCACTGCTCAGAAAGGCAGGAGACGACTTGGAAAAAGAGCCCTTTGCTTCTAATCTTAGATCCCCAACCCCACTGGAAAGAACCATATTTCTAGGTTACATAATTGGAAAGAAAGCCAGTGTCTCGTGGGCCTCTCACAGGGAAAGTCTATTTTTTCTCCAATAAATTATCTTCCTTTCTGCTAGGCAACAGCACAGAACCCTTGAGAAAACGGGCAGCTCTTGTGAGTCACGGGGGGGAATGAAGAAACCGAGCTTTAGAGAAAGAAGAGGAGAAGCATCTTCTTTAGGACAAGCGCCGGGGGCCCTGAATCACCGTGGACCTGGTCTCTGCCACAGGCTTTGCTCGCGGTTGGTCTGTGTCCTCTTTCCAGCCAAAAGGGCTGGGCTTGGGGTGGAGGCCTCGTTTGGGGAGCTGTCCCCAAGCAAGCGGCTCCGGGCGCCCTTCCCAGACTGTCCAGCTAGAGGGGGGAAAAGGAGCGGGCCTTTTGCTGGCCGCACCCCTCCAGCATGGGATGGTGCAGCTGCGGCCCGAGACGCTTCCTAGATGGGCTCGTTCGTTTAGGCTGCCCCTCCAAATGCGGTGCCCGCCCCAGGCTCCAGCTCCGGCTCCCACCCAGCACGGCCAACAGGCTCTGGAATATGCTTCCACGGCACGTGGCAACGGCCGCCCATACGGACGGTCTAAGAGGGGATTGGATACACTCATGGGGGACAAGGCTAGCAAGGGTCACTAGTCCTCATGGTTCCTGCTGCCTGCAGGATCAGAGGCAGGAACGGCGGCTGTGGAAAACGGACGGAGGGCACCGCTGGAAGCATCCGCCGCCTTGGGTCCCCCACGGAGCAGCGGGCCAGCCACGTGCCACTGAATGCTGGCCCCGACAGCCGCCCGCCGACCCACACGGCTCTTCTCTCCCAGCACTGCAAGCCACCTCAGCCTATTTGTGCTCTTTCCACGCCTGAGGCTGCATTTCGCCTGGCCGCAGCTCCATCTCGTTCCCAAGCTTGCGGTGTTTGTAGTCACAGCCTGCAAGGCAAATATTGAAAGTCGGTTTGTTTTGGCTGCTTGTGTGCCATGACAACATCGTCCGCCCAGCGCGAGCTCCTCCGAGTAAATAAGCAAAGCCGAACAAAGCAACCCCCCTCTATCTTCCAGGGTTAGGGATGCGGATCAGCTGTGGATGATGTGGTTGAGGGTGCAGGGGCTGCCCACCCTGACTCAGACCGACACACCGCATGCCGCAGGGCCTTCCAAACACCAGGAAAAGTCAGATAAATCCTGACAGAAAAAGGTTGCTTGTATGTGCATGCTTGTGAAAATGCCTTCCTGGGGGGTGGGGGGACACCTTCTTGAGCCTGTTTCTCTTACAGGTGTGTGTGGGGCCGGGGGATATACATTGCTTCCCTCCACGTGGTGCAAGGTGGCATAAGCACACTGCTTTCCCTCCCCACCCCACCCCTCATAGCAACGTCCCTTTAAGAAATAAACTTCAGGACAGTGGGGACCACACGTCCCATCTGACAGCAGACCATGTTCTAATTCAGTCCCCTGTTCCAAACTTGTCCTCTCTTGGAAGGGCTGCCCAGTTTCAAGATCAAGCCCCCCAGGAGAGGGAGCAGGGGGGCCTTCAGGCCGCTCATCAGTGCTGGGCCTGCGGTAAGGCACCCACAAGTGCCCAGTTATCCTATGGGGCGGGGGGGAGACTGCAAATCGCTGAGTGGGTGCCTCTTCAGAGCCAGCCTTCCTACCTGCTCCACCTTTCCCTGCTCCCCCAGGGGAAATTCAAGCATGCACTGGCTCCAAGAAACCTTCGAGTTAAAATATGGGCTTCTGTTGCCAAGAGCTCGGCAAGACAAGAGTTTGTCTCAGCTTTGAGGCTTCCCGGACTGGAGGAGGAATTGGCCTGTAGCGTCTCCATTAGCTCACCGGAGCTCATTCTGAGTTGAAAGAGGAATCGAGTGCCAGCTTTTGCCTGGGCTTGGAGCTACGAATGACCCAGAGCCAGCTTGGCTTCGGCCCGGGCATGCTGATCTGGCTGCTCCTCGGTGCTCTGGGCTGCCCAAGCAGGGCCGGCGGGGTGGACAATGGGGGACCCTTCCAAGCCACTGTCGACCAAGGGGCTCTCCACGCTCGTGGGCACAGGAGTGGGGGAATGAGGCACTGTTCTCGTCCCCAGTCCTGCCAACCCAGTGAATATCATCAGTCAAGCAAAGCCTCAATGAAAGAAGATGAGTATCTCAATTTAAAATAGTTTATCGCAAATCTTAAAATGCTATATTAAAGATACGGGTATCAAAATGTCAACAGTTAAAACCTGAATGCATAAAACTTGAGAAGCTTGTCACCATCGTAAAAATACTCCTGTTGAGAGCAAAAAAGGTTTGGGCCTAGGTAAGCCTACATATTGGTAACATCTTTTCAAAGAACCTCTACACCTGGGCAGGTACTACATACGTGGGCGATGCACACTCCCAGCCTGGCCTCCCCAGTAAGCGTGGGACCCACCTGTATCTGAATGTGTCAATCAGCGATTCCAGCAGCTTTTGTGTGGTGTGCCCACCCCCCTCTCCAAAACACACCCAGGAGGGGCCAAATCATGGGACATCAAAGATTCTCAGTGGCTTTTATTGACCAGGTTTGGAACGTGGCTACAGCAGGGCCTTCCCATGTCATAAATAGAATTGGTTTCAGCACATAAGTCTCCGTGGAAAAGGGCATGCTCTCTCATCAGGACAAGTTAGTGTTGGACAGAACAAGCTTATCCAGAGCAATCAGTTAGATGCTCGCACACACACAAAAACACACAGTAAACACCACACACACACACACACGTCCATCCTTCCAAAGCTCCCCGATTAATACTGCTTCGAGCGATCCTCAGCCCAGTTGCCGAGCGCCTGGCGCAGCCTCGACGCACGCCTCCGAAGCGAAGACCGGGAGAGGCTCCGGGAGCGCAGCTGGGCGGCCCGCATCCTGCGCGCCATTACCTGGTAGTAGTTGAGGACGGCCTGATCTCTGCAGGAAGAGGAGGAGCGGCTGTCAGGGGGAGAGCTGCCAAGGCGGGGAGGGGGCTGCTCTCACTGCAGGCGAGGAAGACTCCGGGCAGCCTGCTGGGGGGCCAAAGGGCCCCCCGACCCAGCCGCCAGCCAGCGACGGAGGACCACGGCGGGGCACAGAAGCCATGGCATTTCTACGGTGGGGGGCTGGGAGGCCCCTGCCTGGGATGGGGCCCCGAGGCCAAGCCCTGCACCCAGAGGAGCCCCGGTGGTCTTGGGCCGGGCTGGGGAGGCCTTGGGGCTCAGCTAGGGGTCCTGAGCCCTTGCTGTGCAGCGCAGCCCCTCCGCCCACTCCGGGGGGAAAGACAGATCGGTCCCTGCCTGCAAGCAGCTTACACATAAGTGCCAACAGGAGGGAGGAGAGAAGGGACGGAGCCGAGGGGGCTTGCTTGCCCATAGCTGTGCTGAGGCGAGTCCAATACATCCGGGGGCCCCCGGCAGAGGAATAGCGGGGAGCCGGGAGGAAAATGCGTACTGGGAATTTTCCGCATAAGCCACAGCAGGAGGAGAAACGGGGGCGGGGGGGGGGTGCCGCGTTCTGGACAGAGGTTTCTGCTGCTCTGGAAACAACGCAGTTGCTGGGGCACTGGATTCTTCCCCAGAGATAATCCACCTGTGGGGCAATGTTTGGCATATAGGGGTGCCCCCTCCATCCTGTGAAGAGGCGAGGGCTTGGTTCTCACCGGTGCCTCTGGAGCAGGCACGGGCTCTCAGCTTAAACTACCTCGAAGGGCTGCTCTGAGGACAAAGAGGGAGGGGGAACCTCGTAGGCTGCCTTGTGCTCCTTGCAGGAGGAACAGAGGAGGACGCAGACGGGTGTAATAAGACGATCCGTGTGGGGCATTCCCTCCAAGCCCAGCTCCTCTCCAGCACTGGCTCCCCTGCTACGATGTCGCAGCAGAAACATCCAACCCGCCCGGGGTTAATTGTATCAGCCACACTGATCTTGCCAGGGCCGCTTCTGCGAAGGAGGCAAGAGAGGAGAAGCCCCGAGAACATCGTCTCCTGGTGCATCTGAGTCTCCTAAAAGGATTAGCCGGAAGTCCGCCAAGTTACACAGGAGCTGAGATCTGTACGCCTTGTTAAAAAGCAGCAGCCCAGGCCCTGAGCAGCCCTTCTTTCTGCGTAAATAATTCCCCAGAGTGCCAACGCGAAGGCAGCTCGAGATGAAAGGGAAACCGGGCCCTGGCAAAGCCATCTGCAAAGTTGGGACCCCCAGGGGGAGCATGCGCAAAGCGGGACATCTCCCGACAGGGCTGGGCCGAATCTCTGGGGCCCCTTTTGCAGTGGGGCCACGCCTTGTCAGGCACCGTAGAGGGGATGCTTCCCGCCTCCTTAAAAAGCAGAAGCAACACAGAAAAGCCAGCCAGGATCGGAGACGCGGACGTATTCGCCGCAGCAGCCACAGCGCGAGGCAGCGGAGAAGCGGGGTGTCAGGACACGGTCCAGTCTTTGGATCATGGCTTCCAAACGGCATGTCCAGGGCAGAAAAGTGTGGCCAGGAGAAGAAAGGCCCACCTGTCACGTGGCAGAAGCCCCCTGGCCCCGTCCTCTTTGCCTCCACTTCAGGGGCCGGGGAGGCTGTGGCGAGCCACCGCCCATCAAAGGTGGGGGTGTGCTGGCCTGGGGGGCCCACGGTCCACAGAGGAGCTGTCTTTGCTTCCAGGAGGTGGGACACCCTCGGGGGCTTCTCAAGGGCAAAGCCGGCGGGGCCAGGAGGACCGGCACATTTTGCCTGAAAGCTCCTGCGGAGGCATCACGGCCCTCCAGAACGGGAAGAAACATGCACAGAAGTCGAGGAACTGGCCGGCCAGCCGTGGCGGGGAAGAGGCTCTCCAGGGAGCTGCCGAGGGCCATTTGAACCATCGGGCGGGGCGGGGCGGGGGCTGCCCCCCATACCGCAGAGGATTTTTGCACAATCCCGTGGTGCTCTGCTAGCAGCCCCACTGGATCCCCCGCACGGCGTGGTCTTCTCCAGCCGGACACCCGCTAGGCCTGTCGAACTACAGCTCCTACCCACACAGCCGGCAGGGCCTCTGGCCAGAGGATGGTGGGAGTTGTAGTGCAGCACGCCTGGAAGTTGCCTGGTGAGGAGCTGCTACGCGTCAGGCATCCCAGGGTGCCATTTCAGCAGGATCCAAGGCACGTCAGTCAATGCAGAGGTATCATTCCTTTTGGGGGGGGGGGTCACAGGAAGTGGGGCAGGAGGGCTCAGAGGAGGTCCCGTGTGCATGCACGCACCCCTGTTAAGCGGTCGGTGTTCTCCATGCAGGAAGTGGGGTGTGTGTGCATGCGTTAGGGGTGATTCCAAGCAGGTATCAAAGAAGACAGAAGTGAAACATTAATCTTGGGGTTTTTTACCTGGCTGGTATTTATCTTCAATTACAAAGGAGTGAAACGGTCATATCGCTGGGGAAAACATGAGGAATGCAAGCTTTATTTGCAAGCTGAAATGGTCACAAAGCGAAAGGGGCGCTGCTGCGCCCTGGTTGGAAATGACTCGCCCGGCCGGAAGCCCAGGGAAGAGGGCCCAGGGCAGGGCCTGGGGCCCTCCCCTCGCGGCCGGGAGGAAGCCGCCCACCAGCTCCCTTGCGCAGCGCTGCCCTTCGCCGCTGTCCAGCAACCGGGAGCCGACAGTCTGCCAGGTGGGCTGGGGTTTGCTCTCAGCTCTCAGCCCCACTGTGGGCGCCTTTGGTTCTGCTTTGCCTTTTGGAAAAGAACCCAAGTCTTGCCTTGCCTTCTCAGCCAGCACCGGCCACCCCAGAGGCTCCGGTGCTCCAGCTGTGGGCCAAGGCCCGAGGCGAAAGAGGCAGGACCGGGGCCACAAAACGGCGCCAGCGTCGTCTCGCTTACAGCTCCTCTTGCCAGTAACTCAGGGAAAGGCAATGGGGGGAAAGGAAAAAACATGCAAAAGGCAGGAACCAACCCAGCAACCAGCAGCTAGGGAAAGGGGGGCGTCTTGGGCCCCCAGGGGAGCGCAGGCTTGTCACTCCCGCCCCTGTCCCCGCTTCAATGCCATCCTCGCATCATCCAGGGCCACGCGCTGCCAGGCCAGGGCTCCTGCAGCCGGGCTGGGCCTAGTCGGCTCCCAGGGGCTTTCCGGGGCTGCCATAGAAGTAGCGCCAATCCCAACCCCTCCGCCCGCCGTGGGATGGGGCAGCGCTGACGGCCCAGGCAGCAGACAAGACACCTGGGGCCACTAAGATGCAGGCAAGGACGGCACGTCTGGGCATGCCAAGCCGAAGCCTCCCGCTTGCACAATTCCCCTTCGGGAAAAGCTTCCTGGGGACAAAGCGGTGCAGGGCGGCTGGGGAAGCGAGCGGGACCCCCCGCACCGGCACGACTCACCTCTCCTCTTGGACAATGATGCTGTTGAAGGCGTGGGAGAGGCGCTTCAGCCGCCGGATGCCCGTCGAGACAAGCTCCAGGTTGCAGTCAAACTGCCTGCAGCGGAGAGAGAGGCAGGGTGGCAAGCAGACGCCGGCACAGGCGGGGGCAACCCGGGCCAGAGGGCCCCAAACTCTCCTTGCCCCGCCACCCGTCCAGCAGGCTGCGCGGAGGAAGACCAGGGAAGTCGCCCGCTGCAAGCGCTCGGCATCGCCCCTCTCCCCTCCCCTTCCTGGTGGGCACATCCGCGTCGAGCGGAGGTCGCCTTGGCTCACGGGCCGGGAAGCCTCCTGTCCGGTGCACAGGACAGAAGCGCATCCGAATAAACGGCTCGCTGGCCGGCCACTGCACCCATGCCTGGGTGGAGAGCTGGCTGTGTATGGCCCACCCTACCGAAAGGGCACGTTTGTTTTCTCGGGAATGGGACTCATCCGTCACGGGGGGCTGCCTGCAGAGAGGAGCCGGTGGACACTGCCCTGGCGGAAACAGCCAATAAAACAACTGGCAGGAAAAGTCCAAAACATTTAAGCTGCGGAGGCAGGGGCCTTCTTTCCCTCTTCAGAAATGGAAAGATGCGCGATCCCGATTCCCTGGCCGAGCCCAAGCCAGCCTGCCCGTTGTTTCTGATCTAGCGCCAGGCGTCCAGCCCGGCCTACCCAACTTGCCTTCTTTGGCTGGCAGACACAGGTGAAGCGTAGGGGCTTCGCAAGGCGGCGGTTCTCATGGACCTCCGGGCAGGAAGGAGGCCCTTCTCCCGCTGCTGGGCGCCCGACGGCAGGGCAGGCCGCCTCCCGGCTGGGGACGCCCCCCTGGCGCCAGAGGGCGGCGTGGCAGCAGTGCCCGGCTTGCTGCCCTTCCGCCGAGGAGTGCGTGGCGACGGGGGCTGGCCGGAGGCGGCTCGGGCTGGGCCGCGGCGAATTCTCTGGAAGAAGAAGCGGTCCTGCCATCACCGTCCGAGAACTTGGGATCGCCTGCGAAGCCGGTTGGGGTGAGGACAGACCAAAGAGGGCCCGTTCTGTGGGATAGGGGAACTCCCCCTACGAGGCCCCGCTGGACTCGGGGTGGGGGGGCTTCCCTCAGAGCAGACGTGTTAGTTGCGCGGTGGCGTCCCCTTTCTTGTAAAATATTTAATTTTGTCCTGCTTCTCAGCCAAAACACTCCTAAAGCAGCTTAGACTAGATCAGTGGGGAAGAATCAACCCGGTCCCCCCACGGAAGAGCCGGCAGGGAGGCCTTCTCCCCCTTTCGCTGCTGTGAAGCACCTTGGAATAAGAGCCAGGCCTGAGCTTTGCTTTCCCTCCCCTCTCCCCGCCCCGGCAGGGCCGTCTGAACAGCATGATAGGCCCCGGGCAAAGCGGTGCGCTGGGGCCCCACGACAACGACAACTACTGTCAATTTCGGAAGTTTCCCCATTTTCCAAGGGTTAACATACACAGATTAGTATGGGGCCCACAGGCAAGGGCCCATCAGGCCCGTGCGTTAAGATGCCCACCCCCCCAGCTCCTTTCTTATGGCCTGGCTTTCAGTTGTAAGGGTGATAGCCGGGAGTGTCTTGTTATTCGATCCATGAAGCATGGGGTGAACATGCTGAAAACAGGGAAAGGTGTCCACAGAGGGATGGCACCGAAGGGAAAGCAGCTGGGAAGGGAAGCCTAGAAGCAGAGTGAGCCAGAAGGGGCATCCCCGGGCATCCAGTCTGACCCCAGCCCTGGCCGGCTCCACTCATGGCATGCCTGCCGCAGGAAGGACGTGGGAAGAGAAAGGCCAAAGCCGGGGCTCGCCATCGGCCGGGCTGGAGCAGGGCTGTTGCCCTGGTGATGCCCAGCCAGGTCTCCCCCTGCCGTCTCCTCTGCCTGGCCAGAGCCAACAGCCACAAAGGCAGCATGGACTGCCCGGCCCAGAGGCCCCCGATCCAGTGCTGAGACCTTGCCAGGGACAGGAAGATGCTGGGGCAGGCCCTCCCAAGCCCCCCCCGCCCCCCAGGCACCTTGTTTCAGGGCCGTCTGCCTCTCTGGGGCTCCATCCCAGGAGACCTGGATTTGGAATCTCCCACAGATCCTTGGTCCATGAGTCCCTTAGGAGCCCTGCACTCTTCCGCCTCAGTTCCCCCATCCATGAAATGGTGCTAAAAGCACAGCAAACAGAGAGTGGAAGACGGCCGTTTCCATCAGCTGGGTGCCCTGCTGATGTGTGCGGTCCCCATATTCCCCTTCACTGGCTGAGAAAATAGGAGGTGTAGTCCAGCACAGCCGGAGGGCGCCACCTTGAAAAGAGCCGAGACAGAGGATCCCACGTTCTCCCTCGGTCCCCCTGAAGTGAACAGGCAGGGCAAGGCAGCACCCCGTTCATTTCAGCGGGGCCTCAGAGGCTCTGCTTAGAAAGTCCATAGCAGCTAAGAAAGGAAATGCCAAGACAATAAAAGAGGAGCACATCTCACCTCCTGCCTGGACACCCCTGTCAATCTCGAATGTTGTGCATGACATTCCTCTCGAGGAGTGAATAAGCTCAGTTTTTCGTGTAATTATTTTTACTAGCCTGCTTTTACTCCTAAAAAAGGGACCCTCCTTCATATGGCTGGCGAGCAAACAAGGAGATATATAACTAACTTTGAGCTGCGTCTGGGGCGGCCTCGGCTGAAATAGCAACACTGCCCGTTGTGTGTCTTCAGTTAATTGACCGGGAGCCTCAGCAGGGCCCCAGTCCTGGGCCAGTCGGGAGCCCAGCCCTCTGCCAGCCAGCACCTCCCAGTGCCCACGGGGTCCTGCCGGAGGGAGCGCCTGGCGCTCCGGACTGGGGGCTGCACACAGCCTCACCCCCAGGAAGTTCTCTAACTCCCCTCTAAAGCCACCCTAATGAGCAGCCGTGGCCGCTCCGTTTTGTGGCACTTGTTCCACAGCTCAGCCGCGCCTCAGCCTTATGGGACAGGGAGGAAGACCCCCCCCCCGCTTTTCCTACGCCAGGCGCGGTGGGGCGCTGCCACGCCTCCAGTGGGTGCCCTCGCCCGGGGCCACACGGCTCTCGGGGTGGCCTGAATGAGCGACAGCGAGGTACAGAAGACCGTGAGAGGGCAGGCTCCCCGGCCGCCACCGTATTTGCAGCCACACCTGCGACACCGTGCCAAAAGCGCTCTTGGCCGCTCCGGCGAAGGCCTGGAGGGTCTGGCTCTTCTCGGGGGCTTCCAGGCTCTCCCACGTCGGGTTCTCCTCGAAATTCATCTCCACTTCCTTCAGAGGCATCCGCTTCCTCAGAGACATCCGCAGTGCGTTCACGCCGCGAGCCGATCTCTTCCTGAACCTGTCGGGCACCGGGCTCTCTTCGGCCTCAGTCAGGATCTGGTGGCTCCGCCAGCCCACAGCACACCCCACACTCTGGAACACAGACGCCATCCTTCCCCCACAGTCGCCTGGAAGAGAAGCCCTGCAAATTAGCCAGCGCCAGCCTCTAGTCCGTAATACTCAAAAGGCACAGGGAGGCGGGAGGCCAGTCCATCACCACCAGCGGCTTCCCTGTGGAAGTTAATCAGACTTAATCAGCCATGGCCCACTTATCCAATTATTTTAATAGATCTGTTTGAAGCATTAAGTCCAGGCAGAACCTAAAGATTCTGGGTGTTTGTGCAGAGTCAGTACAGCAGTATTTATCAAGCAGAATTATTTAGAGAAGGATTATTTTGGCCTTGAATTAAAAATGGCTTGGCATTTGATTTAAGAATTGCTTAACCTCTTTTGTGGGCACGGTTATTTGACTAAGATGTTTTCAAACTCTGCAAGAGCTATGAAAAGGATGTTTGCCTTTGGTTCAAGACTACCCCACCTTCTGGCACTTGAACAGCTCCCATCATCCCTAGCTTGATTCCAGAACGTTTGGCCTCCATGGGAGAGGCACATGGCACAGCAACTCGCCCTGTGGAATGCGCAGCAGAACATGGGTTGCTCGTGGAACAACCGCGGTGCCCCCACGGGCTGCTTTCCTCTCCTCCTTTCCAGGTCCGGACATAGGACAACCCTTCCTGGGTCCAAAAGCCCCTGGAACAAGCCATGGACTGTCAGGTGGCTCAGCTCAGTGGCCAAAACAAGCCACCCTGCAGGTAGCGGCCAGGCTTCGGATGACGCCCACCGGTCATCCGTCATGAATTGCCGTGCTGCGTCAATCCAGCCCGTTGGACCAGGGCTTTCTCTCCCAGGGTTGTACAGTTCTATTCCCAGGCTCTAGGATGCTGAGAGGTGTGCTATACCTGGGCACGGAGGCGGCATTCCGGGCCATTTTTCCCGCCCTGCTTTTTCCAGATTTGTTGCAACTGGGGGGAGCCGGAAGAGACAAGCCTGCCCTCTTCTGCTGCTGGGAAAGCTGGGAGGACCGAGGCTTCTGCTTTGCCACCTGGGTGATCTCAACAGGCATTTGGCCCACCCAAGCTCCTGTGTGTGGAAGGGATGCCCACACAAAGCAGCTGAAATGACTCATGTGGGGCAGCAGATGAAACGGTGCAGGAAAGAGAGATCCCCACCAAACTATGAACAAATGCAGCCGGGCTGTGAAACTTGCAGGGTTCTTGGACCGCAACTCCCACCACAGCCCCCACAAGGCTGTCTGGAGCCGACAGGAGCCGCAGTCTGTCTGTTTGTTTTATTTTTGCCCAGTTCTGAGAGGTGAGGGGCCAGAGCCACAATCCGGATGCAGCATCTTGGAGGTAAGCACCACCAGGGTGTCCTCCTACACCTGCCACGGATTCTGCTCCACAAGGCCTGCCACGCTTCTCTCCCCACCTCGCAGCTCGGCGGAGAAACTCTTTCCCTGTGCCATCACAGCCTGCAGAAAGTGTCAGGCCGCCATGGCCTGGGCGAGCTGCTGCTTGTGCCCCCCTCCTCTCAGAAAGTCGCTGCTTGAAAGAGAAAAACCACGCCTGGGGGGCTGCTGACGTGGGGCGTGAGAGCACACAAGAAACGCCCCGCACCATTTTTAATCTCAGGGCGGGTGGGCTTTCCCCAGCCCTGTTCTCTCTGCTTGTGCGGGACGGCAATGCCCATCATTCCCAGCCAGCTGGTCGAGGCCTCCTCGAGAGAATGATGGAGGCTGCAGTCCAGCACGCCTAGAGCAGGCATCGGGCTGGGGAAGGGGCGACACAGTTTGATTTAAACCGCCTCCCCCACGCGGTGCTAGTTAGGAGTCAGGCTGGGCGGGCGACACTCCCATCGCTCCAAGCGGGACTGGAGGGTCGAATACAGCTCCCACCGTCCGCGCTGGCTGGGGATGATGGAGGCCGGAGTCCCTGCATGAAGCCGACTGCCGTGAAGTCACCCCACTCCCGCAAAGTCGGGACTCACCTTCGCAGCTCCGCCCGACTGGCGCCTCTCTCCCTCTGGAAATTTCAAACTCGGCGCCGCCCCGCCGCGCCCTGCTCGGATTGGCCGGCCGCGGGCGCCTGCCTCACGCTGATTGGGCAGCAGGATTGGGGCCGGGAAGGGCGGAGAATTTGCTAGCCCACGGGGCTCCATGCGCCCCGCCCAGCCAGAACGGTGCGGGCGCATCACGCAGCGGCTGAGCCTAGATGAGCTTACGAGTTCAGGAATAGTTTCTCAGTGGCTTGAATGTGCATGTCTGAGCAGACCTGGAGATGCGTTCAAGTTACTCAACTAAAGTGGCAATAACACTGCAATTAGAAATATTGTAATCTCATTGTCCCTGTATGATTGGCTGACATTCCTTCATCTGTTCTGTATATGATGGCCTCAGAATTTTATTGTAATCCCTGCATTCTGTCATTAATTGCCCTGTACCTGTACCTGTACCTGACCAGCAGGGTATAAAATACCCTGTAGTTGTATTGAAACTTTGCAGCGAGTTTCCCTCTGCCTGCACGGTAATGCCTTATCGTGAGTCAACTGCGGGAACCTGGGCAAAACAACAAAGCCACAGATGGTCATAACACTTGATCTTTCCCACGAACCCGAGTTTTATTTCCTCCTCACGAATTGAAATTCTGACATTTGGTATATTGTTTATAGTTTGCGTTAAGATTAAACACAAAGACATATGCGGTGTGTCCAGAAAGTAGTGAGAAGGAAGTCCCTACACTCGAGAAGGGCTCTGTGAAGGGAGAAGCCGGCAGAGGTCACTTGGGGTGGGGTGCCAGGCGTACATGAGAATGCTGTTCCGCTGCATTTCAGCCCTGTCAGAGTTGAGACGTTCTCTTTTGTGACACCCTGTTCAAGCGTTAAGAAAGAATGAGGAAGAAAAATGCAAGCGAGTTTGGAACAGCGGTGCCTGATAAAATTGTATGAAATTGGGTAAAAGTGCATCAGAAACTTTGGAAATGGTGAGGCAAGCTTACGGAAAAGCTGTGCTATCATCTGCACAAGTGTACCGATAGCACAAGGCCTTCGAGGAAGGACAAGAAGGTGTGCAAGTCAAACAATGCCCCTCTTCATCAAAAAAGGAACAGAATGCGGGATGCAGTGAGGTCTGTTCACAACAACGCACCAAGTCACAGTGCTTTGGCTGTCAGGGTTTTTGGCTGCGCAACACACCACGGCGCTTCCCCATCCACCCGACAGCCTGGACTTGGCTCCTTGCAACTTTTTCATGCTCCCAAAGATGAAGAATGGTTTGAAAGCACACCATTTCGGTTGTGTGGATAATGTCCAAAGAGCCACTATGCAGGTTCGGAACGGCATCTCACTTGAGGACTTCCAGGGATGCAATAAAGAATGGAAAAATCGCTGCGAGCGTTGTGTACACTCACAAGGTGCACACTTCCAAGGAGACGATGTTCAATTGTAAAATTTCTCTACAAAAGAATTTTAAAAATCTCCTTCTCACTACTTTCTGGACACACCTCAGAGAAGGGCATTTTCACATGTGCCACAGTGTGTGGGCTTCTGTTCGTTTGCAGAAGCAGATGGCAACAAAAGCAAAAAATCCGCTTTCATGCTCAGCAGAGCCCTTCTGTGCCTGTGGAAAAGCACCCTGGGAGAGCACGCCTGGAAGAGCAGATCGAATGCTCGGTCCGCCCACATCAGACCTACGCCCTGAGCAGCGGCATTGTTTGCAGCCCTGAGCAAGAAAACCAGCAGAACTTGGCAATGCCTTAAAACGGGTTGGAGGGGTGGCGGTGAAGGCCTGTTCATCTCCAGGTGTTTCGGATTCCAACTCCCAAAAGCCTTGGGGGTCGACGTTCTGCCCCCGAAAGCCAATCGGATTCAGCACAGTGTTTCCGCGGGTCAGGCCCCTCGATAGCGAGCGCATGACCCAGACATGCAAGCGCACGTGCGACCCTGTGGGCCTAAAGCGAGCATCTGTGCACCGTGGGCTGGAGAGTGTCGGGCCAGGTGATGGGGTGGCACCGTCCCTTTCCAAAGGTGATCTGCAGAGGATCCGTGACGGAGCAGAGGTGTCCCGGCGGGGCCCCCGCTGGCTTGTTATTTTGGCTGCATCTGTCAGTCTCTAAAGGGCAGACTAAAAGCAGTGTCAGTAAAATCAATCAATCAATCAGGCGCTGATTTAAACCACCACCTTTTTGTTACATCATCCTTTAAAGGTAAGCTCTTATGAAATCAGATAAAATGCCTCCTTGGGAGAGGTGGTTCCTTCTGGTGAGAGACGTCCCTCTGAAGGGCCAGAGGACACCCGCCCCAGTAGATGCCATCTCGCAGGACTGGTTTTTCAGCAGGCGAGATGGAGCCCCCGTCAGGTCTGGGACTGCGATGGACAGAGAGGCAGGCAGGCCGGCCTGCCTGCCCTGCTGCAGTATTTGGCAAAAGTGCCGCCCCTATAAAGAAGTACCAGTTGCCCCCATTAACGTTTCTGGATTTGAGCAGGGCTTGGGTGCATTTTATCAGGGATGCGCTAGTATCAGAACCCGGAGAGCGAGGGGAGCCACTCCATAAACCTGCGGAAAGGTTCTTTCCTCCTCCCTCTCCTTCCCTTCTCCTCAGGCACCATATTTGTTCCAGTGTAAGTCCGTGGGCAGCCTTGTTTACGGCTTGATTTTAACTCACGGTGGAAGCCTTTTTGGCTGAGGAAAGGATAAAAATACCGCAAAGGACAGGAGGGCCGGGCTGAGTCCTGCAGTCCACATCAGTCTTGTGAAGAGTCTGTCTCTTTAACAGTTGTTTTTAAAATCGCGCCGTGAAAGCGTGTGATGCTCACACCTGCCAGGCACACACATTGTGCGACAAGGTGATGCCGTTCTGAGGAGGAGGTGCTGGCGCTCACGGCCACGAATGCCACCCTAGAGGGAAACAACAGTGGACGAGAAGTGATCCCTCCCCACCGGGGGCGCGGAGAGGCTGGGGATCTGGGAGCCCGACCGTAGCGCCTGCCTCTGCTCTTTCCAGAAAGGGCATCACCTGCCCGTCTCCTCTGGAGGAATCAACAGACAAGTTTCACGCAAAGACAGACCTCGCTTCAGCTGGTCATGTGTTTATCAAAAGTTCGTGGGCACATTTTGCGCAAAACTCTCTGAGACGGAGGTAAAGCTAACCCCTCCCCAAGCGCTGCAGAGCAACCCGGGGGCCTTTGGCAGGGGATTATGGGAGTTGCAGTTCATTACAACTGGAGAACTCCAGGTTAGAGAAGGCTGCTCTGGGTTGTTTTTAAGAGATCAGCATCCTGAGATGTCCTTCGTCTTGTTCTTCCGTCGAAATCTCGTGTCTGTCGGGTCAAAGCCCTTCTCCTGAGCCCCAAAAACCGCCCAGGGAGGGGTCGGGGCGAGGTAGTCCTCAGAGGTGAATGTTTCGGCTCCCCCGCTCTGTTCGTATCTGTAGACCAGGTCTTGGAAACGCTCGTAATCGATCCAGGTGTGCCACTTCCCACCGATCTTGAACTGAAAAACCAAACAGACACAACCCAGATCCTCACAAAAATGCTTAAAATAGAGGGCCACGTGGCAAGAAGAAAGCGGGCTGTGTTCAGACGTAGCCTTACTGGCGACCCATTTATTTAAGTAGGGTTAATCCTGGATCCAGCTGAGAGAATGAGAAATCAGGACAACTGGATCTAAGCAAGGCGCCCACCAATGTGGACTTCCTTTTGCACAGGCTAGTGAACAAACCAGGATGCCTGCAATGGACCAGAGGTCTCCGTTTCTCCAGAACCAGGGAGAATACCGGTTAAGAACTTCAGAACAAGCCAGAATATTAAACTAACTTCAAACCACGGGCAAATATTCTGAGTTGCTCCAAAGCCGTTGGCCATTGTTTCAAGGTGTGCTTGCTGACTTCTTTCACGACAACAGGGCGTAGAAACCTGAGAAAACACAGAGGTATCGGGGGAAGAGCTCCCACCTTCTTGTGGGCAATCAGGAGGCAGTTGGAGTGTTTGTGTTCGCAGGCTATCTCATACTCGGGGAGAAGGTCAGCCAGCTCCTGAACGAAGCGGCACACCTCCTCGTGCCAGGGGACGTTGGCCATGGTGAGGCTGCTGGCTGAACTTTCTCCACAATAGGTCACACCCTGCGGGAGAGAGAGCAAAACACTTCTTCAGGTCCCCACACCCCGTGGAAAGACCACTCAGCAGCTTTGCTCATGCACAGGAAGCACCTGCTCTGGTGAGCAGAAAAGTATCACAGGGCTTGCACACGGCTGGGCGACAGAGAATCCAAACATGGCCCCAGGTCAAAAAGAAATAACTTAGCAGTTTCAGAAGTGCAAGGAAGCTGGGTCCCCTCTGTGTCGCCAGCACCATGCCAAGCCACCCCAGGTGTCGCTGCGCCAAACTGCGGCACGGGCCTCTCCGTGGCGGCTTCTTGCCTAACTGTGCGGCATGAGGGCGCCTGTCTGACCGCAGAGGCACGGCCTCTGGCGAGGCTTCTGTGGGGAAGTTCCACAGCAGGGATCCAGAAATGCGGACGTGCCTCCCCAGAGATGGGCTCCGAATGTTCTGGGCAGCAGCTCCTGTCAGGCCACTGGCTGGCGAGCCCAAGCTTCTCATGAGCGCCAGAGGGGGAAGGCCGAACTGGCCCACCAGTCCTTGAACCGCAGGCCCGCCGGCCCACTGCGTCCCCCCGGTGTGGCCCTCAGGGCTTCCCTGGGGCGGCCACCTTCCCCTCCCTTCGGATTTTCACGTGTGCTTCCCAGTCCAGCTTCGCACTTCTGGGAGGAAGGGGCAAGCCCAGCCGCTTTGCAGAGGCGCTTCACCAGGACACAGGGTTTGATTCTGGCTCTGGGGAGCAGGGGGAAGAGGGGCCGAGGCTCCCAGTGGCAGCGCTGGAATTTGGTGGGAACTGTGCACCGGCCCTTCGGAGAGGTGGGGCATGCCCAGACAGAGCGGGGAAGAGCAACCGGAGGAGGAAGAGGCGGCGGCAGCATCAGGCCAGGGATCCCAGGATGGGACCTGAACTGAGGAGAGAGGAACGTGCTCCGAGGGCTTTGCCAGGGACTCCTCGGGGGCAGCCCCACCCCGAAGGCACCTCTTGCTGGCAGGGCAGGCCTGAGCTCCAAGCACAAGCACTTCGCCCAGGCCTGGCCCCTGCCCCTCCGGCCTGGCAAGAGGCGAAAGCCGCCGGGCTCCCGTGCAGCAGTCGCTTGCAGCGGGACCTGCTGGGGGGCTGAAGCCGAGCCTGCCCCTTCTCAGTCGCGGCACAGCGACAGGCAAGGGATCCGCATTGTAGCACCGGGACGGGGACGGGGCTGCCCCCAAAGCAGCACCTCAGGCTCAGGTGTGCTGGCAGGACCGCCCACCCCACCAGCAGAGCTCTTTGGAAAGGGCCTTCGGTCCTCGGGGCCAAACGAGGTTTCGCACCCCAGTTCATCGCCTTCCTTTAGTGATTCTATTTTTGACCCACAAAACGAAAAGGCGCAGCATTCAAACACCACACAAAACCCGGCATCAAAGGCAGCAGATGAAAAATACCGTGCACGACAACACAAGAATAAAAATACGGAGGGGACGATTACGAAGCACTCGCTCAATGCCTGGGAGAAAAGAACGGCTGCTGCTTGGCATGGGAAGGGCAACCGTGGAGGCGTCTGCCGCCCCTCTTTGCAGGGCGGGTGCTCCCGAAGGGGGCACCACGGAGAAGGCCCTTGCTCTCCACTGAAACTCACAGCTGGCGTTTCGCACAGCGCCTTTCCCGCAAGCAGCACCTCGCCGCCCGGGGAGGCCGGGTCGGGGTGCAGAGCAGCCCAGGCCGTGCCATGCGGTCCTGCGGACCCTTGTCGGGCGCTGCGGAGAGCCCCACGCGGCCTGGGAAAGCCTTGTGCGTCCACCTGTGTGCAAGCGAGCGACCCACCTTGACCTCGATGAAGTCCGGCCGGCCCAGAGACACCAGTGCGGCGTACGCCCTCAGCTCGTCCACGTTCCAGGCTTTCACCAGTGTCAGCCGGTAGACAGTGCGCTGGCGCTGAAAAGAAGGCGGGAGCCGGGCTGAATCGACGGCGGCGGGAAAGCTGCCTTGCCACACCAGGGCGGCCCGTGGGAGCGGGCCGTGTGCTGCCCGTGCCTCCGCCCTGCTTTCCCACCTCCCAGGAGCCCAGGGCGGCATTCGGCATCCTCCCCATTGTACCTTCACAACAACCTTGCGAGGTGGGCAGCCCGACACTCAGGGACCGGCCCCAAGTCGCCTGGCGAGCTTCTTGGCAGAGTGGGGACTTGAACCCAGGTCTGCTTGCAGTACTACACCACACTGCCTCTGATTGGGTCACTCCGAGGCCGAATTTTGTTACTGGGGTCAGAGGTTAAAGCATCCAGGTTTTTTTAAAGCAGAGGTGAGATACTAGTCCTCACGGCCGCAGAAAAATGAGTGGAAGAGCAGCCTTTCCAGGCATGCGAGGCGGAGAAGGCAACGCTGGGCACGGGCAGAGCAAAGAAAGACACGGCATTCTCATGTTGCCATGTGTAGTAGAGCTCACAACTGCAGACAGAGACAGTGCAGTCTAGTGGTTAGACTGCCGGAGCAGGGCTCAGGAGATGCAGGTTTCGGTCTGGGGCTCAACGGATGACGGTGGGACGGGCACTGACTCTCGACCCAGGCCACCTTGCTGGATCGTTGCGAGGATACCTTGGACGGGAAGAGGACATGCAGGGTCCCTCCAGAGAGGAAGAAGGGTGGGAATGCCTCCAACGCCTGAACAAGAGCAGGGTGCGCGCAGGCAGCCCAGCTGCTGGGGGCGTGGGTCCAGTTCCTGGTGCCCCCCTGCCAGGCACTGGGCCAATGTGGGTGTGGGGAGTCCCTCGCGGCCCGAGCCCGTTGCTCCGGGAACAGAACTGCTCCGGGGCAGAGCCAGCCCCTGCAGATGGCGAGCCCCGTCGCCCCCGCACCTTTTCGGCCAGGGCTTGCAAGCTCCCCAGGAACCTGGCCCAGAAGTCCTTGAAGAGCGGCCGGTCGATCCTGCGCAGGCTGTCCGGGGTGCTGGCGTCCACGCTGACGTACAGCTGCGTCACCGGCACGAGGCTCCTGAGTCGCGGGGGACAAGAGGGAAGCCGCGGGTTGGGAGCGCCACGGCTGAGCGGGGGGAACGGGGTCTTCCCCAGCCTACCACTCCTACAAGTCATGTCTGGCTGGGGACGATGAGGTTTGTAGTCCAGCATACAGTAGCCCACCCCCACCTGAGCGGGGTTGTTTGAAGACAGCTGGGCCCCTCGCCTGCCAGTGCAGAGGGTGGAAGCTGGCGGCCCCTCCCCTCTTGCCTGGGCAGCCTGCCTCAACCGCCAGCGGGGGTCTCCCCCGCCCTCTTGCCCAGGGGGCGCGAATCAAGCTGGGCCCCTGTGCATCCGCAGGGCGAGTCCTCCATGAGCTCCAGCCCCGCGGATCAACAGGAGCTTGGCAGGTGGGTGTCCCAGCCCACGGGCCCTGGCGTGGCGTGGCGTGGCGGGTGGTGGCAGCCAGGGAAGCCGGGCCGAGCCGGGACGAGGCCGGACGACGGTCAGCAGCTGCGACGGTCGGAATGGGGCTGCCCCGGCCCCAACCTGCCACCTTTCAGACCTCGGCTCATAGAAGGCCCCGCCCACACGGCCCCGAACCCAGAATGGCTGGTGGGAACTGGAGTCCGAACACCTGGGAGGCACCAGGGCTCATAATAAGCCACGCCGCTTGCACGACTTCACAGCACTCACCGTTTGGAGTTTGTTCATGCCATCCCGCACCTTTTTCTTGTGAGGACACCGGGGAGGCTTATGCCCCCCCCCCCCCCAGCTCTGTCTTACCTGATCTCCTCCGGGAACTGTGCATTCGTCACTAGAAAGCTGGAAATCTTGCGCTGGTGCAGCAGCCGGAGGAACTGGTTGATCTGGGGGTACATGATCGGCTCCCCGACCAGCGAGAGCGCGCAATGACTGGCCTCCAGGCCTTCCGCCAAGCGGTCGGTTCGCACGCCCGGGACCCCTGCAAAACCCCAACAGAAGGCTCACCTGGGGGAGGGCGCTGGCCTGCAGCAGCGGTACTGAGCAAGGGCCAAATTCCTTTTCAGAGAAGCGCACGGGGGGTGGGGGGTGGTCCTGGGGTGAGCGGGGCTCAGATACCAGCATGTTTTAGCCTCCGGCTCTGGCTGCCCCTAAACAGCCCTGGGAGAGGCACCTTGGCCTTTCAGAGCAGGAAACAGCCACTGCAATGCCCAGAGGTCACCAAATGGTTTGGGAAAGGGGGCATGGCCCTGTGCGGCGGTCCAGTCCTCCAGCTCGGAACCCCTTCAGGGCAGGATTGAGGCCCAGAAGTGAAATTCCACATCCCGGGTTTTCCAGCTCGAACGTAAGATCATAGGACAGCGATGCTTTGGCTGCATCGCTGAGCAAAGTCGGGCTCTCCCCGCAGAGATGCCGAGAGGGCTGGACTGCTGGCGGATCGAGCAGAGGGACTGAACTGCCGTGCGTATCTGCCGTTGGACTTTCAGCAGTTCTCCCTGAAAAATGCGGCGGCAGGCTGTGGAAACGTGCCAGCTGTTTTGAACTAAAAGCCGTTAAAAAGCCTAAGGACAAAGCCTGCAAGGAAGATCTGGAAAATACAAGCACCAGCTTCGCTTTGCAGCACAGCAAGTCAGACCGAGCGAAGAAAGTCGCCCGCTGCCACAGCATTTCTGGAAGCGCCTGATCCCTGGCAGAAAACGGCTGTTGCCACGCCGGCCTCCAGGCCAGGGCAAGCCGCTCCCTCAGAAGCGCAGATCCTAAAAGATGGTGCTCGGCTGCCAGCAGTCCTCCGGCCACTGGCCGCCTGGCTGCAGCTGGGGCAGTGGGGAGTCCAGTTCCCCTGGAGGGCCCCGGGGTCCCCGCCACGGGGGTGAGCCCGCACGCGGTCCCAGACTACCTCTAAACTGCCTGATCAGGTTCTGATGGTTCTCCAGGGCCTCCTGCAGGATCATTTCAGGCTGGTCCATCTTCCACCGCCACTCAGTGCCCACAGGGTTCGTGTGATGCCTGGAGAAACACACACACGCGCGCGCGCACACGGATTCAGGGCACCCCCGGCTTTGCTTACGGGAAGGGTCCGCGCCAGGCATTTGGCACAACCTGCCCCAAAGCGGGGCCTGCCACACGCCGACTCTGAAACGGTGGGACCCGGTGGAGCCGACGGGCGGTGCCTGCGCAACACGCCCCACCCCGCGGAAGGACAGCCGTCGCTCTGCGGCTCCAAGCACATAGGGGGAGCCCCGACAGCTACGAAAATGAGTCGCTGGCTTCCCCTGGCGGGGGCGGCTTTATAACACAGGGGGTGAAAGCTCAGTGCCTGGCAAAGGGCAAGACTCGGGGAAGCGGGGGCCGCAAGAGGAAGCGCCTCTTCCGCGGCGGAGGGCCGGCATGCTGGCGGCTTGGGAGGGCTTTCCCGCAGGATGCTGGTCCGGCCGCCTTGGCTTATTTGGGCTTGGAAGCAGACGCTACATAGTTTAACGAGCCTGAGGACCCGGGTGCTGTTCAAGAGCTTGAGAGGCAGCAGGCAACGGAGGGGGAAAAGGCTCGCCCAAGCGCAGGCACGGGCAGAGGGGCCCTGGGCCCAGCAGGGGGGTCCAGCTGGCGGGAGGGGCTTTTCCTCTGTCCTTAGGGGGCCTGGCAGCAGACTCGGCGGCTCACCTCCAGCAGAAGACACACTTGTTGGCGCAAGCCAGGCTGGGGGTCGTCTCCATGCAGCGATGGCTCTGGATGCCATAGAAGGTGTGTTTGTAACAGCCGCCTCTCCCACGAAGCATTGACTGGCGGCAGAAGAAAGGCGGGGGGGAGGCGGGGGGGGGCCGTGAGAAGCAAAACGCACACAAACAATCTCAAACAGGCACTGCTGCAAGGTGCGACCGAATCTTACTGGCGGGGGTGGGGGTTATGGTTTTTACTCAGAGGCGTGCTTCTTGGTATCCTTTAAACCATCGTATTTTACCCTGTGTGCTCCTCAATGATAACAACCCCCCGCCACATCTATTAATCTAGGGATGTCCACAAACGGAGGGCCACCAATACACACAGAAACAGAGCGAGTCAGAAGGGGTCTCCCGGGCCATCTAGTCTGACCCCCGGCTCCAGCCGGCTCCACTCATGACATGCCTACCACGCGTCTGTCCAGCCTATCCTTGAACACCCGCACCGAGGGGGCTTCCACCAGCTCCCTTGGGAGCCCATTCCATATCCCGGGGTCCTAACTGTCAGGAATCCTTCCTGAAATCCAACCTGAAGCCCAGTCCCTTGGCTGTGCCCCTCTGGCACACGTCCTGCCCTCCCCTGCAGGGAAGAGGAGCTCCCAGCCCTCCTCTGTGCAACATCCCCTCTTTTAAATGCCTAAAAGATCCCCCTCGGAGTCTCCTTTTGCCCAGGGGGAAAAGACCCAGTTCCCCTAATCTCTCCTCGTATGTCATCCCTCCCAGCCAGGCTCCCCTTTTTGCAGCCCTGGGCCGAACCAATCCTGCACTAGCTCTGTCTCTCCTAAAAATTCCCCGCTTCATAGTAAAAGCCCACGGCCCCGGTTGGCACATACTGACAGTGTAGCCAGGGGCCGAGTATGGCGGCTGTGGAACTGCGGCCTGTCATTACATGCGAACCCTGCACCCTACACTACAGTTTAACTCTGGGTTATCCACAAACCACCCAGGAACAGAACCCATGGTTTGCTGTAGCGCTGGTTTGTTTGAGGTTAATAACCCATAGTTAGGCCATAACACTGGGTTCACATTAAACAACAGCCCACAATTCAACAACAATTCATATTCAGTCCATACTCTCTGGGTTGTTATGTGCAGACCAGGTGAAAAGCGACAGGCATTTAAGAACTAGCTCAATCTTAAAAGAAGTACCTTTGTCCAACGACAAAGCTTCACTCCGGAATGGCTCCCAATCAACCTGTAGCCTGGATTGGACGAGATTTTTGTTGTTGTTGAGTTTGAACCATGCTTGCAGAAGGAAGCTGCTGGAGTGACCAACCCATGCCAGGGGGACGAGGCGAGACCACCCAAATCACCCTGAAAGCCCTTCGGGGGCCTGCCAAACTTGCCTCCCGGGGGAAAGGGAAAGCAGCCGATCCTGTCAGAAAGGAGGGTGGCCCAGCCTCCGATTCTCTTTGGGAAGAGAGGGGTTTCAGCCTGTGCTGGTTCTATTCTGCATCCCCCAAGGAGTGCCAAGGCCACACACCCGATTTATCCACCCATCTGGACCTCAGCGCAACCCCGAGTGGCAGGGCGAGCAGAGGAGCGGCCGCCGCACCCAGACCCCATCCTGGGCTTCCTGGAGCCAGCGCACTGGCCGGATGACGAGGACCAAGGGAGCAGCCCTCGCTGCGGCCCGGTGGGGCTTCCCTCACACGCAGACGGCAGCCCGGCGAGGAGCCGGGCCCGGGGAGCCAAGAGCGAATTCTGGCAATGAGCGCAAGGATTAGCTCTTGGCTCCCCGGGCCCGGCAATGAGCGCACCCTGCCCTTCCCCGGGAGCAGCACTCCTGAGCAACCAAATGTGGGGACACAGGCTGCAGTGAGCCCCAGATCACGCAGCGGCTGCAAGGTTGTGGGATGCACCAGGCAAGGGGTGCAGCTTGCTGGCTGGCTGGCAGAAATCCGCCCTGGTGCACGGGGCAGGGGGAGCGTGGCTCAGTCCCCCACTGCAACTGTGCACACCAAGTTAGCAGTCTGCTATTGGGAGAGCTCATTCTCACCACCCCTAAGGCAAGGACAGCAGGGAAGCCGGGGGGGGGGGGCGCTGTCACCCTCCCTGATAATAGCACTCCCCCACCTTGACCCCGAGAGTCCTGGCTGCACCCACGGCCCATCACCTTGCTTTGTGAGTGCCTCCCGGAGAGCAGGTGTGAGCATCTCTCTCTTCTCGCCCTCCCCTGCACTCTGCTGGGATCCAGCCACCCCGGCAGCCTCTCTGTCGAGCTCACGCTCCCTCTGAATGGCAAAAGAGATGACCCAAGTCAAACCAAGAACCAGCTTGGGACACAGATCCAGAAATTCTAAAGGCACAATCACAGAGGTACGATTCCAAGAAGGAAAAGGGGCAGAGGACAACAGAGGAATCCCACGTGGCGTCACAAAAATGCAGAGATGATCTGCAAGCGGAAAAGAGCATGTCTTGGAAGTGGAAGGAAGGCCAGGCTACAAAGGAGGAAAGCAGGCAGATGGCACAGAAGTGCAGGGAAGGCGTCAGGAAGGCTAAGCTCGGGATGAGTTGAGGCTAGCGAGGGATGCCAGAAGCAACACACAGTCCTCTTCAAGTCAAAGGAAAAGCCCGAAGTAAAAGACACAGGGAGCTGAACTGCTCGGTGTGGGTGGCCAAATGGTATCGGAGGCAGAGGAAGGGCGGAAGTGCTCAGCTCCTACCTCGGCTCAGCCTTCCCCCAGAAGAGGATCTATGGGAAGGAGCAGGATGGCGGCTCAGGACGGACAGGCCAACGGCCGAGGACCCTCCCACGGGGCCAGATGAGTTCACCTCTCCAGGGCCCGATGAGCTCTGTCCTGCGGTCAGAAGGGAGCTGGGGAAGAACTCGCAGAGCTGCTCGGCTGTCTCTGAGAGATCGGGGGGACGGGGAAGTGCCAGGTGGCTGGAGGAGGGCCAGTGTCCAAGGAAGCGGAGAAAGGAAAACCTGGGAACTACAGACCAGTCAGCCCGACATCAATCCCTGGGGAAATTCTGGAGCAGATTATAAAGCAGTCAGACTGCAAGCACCTTGAGAACAATCCAGTGATTACTAGAAGCCAACATGGATTTTTAAAGAACAAATCCTGCCAGGCTAATCTGATTTCCTTTTTTGATTGGGTAACCTTCCTGATGCACAGTGAGAACATAAACTATCTTAACTTTGGCAATGCTTTTGACAAAGTGCTCCGTAATATCCTGATCAGCAGACGAGCAGAACGTGGCATGGACGGAACAATGACTGGCTGGAGCCACAGCTGGGCGCAGCCGTGAACTCAACATGGCAAGGCGCTCCTCAAACTGGGGCGAGGCAACAGCGGGGGCACCGCAGCGGTTCAGCCCTGGGCTCCGCCCTGTTCGACTTCCTTGCGAATGATTTGGATGAGGAAGTGCAGGGAACAATCATAAAGTTTGCAGAAGACACAGAAGTGCGTAGGGCAGCGAATACCCTGGCAGGTGGAAACAGGATCTGAAGTGACCTTGATAGGCTGGGGTGCAGAATGAAATTCAGCAGGGACCAATGCCAAGCTCCACACCCAGGAAAAAGAAACCTCATGCATTGTTACCAGATGGGAAATGCTTGGCTCAACAGTGCACAAGTGAGAAGGGTCCTGCAATTGCGCATCACGAGCTGAACGGGAGCCAGCAGTGCAATTCGGCTGCCAAGGGGCAGGTGCTGTTCTGGGCTGCATTAATGGGAGCACGGCTTCCAGATCTCCAGAGGTCCTGCTTTCCCGCTGCTGGGCACTAGCTGGGCCCCATCTGGACCCCTGGGTCCAGTTCCGGGTTCCTCAAGCTGGGAAGGGACCAGAGGAGGGCGGCGCGGATGGCCCGGGGACTGGAGGCAGCCCTGCGAGGAGAGCTTGGAAGAGCTGGGCCTGTGAGCCTCGGGAAGAGAAGGCGGAGGGGCGGTGGGAAGGGGGCTGTCACAGGACGAGGGCCTCGCTCTCTCCTCGATCATCCCGGAGCGCAGGACACGGAATAGTGGGGACAAGTCCCAGGAAGCCAGATTCTAGCTACGTATCACGAAGAACTTCCTGGCTGTTATTGCAGTACAGTCATGGAACCCGTGACCTGGGGAGGTGGTGGGCACTCCCTCACGGGAGGCATTCAGGGGGCAGCTGGACAGCCACCTGTCTGGGATGCTTTAACTGGGGCCCTGCACTGAGCAGGGGGTCGGACCAGATGACCTGCTGGGTCCTTTCCAACTCGACTGTTTTGTGAATCCGTGGTTCCATGAAATCACACCTCAAGCCAAATGTATCACGCTAAGCTTGGCTCCGTGAACTGAGTTACAAAGGGCAAAGCGCAAACATGACATCTGAGGAGCCGACTGAGCCTACAGGGATGGCAGTGCACAAAGCTGTCGCTAAAGCCTGAAAACTGCAAGAATTTTTCACACTGATGTTTTGATAGATGGAGCCATAGCAAAAAAGCTGACTCCCAGAGCAAAATCACCCGAGGGCAAGCTCAAAACATCTGAATGTTATACAATAGGTCCAAAGCAGGGAAATACCCATAAAAAGTATCTCAAAGCTTTTTCCTCACATTATGGCAAAGAGGTACAGGGCCCAATCTAGTAAAAAAAGTCCAAACCCTTCCAACATTTTCCTGCCAGCGGTGAATTTTTCCCATCTAAATATGCACAGGATAGTAGGGCATTTTGCCATTTAAACTTGCATAGGACTGTCGGTCTTTTTCTTGTGCCCCAAACATAATTCACTTTTAGGAAGTATCATAAACAAAATCTCTGCACTACTGAGGGATATACCCGTACTTGCTTGGGGGAAAATGTTAAACATACTCTGTCAATACCTAAGCTGAATTTTCTTTTCGTAGTTTCTAGGCTTGCTTTTGAATTTGGAAAATTACTAAAATCTTTAAAAGAAAGGAACCTGTGTTTCCAAGATCAGGAAGATGAGTGGATTTCCCCAGTTGAGGGCCTAAAATGGCCTTCGCCCAACTCCCAAGAACCCAGTTTATTGGCCACGCTGCCTGGGGCTGAAGGGAGTTGAAGTCCAGGACTTCAGAAGGTGCACCAGGCTGGGGAAAGTGAACCTGGTGCAAATCAGGGAGGGAGTGCCAGCCAGCCAGCCAGCCAGAGAAGACGCTCAGCCAAAGCAGAGGAAGCGCCCGGGACCCCCGGAAGGGCCCGGCCACAGCACTCGCGGCCGGACGGCGCACCTGGGCTCTCCTCATGTGGCCCACCATGTGGCCCAGGTCCTCCACGTCCACCACCTGCCTGGCGCGCCGTCCCGCCTCATCGCCAGAGTCCTCCTCGCTTGTGGTTTCGCACGGCTCCTCCTCCTGTGGAAACAGGGGGTCAGGGTGGCATTTCCGCACGCTGAGGGTTTTCCCGGTCGGGGTGGCATCGCACGCGCAGCACTTCAGTCTTGGCAAAGCCCCCGCAGGGCTTCAGCCACAGGGCAGGGAGGGGCCGATGCAGTGCGGGGACGCCGCTTCCGGGAGAGGACGCCTCCCCCGGCCAGCCAGCGAGGCCGCGTGCCTCCGCCCAGCGCCGAGGAACCACGGCTGCCCTCCTCCGGGGCCTGCCTGAGCCGGGCCAGGGCAGGGGCAGGGCAGATCAGGGCCAGCTGCGAGAGATGCGCCCCAGCAAGACCCAGCCTCCAGAGGGCAGGCGATACTCCTGGCGGAAGGGGTCCGAGGCTCCCCTACGCTGTGCGTGTCCCCTGGGCGGCTGCCCCAGTGTTGCTTTGCCCCCGTTACCTAGGGTGAAAGGGAACCTCCCAGCCTTGCACTACAAACCTCATCATCCCCGGCGTGGGAATGAGAGGAGGTGCTGTTCAGCCCATTTGGCATGGCAGGACCTACAGGCTGTTTTTTCACCCAGACTCTTTTCTACTGTTGCAAATGGTTTGTCAAAGGCCCAGAATTTTGGTTTTGCTGGCTTGCATTTTGAGAACCGCTCAGAGAGCTTTGGCTGATGGGCAGCACGGACAGGAAAAGCAAGAAAACGAAAGGATTAACGAGGCTGCAGCTCAAGAGGCTGGCATTTCCACATACGCCTTTCACCAAAGTTTGGAAAGAAGCAGCAGGGAAACAGAAGAGCCGCAGGAAAGAAGGGCAGAGCAACCGAAGATGGAAAGGACAGGGATTCGGGAAAGACAGAAGGGCCAGAGAGATCTGAAGGGAAGCAGACCCCCTCAGTTCCACAGCTGAAACAAACTCCGGGGGCCCTGTGCCGGTTGAGGGCCCAACGTCGAAATGGGGTGAGGTGCCCAAAGCCAGCGGCATCCTGTGGCCGGCAGCTCTTGCTGCCCGGAACTGGAGAGGCGCGTGGACTGCTGAGAATGGGCCGAAAAATGCAGGGACCCAGAGATTCCCCGAGCAGCCAAACTATGGGGAAAAGGGGGCAGGGCCAGGGAAGCAGGCAGGCCTTCTGGACCTCTCTGAAGCCCCCCCCCGCCCCCCGCCAGAAGCAGGCCCCAGGCCTGGCGCTCTGCCGGACGAAGGAAGGAAGGAAGCACTCCGGGGGGGGGGGGTCCGCAGGGCGTGCCTGGGCTGGCCGCACGCTCTGCCTACCTGCTCCTGCGTCCCCAGCTCTCGCTCTGCCGTCCTTCGGCGCTTCTCGTCTTTGGGCGCGCACCTGCCTTTCTTGCAGCCCCCGCCGCAGGCCGCCTTCCCCGCTTTGCAGAGGGCCCGCAGCCGGGTGAGCAGCCTGTGCTTCCAGGCCTCGAAGTCGGCCTCGAGACTCCCGTGCCTGCTCGCTGCCACGTTGGCATCGCCCTGGCCGCAGGACAGGACGCGCCGGGCCCCCAGCTGCCACAGCCACTTGTCCACGTTCCGGCCCACCTGCAGCGGGAGAGGAGCCTGGTGGGCCCCGGGCGCAAAGGCGGGCCCTGAGGAGGGGCTCACATCCGGGCCACGCAGCCGGGCGCCGCATTATGGGGAAGCCTGCGGTTCAGCAGCAGAGCCCCTGCTTTGCATGCAGACGGTTCCCGGTTCAAATCCTGCCAGTCCTTAGTGAGAAACATGGAAACAGAGCGAGTCAGTGGGGGCCTCCCGGGCCATCCAGTCTGACCTCCGGCTCCAGCCGGTTCCACTCACGACAAAGTTAGACAGGGCATTCCTCACTCTTCCCAAGAAGAGGCTCCCATTCAAACAGGCTGAATGGTTTCTAGGACGTTCGCTATTCCATCCAGTTTTGTTATCATCTGCAAATTCGATTTTCCTTCCTCATACTTCCTCATCCAAATCATTAATGCAGATGCTGAAAAGCACTGGGCCCAGGACTGAACCCTTCGGCACCCCACTCGTTACCGCCATCCAGTTTGAGAAGGTGCCGTTGTTGAGTGCTCTGCAATTAGCGATCACTGTGCCTTGGGTTAACCTCACTGGTGACTCTGGTGCACCCGCAACTGGAGTATTGTGCTCAGTTTTGGGCCCCTCATTACAGGAAGGACATAGCCAGGTTGGAGTCAGTGCAGCGAAGGGCCACAAGGTTGGTGGCCGGTTTGCAGGGGATGCCGTACGAGGCGAGACTGAGGGAACTGGGTCTCTTCAGCCTGGAGGAGACTCAGAGGGGATCTCTTGGCGACATACAGGTATGTGAGGGTGTGTCACACGGAGGTGGGCAGAGACCTGTTCTCCCCTGCAGAGGAAGGCAGAATGCGCTCCAACGGAGCAAAGCTCAGGGAGCCAAGGTCCCATTTAGATGCCAGGAAGCACTTCCTGACAGCTGGGACCCCCAGGGTGTGGAATGGGCTTCCACGAGAGGTCGTTGAGGCCCCATCGGTGAGGGTGTTCAAAAATAGACTGGACATGCACGTGGTGGGCATGTCGTAAGTGGAGCCGGCTGGTCCCGGAGGTCAGACTAGATGGCCCGGGAGACCCCTTCTGACTTGCTCTGTTTCCATGCTTTCTATGTTTTTCTAATGCTGCCACAGCAGTGTTGCAGTATCAGCTCGACTGAAACTTGGAGAGCACTCTGTTCCGAAAGCTTTGCGAAAACTGGATAGATGTTGTCCACGGTGTTCCCTCTGTCCATTTGGGAGGTTACCCAGTCATTTTTGGGACCCTCTGCAGTCCGACTCAACAGGACCCCACACGGCTTTTTAAAGCAAAGGCTCTCGGTGCCCCGCATTGCTTTCTGTGAATTCCTGGCAGCCCCATAGAACTGCTTCTCCCACATGGACAACCCCCAGTGCACCCGCCCCGTTGGAGACATTCCGATTCTGGAAAAGTTTCTGAACAGACTTGGTCTGTTTAGCAGAGGGAAGGATGCTCAAGGCATGGCTTCCTGAATTTGTAAAAAAGTGTTGGGAAGAATGAATGCCTTCTGATGACACACCGGCAGGTATGTGCCGAAACCCCCAGGAATGTCTGAAAACCTAGAGCAGCGGGACAATGGGGCCTGCTTGGACTCCTTCTGGCTTTAAAGCAGCCAAATCACGGAGGGCCCTCTGCGGCCCAACATAAGGGCTGTGGGGGCGTGCCCATGGGGGTTTGGTGCCTCAGGTCAGAGGGGTGGAACTCTTCCAGCCCGATTGGGTATGCGGGCGGTGGATGCCGTCCCCTAGCTGAAAGGTTTAGAGAGAAGGCCGGTGAGGAAGGGGCCAGATTTCCTCTGCTCAGGGCAAAGGGTCAGGAGAGTCGACCGTAAAGCAGGCTCCCCCTCCGAGAGAACCAGAACCAGAACCAGCCCCAGCGCCAAAGGGACAACGCAGGACTCACGGTGTTGTAGTGATCGGCATAGGAGGAATTCCCCAGCCCGAAGGCAGCGTATCTCAAGCCCTTCAGGTACGTCTGGCCGACTCGGAAGTCGCAGGCCGCCTCTTCCAGCCACTTGCAGAACCAGGCTGCGTTCTCCGTCGGCTTCCCCTCCGTGTACGTGGCAACGAGGAACACGCACACGCTCTTGCTGCGCGCCTGAGAGGGGCCGGGAAGAGAGAAAAGAGCCCTCGAGCCCGTTCTTGACTCCCCTACCCCCGGAAGCACTTGGGGATCTGCGGGCGCCCAGGCGGGCCAGGGCGCCCCCTCCTTCCGGCCGGGGCTGCCAGCCGCTCTGCTCAGCGACCCGTCCTCAGCCTGGCTCCTACTCGCTCGCTCGAGAGACACAGGGCGACCTGGCCAAGGCCACTGCTGCCCTGCCACGACCGCGATCTCGGCACAGCCAGGCTGGTGCAGGAGGCGGCAGGGGCACTCGCAAGCCTCTGCACTGGGGCGGGGGGTGCCCAGGCCTTGTGGGGGCCTTGTCCCACCCCGGACCGGACAGAGCCAGCCCCGATGTGCCCCTTGGCTCGCAGCTCTCCGTGGCGTCGGTGCTTCAGCGGGAGCAGGAGGGGCACCCCGAGCAGGCCTGGGCCCAAAGGCGAGATCCCCCCACCTCATCCACCAAGCAGTCCTCCGGATCGTAGCCTCCCATGTCGATGACCTCTGCCGGCAAATTCATGGCAGTGACGGCTTCGGCCAGATTCAGTGCAAACCTCTGGAAAGACAAAGCGAGACCAGAGTAGGCGAAGGACCGCTCAGTTCATTCTTCCCCAAGCCAGCATCCTCCAAATGTCCCACACTACAGCCCCCATCACTCCCACCACCACGACCCCACCAGAAGCCTCCTCAAGCTGAACGTGTTCCAGACTTGTTGGGTTTCTCTCCCCATCAACCCCAGGAAGCTGGGGCTGATGGCAGGTGTGGTTCAGCACATCTGGAGAGCTTCAGGTTGAGGGAAGCTGTACCAAGAAGCAAGGACGAAATGAGCATGACCAAGAAGAGGGGACAGGCAAGAAACAGCCCTTTCCTCCAGGCCACGAAGGGTGTTCAGTGGCACCGGGAGCAGCCGTGCTGCGCTTCTTCATGGGACCTTCGTAGTGAAAGGGCTACGATGCCCTGCCCCAACAAGGCGGGGAGGACTGCCAAGTTCCCCTCCTATGCATTCCCACCACCACCATCCAGTGAGGCAGGCGGGGCTGAGAGTGTGCCTGGCCCAAAGCCACCCGGCGGGCTCCATGGCCAAGCGGGGAACAGAGCCCGGGTCGCCCGAGCGCCGGTCCTGCATGCTTCAGCACTGCTCCATGCGGTTCCTGCCCTGGCTCCTACCATGGAAAATGCTTGCATTTTTGTATGTTGGGAAAAAAATCTATGCTGCCGATTACTGGATTCAGGTCCATGTTTTTAGCAATGGCCATGAACCATCCAGGGGGTTTCAGCTACTGGACAATACAGAAAAGAAACCAATCAGAAATAGGAGGCCTTGTACAATCGGGTGCCGTCAGATGTTGACGTCTACAACTTATATCGCATCCTGAACTGTCGACATTTGGGAAAGATGGGAGTTGCAGTGCAAAGCTTCCAGAGACTAAACGGCGCATCCAGTCAGGGGCTCCGGCAAGAAAGCTGCGATGGCCCTGGAGGCGGCTGTGGCCACTGTTCAAGGGGGCAGCTGCCTGGAGGTGCAACCTCACTTCGGAAGGCCCGAGAGCCTCATGCAGCTCTGCTGCGACGCGAGGGGACTGAAGGAGCTGCTGTCGGGACGGCCAAAGAGGCCTGCAGCCCTGATCCGGCCGAGATCCATCAAGTTCAACAACCTGGCCACACACCGGCCAAGTGAGCAAAGGGACACGGGAACCCACATGCAGGGCATGAGCGCAGCTGTACCCTCCCACCCATGTTCCCCAGCAACTGGGGCACAGGGGCATTCAGGAGCCACTGGAGACAGGCGGGCTGCCCTTCAGTTGCCTGTCCCCTCCTGCTCTGCGCGCTGACAAAAATGTCGGGCTTCCTCAGCCAAGATCCAGCACCAGAAAAGGTGGACTGAGCAGGGGGAAGGGAAGTGCTTCTGAGCATGAGCAAAGGGTCTTTCCCCAACCAAGGACAGAAACCGCCGCACATCTGGAGGAGAGGAAAGGACACGGCTGGATTTCCAGCCCCACTGACCTTTGCCGTTCCGGTCTGAGAGCCAAAGAAAACCTTCACCCCAGTTACGGGGGCTCCGTCAGTGTGGCGGGCTGCCTCCCGGATCTCCTCAGCAGGGCCTTTTGGAGAGCCACACTCCCCCAGGAGAGCGCCATCCTGCAGAACAGATGTTTGAAACGGGCAGCGCTGAGCCACCGCGGCAGACCGGGGACCACCGAGATGGCACGGCTTTCACCGAGCCTCCACCCCGGGGTTCTCTCCCCACAATGTGCATGACAAGCACCAACCCTGGTGGGTTTTCGGCACCTGTTGAAAACCCCTCAGCTTCACCAGCCTTTCACTGCCCCGGGAGCTTCCTTTTTACTGAACTTTCATTGTGACAGTAACAGATTCTGCTCACTTTGAATTTTGTTAGGCAGGAACAAGCAAAGTTTTCTAGCGAGACACAAATCACAGATTTTCTGCCTGGGCTATTTGTGATTAACAGCCCATAATTAAGCCACCGTGTAGAGATGCACCTGAGAAAACACCCATGATTCAAGCAGCGCTGTCGTTATGTGGGCACTGGGAGCTCTTTTGGGGTTGCTTATGAGCAACAGACCATGGATTACTGACGCACTGATGCGCTTTACCCATGGCAGCCACTGAAAGGGAACGGGCGGGCCAAGCCCGGCCAACGAGGGCCCCACGTACCTGCCTCCGGGCTTTACTACGGAGCTGGATGCAGATCCAGAGGCCGAACCCCAAAGCGGCACACGAGTAGAGGTAAAATCGGTTCAGCCACAGGAATGCCAGATGACCATAGAGGCTGCCGCATGTTTCCACAGGCACGTCTGGAGCAAAGCAAAACCGCAGCACAACCGTAGAGGAGAGGGCTTCCCAGGGCAGGGGCGGCAACAGCGCCCCTGAGGGCATGCAGAAGGCGCGCCCAGCTGCACCTCCGAAGGGCAGGAAGCCTCGCGGGTGCCTCTGCTGCCGTGCGCAGCCCGACGGGCCCGGGGCAGCCCGGCGGACACGGCCTCCTGCTTCCTCTCTTTCCCCCAGCCTTTCAGGAACAGCCATGAGGACTAGCACCTGCGCTGCGGCGACGGCCGCGCCCCGGTAGCACCGCGGGACACACTTCGGCTGCCCCCGGCTAGAGGGCCCCGGGGCGGGCGGGCTCGCCGGGAGGCCCTCGGATCGGGCCCTCCGGCAGGCAAGCGGAGCGGCTCCTCGCGAGTCGGCTCCCCCGGCCTTAGGAAGCTGGCAGAGACGCCGCACGCCTACTCAGCAGCCGGACGCATCCGCTCCCGCAGGGCTTACTCCGGAGTAAGCAAGGGCTGCCCGCGCGAATCAGCGGGGCAGCGAGAGCCACTAAGCGGCGCCGGGCTCACTTCGGTCCTAGGACCGGGCTCCTCGGGCAGGCCTTCTCTCCGACTCACCCCGGGGAAGCTTGCCCCGCGAGTAATCCTCGGATCGGGACCCTCGGCAGGCCTGCTGTGCCGCCCCCCCACCCCCGCACCGCCACTCCCCGTCCAGACAGGCCTTACTTCCGAGGAAGTAAGCTTACCCATGGCTGCGCGTCCGAGCAGCGCTGCAGCGCCGGGCTCGGAAGAAGCGGCTACTCCCAGGGAGACCTCTCGGGCCGCCCCCACGAGCTGCTGGGGGCCGCCATCTTGCCCCGCGGCCCGCCCGGGCATGCTGGGAAGGCCGCGCCCCCGCCCCGCCGCGGTTCCGCCAGTTCCTGCGCACGCCGAATCCGGAAGGCAAGAGGAGCGAGGCGGCTCCTGGTCCCGCTTCGCGGAGGGTCCGCCACCCTTTCTGCCGGGGAGGAGACCTGGCGATCGCGAAAGCTTGCACAGTTTCGGCAGGCTTTGCACTGGCCGAAAGAAGGGCATCAAGCGCTATACTTGGACACAGGGATCAGTTGCACTGGCCGAGATCAGGAAATAAAATGATAAAATAAAGCCGGGGAAACGGGGGCTTGGGAGAGGCACAACCCAAAAGGCTAGGAAAAGATCGTTCAAGCTTTCAGGTTCTCCAGAGTGCTTGGCTACGTTAGGGGGTGGTTAAGAGGCAGGAGCTTGCGGAAGAGGGGGAAAACATGGCCAGCTCTTATGGTCAAATTTAGAATCCTTAAAAATTCAGGTTCCATTTTTAAAAGTATTGAACTTCGATACTTCGGCCGAAGCTGAAACTTATTAAAAAAAAGAAATTATACCTGCTGGCCTGATGAACAGTTCCGAAGACGCTTGTTCGATTTTCCCCTCTTGTATGTGGGTGCGGAGCAGGGGTGGAGTAAGGATTGTGGAAAGGGCTGCTCCAACCTCTAGCTCTTGCTGGTTGTCAATGCTATTTATTTGCGTATATGCATGGATATTGCCCCGTTGTGCACCAGTCCCGCCTATTATTTATTTATTTATTTATTTATTTAAAACATTTCTATGCCGCCCCATTCGCCGAAGCCTCGGGGCGGCTCACAACATAAATTAAAATATAATACATTAAAATTACCAGCTTGTTTCTGAGCCCAGTGTAAAGTGCTCTTTGGGGCATTAGGGCATGAACTTGTGCACATTTAGACAGAAAAAAATGTTACCTTTGCTGGCATACCCAGAAAGCTGGGCACTGCAGGCCTCAGAAACAAGGAATTTGTTTTTTTGGCGAAATGTGCACTATTAAAGACTGAACTAGCCTGGGAGCAAACAACAAGCCATTGCCCGCATTCACCTGCCTACACCGTAACATCACCAAGAGAAGCTTCCCTCACGTGTCCAGCTTTGGGGATGTCCACACACAAAAAGACCTCTTCTGCAGGGACCCCAACCCCCTGGATGGGTTGCGAAGGGGGTCGCCCTGGGCCATCGTTGCAAGCTTTCAGGAGGGCTGCGAGGACGGCCTTGTTTATTCTGACATTCCTCTGAGGCGTCCAGCAGGACTGCCCGGCTTCAGCTGCAGGACTTTAGCAACGTCTCATGCTGGTGTCTGTTGCTTTAGGGCTGTTTCCTGACCAGCCATTGCATTTTTGTGTTTTGTTACTTGTTTTTCGGCGCCAGGCTAAGGCCTTTTTATTTAAAACTTATTTTAATTGTTAGATTATTGAATTAATTAGGATTTTAAAATGTTTAGCCGAGAATGCACTGGGGGGTTTTAAACGATTTTTTTAAATTGTTATATTATCATTATTTATGTATGTATTTATGTATTCTCTGTGAGCCGCCCCGAGGCTTTGTTGCGATGGGGGCGGCATAGAAATGTTGTAAATAAATAAATTTTTGCTGCAAGAATTTTAAAGCTCAGTGCCACCTTGTGGGGGCAGCCTGCGCCGCGAAAGGCAGCATAACAGCATAGGAGATGAAAAGGGCCTCTTTCGAGAGTCAGAGTTTCATGGCTTCGGCGTAAGAAAGGCCTTGAAAGCCTCTTAACCGGCAAACCAGCCCCACTGATGCCAATATATTCCAGGGTGTCACTTCCTGTGCCGGAACCACGGCTCCCGGAGCTCGGTTTCCTACCCGGAAGCGACTCGGAGAGCACCCCTCATTCCTCGCGAGATCCGGCGGAAGAGGCGACAGGAACGCGCCCATTGGCTCGCGCCGCGCCAGCGGGCGGTGCCCGGGGGAGGGAAGGCGGTTGGCGCGCGTGCGCAGTGCAGGCCAGTGGCGCTGTGGGGAGGGCTGCTGCGGGGCCGCCATGTCGATCTTCACGCCGACGAACCAGATCCGCCTCACCAATGTGGCCGTGGTGCGCACCAAGCGGGCGGGGAAGCGTTTCGAGATCGCGTGCTACCGCAACAAGGTCCTCGGCTGGCGGAGCGGCGCGTGAGTGAGGAGGCCGCGGGGGCGGGGCGCGGGGCGGGGCGTGGCGCGAGAGTGACAGATCAGCGGGCGAATCCAGCGCCCGGCCAAAACGGGTTAGGGTCTCTGAGCCTATGCAGAGTGTAGAAGGGTCGCTTAACAAAATACTTGTGTCTCTGTTTTCCCGCCCGGCCGCTCCTCAGATTTCAGTCTCTTTTGTATACACTTGAAGGGTTCAGGCTTGAAGTTAGCGGCCAGTATCCCAAAAGAATGGGCTCTTAAATAGTAATTTTAAGTAGTTTGGAAGTTTAAATTGTAGTTTGGAAGCCGCCCCGAGGCTTTTTGCGAATGGGGCGACATATAAGTTGGCTAAATAAATAGTTTTCAGTGAAAGCGAACAACGCCTCAAGAAAAAATAAGAAAATAACATCTGAGGCTGTGTAGACTGCAGGTCTTAAAGCCAGGTTTCTCCTCCATATGGAGTCTTCCGGGCACTTTGGACTGCAGTCCTCATCATCCCCAACCACTGACTATGTTGTTTGGGATTAATGGAACTTGCAATCCAAAATGGCCAGGGCCTGCAAGTGCAGAACCAGAGCAACCTGCCATGAACCTTGTTGGGAGAGAAGGACCCGCCAATTAGAGGGGTATAGTCAGGAAGCTTGCCTGTCTCCAGAAAGATACTCCCTGATGGGTGGGGTCCAGGATTCCTCAAAAGTTGGGTTTTCAGAAATAATTTCTAGTTTGGGGTCAACAGACTGCTCTGTGCATGCTCAGAGACTCTTTCTTCGCTGGCTGTAGATTGGAAATAAAGAGCTTTTGCCAAAGAACAGTCTGTTGTTGTGAAAGAGAGAAGAGGAAACTTAGCTCACAAGAACTGAATTGTTATTTTCTTAAGCCTCTTAACTCACATGGAAGAAAAGGTGGTCTCTGAGCATCTGCAAAATGTGTGGCCAAATTCAGCCCAACCTGTCACCTTGGGTGTATGTTCCATAGGGGAGCATCTGTAGGTGAAAGAAGCAGCTGACTCTGTTCATGTACAGAGTGATGATTTGAACCAGAGTTAATTCTCTGTCTTGCGCTAGTGCTTAGATCTGGTGGTATAATAATGAGAAGTTAGCATATAAGCACAAATTGGCTGCAAAGGTGCCCAGGACAGATGGTTGAATTGCCATAGCCCTTAAAGTGCCCACAGCCTTCAAAGATTGTCCCTTCTTGATCTAATTGCCTTTTAGGGGCAGAGGCAGGATCAGCAGCTACCACTTTGTCAGTAGCCAACATGCTCAAGTTGAACAGTGCCCCAAGGTGAAGTCTGTTTTGACTCATCCACAGCTCCACTTACCTGAAAGGCTGAGCATCACAGCTTTTACTTGCATCCAGGGCTTTTGTAATACTGTCAGCCTGTCTTCTAAATTAAAAATAAATCTGCTTTTTTAGGGAAAAAGACCTTGATGAAGTTCTGCAGACAGCTACTGTCTTTGTGAATGTCTCCAAAGGTCAGGTGGCCAAGAAGGAGGATCTTGTCAAAGCTTTTGGCACAGAGGATCAGACAGAAATCTGCAAGATGGTAGGCTCCCAGAAATGTTCAGTGAAGGGGGATGACTGCCCGCCTTCCCCCTGTTAAAATGGTCTCCTTTTTACCGTCAGGTTTTAGCTTTAGGTTTTTAACACCATGCCGACCACGCGCAGTGCATGCGAACCAGCGGGCAGTGCAGAAAAGTGGAACTGCAGCTTCCGTTATCCTTCACTGAGGGCTGCGCTGGCGAGGGGCGACGGAAGCTGGGGCGATGCTGCGCGGACGAGGGGCGATGCAACAACCTTTGCCAGCCTACACATTTCCCCAACCCCTGGAACAGTACAGACTAGCCTCTAAACTGGCTTTCCCCAACAAGGTGGCCTCCAAATGATTTGGATGTCAACTCCCATCTTTGGCCATGGTGGCTGGGAATGATGGGACTTGCAGTTCAATACATCTAGAGGGCATCAGGCCAGGGAAGCTTGTTTTGCATCTCTCTAGGCAAGTTTTTGCTGGATGGGTACGTGTTGTTTTATATCTGTCCTCACCCCCAGGGGCTTTAGCTGTGCGGTGCAGAGTAGCGATGTGTCAGTCATTGTAAGCCTTATCAATCTGCTGCCTAACAACTAACACTTGTTTGATAACCTCAGCTGGCACTTTACAGTCTGCACACACACTAGAACAAGCTGTTCTCTTTCATGAGAACATCTGCAGTTTTGCAAAGCTGTTTTAGGAGAGCCACTTTCCAGGGGCTGGTTAAGTGTCGTCCCGTGTGTTAGCTATGCCTGAAAGTGTGAGAATCCTGGATTAGCTCCCCACGGAACAGACGTGGTTTCCAGGAGCTGAATTTGAAGAGAGCGAAGTCCAAGCCTGACACTTTCATTTCAGATCCTTGCCAAAGGGGAGTTGCAGGTATCGGATAAGGAGCGCCACACGCAGCTGGAGCAGATGTTCCGCGACATCGCCACCATCGTGGCCGAGAAGTGTGTGAATCCAGAAACGAAGCGTCCCTACACAGTCATCCTGATCGAGAGGGCCATGAAGGATATTCACTACTCGGTCAAACCTGGGAAGAGCACCAAGCAGCAGGTGAAGGCCCCCTGCGGGAGACCGCCTTGTGCCCAGAGGTGTGCCGCAGCCGTGCCAAGCGTCAGAACGGCCTGGAAGGGGTTTGTAATGGCACGGGCAGTGTCACAAAAGTGGCTTTTCTTTTTTCTGACTGGAGGCAAATGCCTTAAAATATTTCAGTTGATAGGCTAGTAAAAATTATTATGGCCCAGTACCTTATGTGAAACCCTCTGCAAAGATGCCTTCTCGTAAAATCGGTTCAGATTATTGTGCCACAAAACTTTTAAAACCAACTACGCATTTAAAAATAAATTTTGACTCTAGATTATGAAATCAATAAAAAGTGAAGAGCACTCTCAAGACTTGAGGCTGCACTTCCTAGAGAATAAGCAGGTCTTACTTCTAGGTAGGCATGCATAGAATTGCACTGAAAGCTTGTGAAGTTTACAGAACCTTGAGGATTGGCATATATGATTGCCATCTCCAACCTGATTGACTGACAACTCCCATCCTGTGCGGCCAAGGGCCAGGGATGATGGAACTCTGCAGTACAGCATATCTGGAAGTCACCAGGTGCCTCCTGCCTAAGAGAGTTCAACTCAGGCTGGGGAGACCTGAGTTCAAGTCCCCACTCCGCCAGGAGGACTGCTTGGTGATTTTGGGCCAGAGGCTGTTAGCCTGAGTGACAGGTATGCTATAAGGATGAAATGACGGTTTCTTTGAAGTATTTATTCAATTTCTGCAGCCAACCAAGGTGGTTTACCAGAAAGATTGAGAACTAAAACAGTCATTAGATAAACTTAGTGAAAACTTAGTCATATTGCTTGAGCAGCATTAAAGACTATAAAAGTACAAATTTTAAAAGGCTAAGTGTAAATAGCAGGATTAAGGTGACATCCGTCATTCTGGACTCTTTCAGAGAAGCACAAGGAAAAGATGTAACTGGAAAGACCATCTTGAGCCTTTCTCTGTCTGGCTTCCCTGCAGGCTTTGGAGGTCATCAAGCAGCTGAAGGAGACTATGCAGATTGAGCGGGCACGTATGCGGCTGCGCTTGGTGCTCCCGCGGAAAGAGGGCAAAAAACTAAAAGAGAAACTGAAGCCCCTCATCAAAGTAATCGAGAGTGAAGATTTTGACGAGCAGCTGGAAATCGTAAGCAGAGGCGCAGGTTCCTTTTCTCCCCCAGAAGCATTTTTCTGTAGGGGTAGGAAAGGCTGTACTGGCATCACCACTGGTTGTAGATGAGATTTGTGGCCTTGCTTGGAGACTAGAAATGGAGAGTAACGTTAACCTTGGTGGATTCACTTGTGAGTAAGCCCCATGGCGTCCAGTAGGACTTACTACCAAGTACCGGGGTCCTCGCACTTTTTCAACGGGGCCAGTTGAAAGGTGCCGGCGGTGGGTGCGGGCCGGTGAGGGGGTGGGGGTGCAGGCCCGTGAGGGGACACGTGTGTGTGGAGATCGTTTTCTCCGAGTGAGTCCAAAACGATCTCCGAGCAAGCCGGCACCTCACCGTGCATGCATGGGCCCGACAGTCCAAAACCTAAGGTGGGCCGGATAAATGGCCACGGCAGGCCAGATCTGGCCCGTGGGCCGTAGTTTGAGGACCCATGACCAAGTGAATCAAGATCACGCTGGCATGCAAGTGGCACCGTTTACTTAAGGCCCTTTAGGCAAAGCTTTTCCAGGTCCCTGGATTGGTGTGGTGAGTAGGCCAGGCACTCATTCTTTGCTGACTTTCCAAGGACCTGCTAGAAGTTAACATCAAGGGAGAGTTCTTAGTTTTCTACCTCACCTGTGGGATTTCTAGCTGTCCATGGTTGGAAGCAGGAGGGTGGCTCTCTGGTCTGACTCAGCAGAGCTCTTATTTGTTGTTCGAAGTCGCGCCCGACCCATCGCAACCCCATGGACAACATTCCTCCATGGGCACTGCAGAGCAATAGGTCTGGGGGTGGCCAGTTGGAGAATGCTGATTTAGAGAGGTTGACAAGGAAGATGTTTTTCCTCATTTGCCCACCTTACTGGCGCTCCAGTCATCCTATGAGATAGATTGGAGGTGCTCTTGGAGTACAGTGTGTGATTTGCTACTTCAAGATGTGATGGTGGCATGGATGGCTTTAGAAGGGGCAGGTACAAAGAGCAGGTACAAGAAGTAGTTCCCTGGGGGGTGGGGTGCCTCAGGGGAAGCCAGCTGCCGTGCAACTCCACAGCCTGATCTGCCGTGGTGCTGAGCAAGTTGTGCCTTTTCCCATCTGATGCTTGGGCCAATGTTGCAGGTCTGCCTGGTGGATCCAGGTTGTTTCCGGGAGATGGACGAATTGATCCGGTGTGAAACCAAAGGCAAGGGGACCCTGGAAGTGCTCAGCCTGAAAGATGTGGAGGAGGGGGATGAGCGCCTGGAGTAGCCCGCCACTGTCGCCGCCGCCGCCAGCAAAGATGGTATTAAAGACTTCCTTGACTGGACTGGCCTGCACTGTGTTCCTGTTTGGTTTGGTATTTTCTTTGGGTGTGACTCCCCCTTGGGAGCACCTTCAGGAGCACGCCTCGCTTTCCTCTAAGGACAGAAATGGCGCCATTGGTCCTGCTGGCAGAATGGCCTCAAGGGCCTGTGAAGCGCCTGAATGCTTGTGTGCCTTTCCTTGAGGCTGGGGGGCTGCCGTGGGCTGCAGGGCGGGGCTGAGCATTGGCAGAGGCACGGGCTGCAGCATTCCAAACGCGCAGCTCTGCAGGCACAGACACGCACTCCTGTGTGAAGCCTTCCGGCCGTGCACTGCAATGGGCAGTCCCCGGTGCTTGCTTACAGGTGTGGCCCAAATGCTTACTCGCACTGGGACGGCTTCCATGCACACAGCTCTGCACATGGCCCACCTGTGGCTCGCGGGCCCATGCACACCTCTTTCTGTAGCTAAATTCAGCCCCCCAAACCTCTTCTTCAGCATCAGGGCCCTGCATCTGGTTCTTGGAGATTCATGCTTGATTCAAGGTAAACTGCAGAAACACTGGTCTGAGCAAAAAACACTAAGAGCTATTGAGCTGTTTCGAGTATGTAAGGGCCTGCGTGGTGGAGAGAGTTTACATTAATACGGAAATTGGCATGTATTGCAAAGAGGGCCTTTGGATTCAGCCTGGGCTCCTGTGAGCTGCTAAGATGTGTTGGATTGTTCTTGTTTGTTGCATCTGTTTACGGTTTCAGGATAAAGTGAATGAATGAGGCCCAGCTGGTTGCCCTGTAGGAAAATGCCTTTGACTATTCTACTGACAGATGCTTTGTGCTGAAAGGCATTTCTTGCTTTGAGCCTTGTGTTTCCTAGACCACAAGGTGCAGGCTGTTTAAAAGACACCTCTTGTGAGGACTCCTGTGGGCCTCACCTTCCCAAGTGCAAGTGCAGCTTTGCCCCAAGCTGGTGCCTCCCAGAGGTTTGGGACTGCAGCGCCCATCTATCCCAGCTGGCATGATGGGAGTCGCACTCCCAGCACATCTGGAGGGAACCATCAGTTTAGGCAAAAGCTGTAATGCTCACTCAGAACTTCAGGGGACAAGACAATATCCCCAGCAGCACCACCACACTGTTGTACTGGTGAGTTGCCATGGCTGGAGCAAACGGCACGCATGCTCATGAGGGTGTGGGGGGGTCCCTTGGAGAGCTGGCGTGGATGCGAGCGATCCCCTCCCTCCGCGCTTCATCAGGGCTGGTAGTGTGGAAAGGGAACGTATCGCATGCAGCAGAGAAGACCCGCCTGGGCTCCTGCAGACACTCTGTCCTCTGTGCTCCTCAGCCCTCCCCAGCAGAGCTGCTGCTGAGGGCAGATGGAAGCCAAAAGCAGAAACAGCTGGCAGGCCCGAAGCTGCACGTCCTTGTGCTGTGCTGTGCTGTGCAGAGGAGTAAAAGCTGCTGGTCAGAAGTTGCCTGACATCAAGAGGAGCCCCCGGGGCTCGCCGAAAAAGCCGTGAAAGCTGCTGGCGGTGAGTGAAACACGGAAGAACGTTCCTCTGAGAGCTCCCCACTGAGCCTGTCTCTGGAAGGGTTAGTGGAAAACTCTGGAAAGAGGCTCTGGAAAACTCATTAGTGGGTTTAAGATGGCCCAAAAACGAATCCAGCCACAAAATCCCACTTCAGGAAAAGGCTCCAACAGGCCTGGGCAGACAATGCCAGTAAGGCAGCCTTCCCTGCACAGCTGTCCCCAGATGTTTGGTTGGGAATGACAGGCGCAGGGCAACTGGGCAGGAAAGACTAGTCTTAAGCCTCTAATCCAGATTTAATGTTCATGAGTCGGTGTCTCCTAACTCCACTGCTTCCATTCAACAGCAAAATCTTCAGTGACGCCCTTTGTCACAGACCTCCTGGCCTTGTGTGCAGGAAATGTGCAGGAAATGTGACTGCTGCGACAGAGAAAAGGGATGTGAGACTCAAAGGGACAGAAAGGCAACTAGCTGTGGAAGCTGCTGCGGCCACGCAGTCGGGAAGCACAGACCCAGAAAGCTTGGGGTGCTTTGCAGGGGAGGACTAGGCCCAGATGTGGTCTTGTCGGTTGTGGCACTACTTCTCCATGTTAAACTATTTGCAGATACAGAATGGGGCTTCCAAAAGAGACGGAAGGCTGTTTATTGGAATTTATGAAATATTGTTAAGATAGCGCCATGAAAATTAGCCACCTGTTAAACTTTTCCTCTCATTCCAAACTGCTTAATCTGCATGATCTGCTGGGTGGGCTACTAACAGTCCAGTCCTCACCATGTTTATCCAGAAGCTAGTCCCACTGAAGTAAAGCTGTGCTTATTTCTGAGTAAGCATGCACGGGATCTGACTGTAATGTAGCCAATAAAGTTTTCTGAAGCAAGTCTGAATGCTGCTGTTTGTTTGCACAGGAATATGGTGCTGTCAGTGAGTGGAACTTAGCATTCTTTTATTGCTGTCATTACAGGCTTCATTTTAGGTTTTATTCTTTAATCGAAGCCATGATACTAATAGCTGGAGAACCCTTTACAAACATCTCAATATGTATCCATATAAACACTATTTACACAAATTCTGAAATGCTTAAAAGCTGTTGCAGTCCCCTGCCGTGGCATTCAGCGGAGCTGCTGCGCCGTCAAGGTGTCTCACCTTACATCACCCCTCCGGAAAGCCCTGTCCAGGACAGACCTGCTCCGCTCTTCTAAATTTGAGGCTGGGGTTTCCTTGCTGGAGTCTGTCCATCTCATGGTCTTCCTTTGCTTTAATGGGACACATAGCCCAATCATGTTCCTGTCTCTTCAACAGTGCATCTTACTGTGCGTCTCCAACCAACCACCAATGGGCAGTTTCCCAGTTTTGCACAGTTCTCCCCATTCTAAAGGGCTGAAATGCTGCTCAAGTTAAAGTTTTCAGCTGAAACATGCTGGCATTTCTGGACCTGTCTTTCACTGGAATGCAGCTCCTCAGGGCTGCTTTGAATGAAGCTAAACTTGGCCTTCAGGGCTGAAAGTAGTTTGACCATATCCACTTTCTTCCTAACTACATATGAGGATGAGAAACATCAACATTCACAAGCAAAATTCTAGAATACCTCTAGGTAGGCGGAGCAGGTCTGCCTGCCCCTGCTCTCTAGGTCAGCCAGCATCCTCTGATCAACTCTGGAATGAAAGCCACACCAACTGGGAACCAAAGAGAAATCTGACCGGCTTCAGTGGCAGCAGACTTTCTGAATCCAAAGGCAGCCTTTAGAGTTCATCAAGCAGCTCAAGAGCTCTGCTCAGTCACAGGAAGGCGCTTCAGATATAGATCACATCAGTTTTGTGCTGCTGAACCTAAGGGAGAAGTTGCCAGTGAAGGGAGAAAGAAAGACCGTGACTTCAGCTTGAAAAGGCGGGCGATGTGCACAATCTGGAGCTCAGGAAAGAGAAATGAAAGTCACAAGGCAGGCTGATGTTACGAAGAGCTACAGAAGGACATGGATCTGTGGAGCAGGGAATGAATCTCCCACTGGCACCAGAGAAGCAACGGAGGGCTTCTCAGACCTCCTCCTAAAGCAGCCATTCCTAACGGGCTCCCTGCAAATGTGTTGGAGAGCAACTCGCAGCATTTGCAGCCAGTGTGGCCACAGGGCAGTAAGGATGCGCTGGCCCCACCACAGATCCACTATGGCATGGCAAAGACCCACAGCCGGCGGACAGGTCACGACTGGTGCTGGAGAAAGGCAGCACCTGCCCCCTCTGGATCTTCCTGCCTCCCCCTCCACTGCCTCCAGGTGTCCCACAGTCCAGAAATTGCAGCGATTGGCAACCGGAAGCTGTTGCAACCAGCTCCATCCTTACCCGCTGCAGAGAAAGCTTTTAGAAAGGCTCCGTAGAGGATGCTCACCGATAGGCATATTAGCCACGGGAGCTGAATGGAATTTCTGTGTACCTGAGTGCCGGGTGCTGGGAACAACCCATGGGAAAGCCCCAGAAGCATTTGCCCAGCTGCTGCCAGAAATAATGCTCTGCTTAGGAACAAGGTGGGGGATTACATGAGTGGCGCCAGCTAGAGCCAGAAGTCAGACCAGATGGCCCAGGACTTCGGACTCACCTTGCTTCTATGTTTCTAAGGTCCTAAGGCTACCCCTTCCGCAGCCCAAGAAACTGGCTGGCAAAGAGGACAGCGTGTGCCTTGGTGGGATGACGAGAGCCGAACACCTACCTTAACATGCTTCCATGGTCCTGTCCCCACATGACTGGCAGTCAGGGTGATGTGACGAGAGGGGCCTTCTCCTGGCATTCTGGTCGCACAGCCACCTGTCCCATTGAGCTGACGTGCTGAGAAAGGCTGCGGCGAGCTGTCTGGCAGGTCCGTGTCGCAGGCCTTCGTCCACAGAGGGGCCTTGAGAGAACACAGGCGCCATGAAGCAAGGCTGTCCGTTGAATCAGGCTGCATGTACGCTACGTGTTTTGGACGCCATTTCTCTCTCGTGGCATTCCCCAAAGAATTCTAGGAATTGAGGCTTTACAAAGACACTGGGCAAAATACTCGGATCATTTGCAGAGTTCCTTTCCTGGAAACGTCTTATACTAACTTGAGATGAATGAGTGTCAACACCCACAGGCACAAATACATGCCTCACACAGGCTAGCAAGGAGTTCACAGCTGCTTATATAGCAAGTCCTGCCTGCCTGTGGCCTTTCCATGGAATGTGGCCTTCAAAAGCACGTCGGGCTGAAGCAGAGAGGTGCGGGAGCTTCGATTCTGCTCTCAAATTACGTCAGGCTGTCCCATGGCAACCACAAACCAGAACACGATTGGAGTTCTCAATGTTTCAGCTTTCTGAACTTGCCTCTGTGTTTGAAATTGTGCATCCATCCAAATGTACATAAATTCCACCTCCAAAACTGTGTTTTCATGTCTTACCCTGTTTCACATTTGTGCACTTTTAAAAGTACAGTGGTTCCTCGACTCATGAACGCCTCAGTTCATGACCAAATCGGGTCACAAACAAAAATTTCATAAAAATTTTGACTCAGGTCACAAACTCCGCATTTGGTGGCGTGCGGGGGGGGGGGGGGAGATGGCCAAGAGTGCACCCGTCTTTCCTGCACGAGTGCAAGCGTGATCTCAGCCATCTTCCCGCCCAGCACCATCGCGCCCGTCTCCCCCACAAGCGTGCCTGCGATCGCGCCCATCTCCCCCCACCCTCCCAGCGCTGGAATGACAGGCACGTGCAGGAATAACGGGTGCAGTCGTGGTCGTGTTGCGGGGGCGGGGAGATGGCTGCGCTCGTGCTCAGTGGGGAGGAGGGATGGCCATGATCTTTGTTGTCCTTTGTCACTTTGCTTCACATTTTTCTGATTAAAAAAAAGTAGTTGCAGAACGGATTAACCTTATTTACGTTGAACCTTATGGGGAAATTTAACTTGGCTCACAACCAATTTGGGTCATGACCAGAGTCCTGGAACAAATTAAGTTTGTGAGCCAAGGTACCACTGTACATTTTCCTGATTTAAAATAACATTTCTCTCAATAACAAAAGGATTTTTTGTTCAAAAGAATTTGAAGACAAATTCCGCAGGGCTGAGCATTGCCTGTTTGCTTGTCCGTAGGCGCCCTGGTGCCTTTAAGCATCGGAGCTTCCCCATAATCAGTGATTAGGGGTTTAATGTCACTGCCTCCAGCCTGGGGTCCTCCAGGGGGGCCGACCTACAATGTCCATGTTCCCCAGCCAGCAAAGCCATGGGAGGTCAATCATCTGGAGGACAGAAGGTTGGGGAGACTGGTTTAATACAAGTATGGCTACAACTCCTATCATCCCTCACCACTGGCCACTCTGGCTAAGGACTGATAGGAACCCCGGTGACCACATGCTCACATTCCCAGACCATCATGACAGTTCACTGCACCCCTGTCTCTGGGCAAGTATCAAAGGATGGCGTTCTTAAAGATTAAGCGTCGCAAGACGAAAACGCTCTCTCAGTGACTGGCCACTGGCCGAGGTGCAGTGCTAGCCCATGGGCATTTGCCCTGGCTTGGCACAGGTTTTCCACAGACACTGAAAGTAAATGATGGAATAAATGGCTCGGCCGCATTTGAACCTTGCACGGCTTGCCCATGGGGTGTTCCCAGCTCCCGAGGACTTCGGTCCAGTGTGAGAAGAGCCCCGTCTGCTGCTCTTCAAGCTTCAGAGCAGTGATTTTGGACTGGAGTCCTTTCAACCGATCTTCAAATTTCCTGCTTTTATCCAGGTACTCTAATCTGTGAAGCAGACACATGAAAATGAGTATGAAAATCAGGTGAGCTGCAGACGCCTGGAAACTGGTACCTGGGGCAGACACTGGACCACCAATACTCTGTTTATTTAACACCGAAAAATCAGTCCCTGGTCCAGTGACCTCTGAACTGTGCAGGAAGAGCTGAGTTCTTGCGCAAATGTACAGAGGTTGCAGAATCAAGTTCCATTTGGTGCAGAACTTCACTCTGGAGAGTAGAGTGAGTGTCGCTGTCAGAGTCCTACCTTTCTCTTTCTATTTCAAAGGAGAGCCGCTTCAAGTCACTGTCTCGCAAATCCAACTTTAAGGGGCCTTTGTCAGTGCTGGGGTCCCTGGCGTCGACAGAAAAGGGCTGGGTGCACTTGGCGATGTGCTGGGAGAGGCAGCAATAGAAAGAAGTGCATGTTTAGGAACAGGTCTGAAAAATCTTGAAGGTTTTCGAAAAGAACTGTTTATGCCAGGACGCGCTCCAACGGAGCAAAGCTCAGGGACCCCAGGTTCCATATAGATGCCAGGAAGCACTTCCTGACTGTTGGGACCCCGAGGGTGTGGAATGGGCTTCCCCGGGAGGTGGTTGGGACCCCATCGGTGAGGGTGTTCAAGGACAGGCTGGACATGCACATGGTGAGCATGTCGTGAGCGGAGCCAGCTGGAGCCGGGGGTCAGACTAGATGGCCCCAGAGACCCCTTCTGACTCACTCTGTTTCTATGTTTCTATGCCCCTGGAGCCTGTAGGCCAAATTCCATTATGGAGAGCACATTCCAGGTGGCAGTGTCAAAATATCAAAAACAACAGCTTCATTTAGCACAAAGCTTTACCTGCTGGTAGCTAAGCCCCGGGAGGTGTTTCAGCCCCCAGAATGCGTCAGCAGCTGCACAACAGTTGGGAAAGCGGGCAGGGCCATCTGAGGAGCCCAGCCCGGGTCCTGGGCCTGAGCCGCTGCACCCTGTCCAGGAAGGAGGCGCCAGCAACACGCGAGGGGAAGGAAACTTTTGCTTGGGCACCCAGAAGGGAAAGGCGAATAGCCTGCCCAGCAACGCTGTCATCCTCATGGATACAGCTGGCCCTAGGAATTCTTAGGCTGGCAGTGCCAACATGTGGTCTCTGTGATGAGTGGGTAGCGGAGGAACATCGCTGCTGAAACTTTTTCACTTTTCAAACTTGACGGTTCCAAAAGGAATGAATTCAGTGCAAGTCAAAGTGAGCTACTGGCCCACATCCAATAGCACTCAAATCTAAAATCAAGGTGGCCATTAACTTGGGGTGACTATCTCTAGAAAACGCACTTGTATGCCAAGAGTTCTTCAGACATGCTAAAATTGCAGCTTCGACCATTTCTTAGTGCCCTCCTTTAAAATTTGCTCCTCCTCGTGCCTGAAGGTGTCGTGTGTTCCAAATGAGCGCCACAGAGAGCTGTCAATGAATGTGTGGCTGCTCAAACGAACTGAGCACACTCCCACGAGCTTCCACCTTCCCACCCACCGGGCTCACGGAGAGCGTCAGCAGGGAATGATGCCAAGAACTCTTGCTTTTCTGTACGTCTCCCACCTCTCCCAAGAATCATGTGCCACAGGATTATTATTTGCCAGCCTGCCAACCATGAAAGCCCATGTGGGTCAGAGCTGCCTTTTCTCAAGCCCCCAATTAAGCGGGCACTGCTGCTATTCTGCCCCGTAAAGTAAAACTCACAGGGAAATGATTAAGTCTGCGAACGCCTTGCAGCCTCTGCTTGGCTTTTTCTTCTGCTTCTCTGGCCTCCTGCAGGTCTTGTTTCAGATGCTCGGCTTCTTTTGCCCTGTCAGACCAAATGCACCTTCATAAGTACATGATCTCATGGTTTTAAAAAAAGGAATTCCTCCTTCCCCAGCCTGAAGCCCTCCAGATGCATCGGACTACAGCAGCCAGCATGCTTGACCAATGGTTAGGCAGGCTGGGAGAGATGGGAATTGCAGTCCAAACAGCTAGAAGGTACCGGCGTGGGAAAGGCTCCCTTAGAGCAGGCCAGTGCTGGCTTTCTTGCAGACGATCCCCAGGAAGGGAACGTCAAGGTGCTTGGGCCTTGCTGGTACTTCTTTACCCAAATGTACCACCGGCTGTTTTCCGCTGAAAGACGCCCTCCAAAAAGACCATGTTGCCTAGCGGTGCAGCAGAGGCACCCTCCACGGCCCCTCCCTGATGGGACTGCCTTCTGCCCACCGTGGCCACCAGCTGCGCCCCTCCTCCAGCACTTCCGGCCTTGCCTCCCCATGCTTAAGTCTCAGGCAGACCAGGGACCGCGAACGCCGCAGCATGGCCTCTCCTGCCTGTCAGCCCACCGCCTGGGCCAAGGCGAGGCACGGGCACCCGTGGGCGGCCACGGAGAAGAGGCAGCGGCTCCGCTCAGGGAGCCCTGCAGGGCACGGCCTCCGACACACGCCGGCCACACTGGCTCCGGGCGCCTTGGCATAGAAGCACGCTGCCGAGCGCCCCGCCGCGGGCATCACCTCCGGTCCGATTCCTTCACCAGCTTCCGGGCAATGAGCTCCACCTCCCGCATCTTGTGCTCCACCAGCCGCTTCTCCTCCTCGGTCTTCAGGGCGGCCAGCTCCAGCCGGTGCCGCTCCTGCTCGGCCTCCACGGCGCTCCGAGCCAGCAGTTTGGCCTCTTCCTCCGCGATCTGGGCCTTCTCGGCCAGCAGCTCTGCGGCGGCCTCTGAGCGGTGCTGGGAGGGGGCGAGAGAGCTGCTGCTGCCTTGGGGGGCCACAAGATGGAGGCAACAGGTGGCCCCCCCCAGCTGGTGTCCATCCAGAGGTGCTGGATGGCGGCTCCCATCATCCCCAGCCAGCATCCAGCACGCCTGGAGCATGGCAGCGTGCGATGCTGGCTGTTGCCCTGGGGCAGCTCCTGTTGGGCCCCATCACCACGGCAGTGCTCACCAGGGCCTCGTTGGCTTGCCGGGCCTCGTCTTCCACCTCGAAGAGGCGCCGCTCCAGCTCCTCTTTGGCGTGCTCGGCCTCTTCGCGCAGCTGCTTCTCCCTGGCCAGGCGCTGGTGCTCCACCTGGAGAAGGGGCACACCCGCTGCTTCGTAACGGCGAGCCCCACCACGTGCAGCCCCCACCCAGCCACGCATGCGCAGAAGCGCAAGAGCGGAGCCCGGCTCGCATTGGCTGGGCACGGCGACCCGGCCAAGGTCCAAAAGGGAAACGCGTGGGCGACAGGGTGCCCACCCAGCCTGGTGGAAGCCGCGGTGGCAGTTTCAAGGCGGCTGTTCTGCCCCCCCCCCCTTCTGATGCTTCTTCAGCCGTAAACCCCTTCAAAAGGACAGCTTCGTCAACAGCATTGTCACCCCGCTTTCTTCTGCTCTGAGACTACAAGGGATTTGAGCAAACTCCTCTGCCCAAATAGACAGATGCAGCTATTTGCAGGCACCCCAGCCGTTGGAGGAGATTGAGGAAAGAATGGATTTCCATCCAATTTGCAAGAGCTTCCCTCCCTAATAATAAATTGCCGTGTTCGTCAGTCACAGCAAATACAGAATCCTGTTGCAGATTTGAGCAGTGTCTTGAGCTGGTACGCTCCAGATGTTGGGCTGCAATCGCCATCATTCCCGGCCAGCACTGGCCAGGGAGGACCCCTTCCCCCGCCTCTGCCGCCCAAGGCAGGTGTCACCTTCTTCCTAGCTTTCTCCTCCCGGGACTGCGCTTTCATCTGCTGGATTTCAATGGGATCCACACGTCGCCGTCTCATGAACAAGTCATGGTTTCCAATGAAGAGCTGCGTGATCTGCAGGAAAGGGACACGAGAGGCATCCTTGCCAGGGGCTCAGCTTCCCACTTCCCACAGGGGCCAGCCAGGTGGGTCCAGCAAGCTGACAAGCAAGATGCAAACAGAAGAGCCTTTCCCCAGGCAGGATTCGGGGCCACGCCGTGCCAAACTGTGGAGGCCTGATTTAGCTCTCCCGGGTAATCCAAATGTCTTTCTTTGCTTTCCAGCCCATATCATGGAACCATCTCTGGGAAGCGCACAAGCAGGACAGGAGGGAAATGGACCTCCAGCCTTCTGGTAAAAAGGTAAAGGTTTCCCCTTGACATCAAGTCCAGTCATGCCTGACTCTCGGGGGCGGTGCTCATCTCCGTTTCCCAGCTGAGGGAGCCAGCGCTTGTCCGCAGACAGTCTCCTTGGTCACAGGGCCGGCATGACTAAACACCGAGGAGCAGAAACGCTGTTACCTGCCCACCGAAGTGGCACCTTTTTATCTACCTGCATTTGCATGCTTTCGAACTGCAAGGTGGGCAGGAGCTGGGACGGAGCAACGGGAACTCACCCCTTTGTACAGATTCGAACCGGCGACCTTCCGATCTACCAGCCCAGCAGCACAGCGGTTTAAACCACTGCGCCACCTGCAGTTCCTTAAAACTTTTCTCCAGCCAAAGAGGGTCCTGAAGTAGCTTCCATACAATCAATAAAAACAAGACAGTCCCTGTCTGCAGGCAAACCATCTAAAAAGTGACAGCATGAAAGGAAAGCAGGGTGGGGCAGAAAAGCACAGGAAAAGCTACGACTGCTTTTCAAGTTTGATGAAAAGACGCTGGTGTTGGTGGCACTGGTCCAAAGCACAGCACCCCCCCCCCCGGCCCCCAAACTGACTGAGCATAACCAGCGAACTACAGGCGAGGGGGCAGCAACAGGGCCAGAGTGGGGCTTCTCCCGCCAGAAGGAATAAAACATCCAATTTTTATAGCTGCACCTGCTGGAGCAGGCGGAAGACCAAAGTGCCGAAGACACTTGCTCCCCAAGGGAGAAGGGGGAATGGTGTGATGAGCAAGCCCCAGAGGCACTGGGATTCTGCCCCACGGCAGAATGGCAGTGGAAGCAGCCCAAGGCAGTGGAATGGAGCAAGCTGAGAATCAAATAAAACCTCAAACAGAGAGAGTGGCGACACGTCTTTGGAGGATCTGTTCCCAGCTACTTGGGCCCTTAAGTGAGGTCTTCACACACAGCCTGTCTCCCTGCCGCTCCCAAATCCTCCTTGGAAGAAGGTCATGATTTTTCCTTTTTTATGGACAGGGAAGCAGAGATACAAACCATGATGCCAAAGACCTCACGATTTCAAGCTCGCACTCCCTGATGAGACCGGAAGAGCAGCAGGCGTCTTCTCTCCCGCAGGCCGGTTTACAGCCTCTGCCTTCCATCCAGAGCAGCCCAGGGGCTTCCGCAGCTCAAGGCAAAACCACCCTCAGGGAGGCAACCGGAAAGGACCTCCTTACCAGTTTATGGGCTTTAGGCTGTGAAGAGAAGAACTTGAAGACTTCCGCTTTCTTGTCAATGGGTTTGATTGTGAGCTGGAGAACAGAGAGAAAAGCCAGTGATCTTGAGCACAAGGCACAGCGAATGGTCTTTCGCCAGCTCAGGCCTCCATGTTTCGTAAAGTAAATGGGGATGGAATGAAAATAGGGGCACTAGGCAGCATTTCCTCTTGCACGAGTGTCCAGCAACGCTCGCACCTGTAGCAAGGAGCCTCCTAACCACGCCCCCGTCTTCCTGGTTCATGCTAAATTCATTTACCTACATTTTTGTCCTAACTTTCTAAAGACTGGACAACCACATGTTGGGGATTGCATGAGCGGAGCCAGCTGGAGCCAGGGGTCAGACTAGATGGTGAGTCAGAAGGGGCTTTGCTTAAGGTGAGTCAGGAGGGGCCTCCCAGGCCATCTAGTCTGACCCCACCTATGCAATCCCCAACACGTGCATGTCCAGCCTATCCTTGAACACCCTCACCGAAGGGGCCTCAGCCACCTCCCAAGGAAGCCCATTCCACACCCTCGGGGGCCTAACTGTCAGCAAGTGCTTCCTGGCATCTAAATGGGACCTTGGCTCCCTGAGCTTTGCCCCCTTGGAACGTATCCTGCCTTCCTCTGCAGGGGGGCTCAGGTCTCTCTACCCACCTCCGTGTGACAGCCCCTCATATACCTGTGTGTCACCAAAATATCCCCTCTGAGTCTCCTCCAGGCTGAAGAGACCCAGTTCCCTCAGTCTCGCCTCATACGGCTTCCCCTGCAAACCGGCCACCAACCTTGTGGCCCTACGCTGCACTGACTCCAACCTGGCTATATCCTTCCTGTAATGAGGGGCCCAAAACTGAGCACAATACTCCAGTTGCGGGCGCACCAGAGTCGTATAGAGTGGTAGTAATACCTCTCTCGATCTGGAAGCCACACTTCTGGCTATGCAACCAAGGGTGGCGCTTGCCCTCTTGACCACCGCATCACACTGCTGGCTCATGTTCAGCCTGCAGTCAACCAGCACCCCGAGGTCCCTTTCACAAGTGCTGCTCTCCAGCCACCTGTCCCCCATCCTGTCCCTGTGACACCTACAGGAGTAATTTGCTCCTGTGTTCTGAACTTGAGGCAGCTTCCACAGCCGTCTCCCTCCTTCCCTTTCTTATCCTCCCGGCACTTCTGTGCGGTGGGCTCGGCCGGGCGTCTGCAGCCGGGCCAAGGTCACCTGCAGGCTTCGTGGCCGTGTGGGGAACTGAGCCTGGGTCTCCTGGGCCGCGCCCAGCCCTCCACGCCCTGCACCAGCCATCTTTGTTTTGCTGGCTCAGGACATGTTGTCCCTGTACAGCAGGCCTGGAGAATGAATGATGCATCCCCCTTATCCCATTATTATGATTATTTTTTGCTGCGTTTATATCCCACTGCTCTTCCTTGTGTGCGAAGCCCACTTCTGTCCAATCTTCTTCCTCCGAGGAACTTCCTTCCACTCCCTGTTTGATGCTCACAACAGCCCTGTGGGGTGGGGTGGGGTGGGCTGAAAGTCAGAGACCGGTGGCCTGGGGGCTCGAGACAGGTGCCCCAAGTCCCACGGCTGCCCTGTCACCACCATATCACGCTTTCCCTCCGAGTAAAATAGTACTGAAAAGGAACCATTAAGCAGGCTGTGTTTCCAAAAAGGAAGCTGTTACTGGACAGCAGCCCTTAAAAGCCTCTGCACCCCTTTGCCAAGTCAACGACCCACAAATCTGTTTCCTTTGGGGCAGAGGCCTCCCAAAACCCCGCATGAGGCAGGCACTTGCCCTGGCCACCTCCCCCTACCTCCTTCTCACTGTAGGAAATGTTCCGGATGCTGCTCCACTCAAAAGACTTGCTTGGAGAAAAGCGATTGTTGATGCTGTAAAGGTGGATCCCTTTGGCATCCACACCAAGCAGGAAGTCCGTACGATTCTTCTTTTGCTGCAGAGCAGTTCAAAGGGGAGAAATTAGCACAGTTGCAAAAACAAGCAGGTGCAACCGCATACCCTGGACCCCAGGGTGGGCTGCTGGCACCCCCCGAGAGAGAGTGGGGAGGGGGCTAGCCCAGCACAGAAGTGCCGCGACCGGCCGGAGCGCTCCCCTCTTTAAATACGCCGGCCCAAGCCATGGGCCCTGCTCAGCTGCGCCAGACTTCCCTAGGCCGGTGCCCTCCGGGTGCCTTGGCAGTACAGTTCCTATCATCCCCAGCCCGCATGGCCACATGCTCATCTAGCTCTGCCCTGCCCAAGCTGGTGCTCTCCAACGGTGTGGACTACGGACCGCCTCATCCCCAGCCCGCCTGGGCAACAGCGCCTGGCTTACAGGCGTCCGCCACAGATGCACGCGGCCGTGCTTGATTGGCCTGCTGTGGTGCAGAAGCTCAGGCCAGGGGACCGGGCTTTTGCAGGCAGCTGGACCCCCTTCCCCCAGCCTCTAAACGCGTGTGGGTTTCCTGCCTTTTCCTGACGCCCAAAAATCAAAACATCCTTCTTAAGGCCCAGTCACTGGTGGAAAGCGCCTCATCCAAGACACGGCAGTATCCGGCGGCTTCCCGGCCACACCGTGTCTGCCTCTGGCCCTGCCTTCCCAGACGGTTTCTCCAAAATGGCCCTTGGCCCTTGGGCAGAAGTGCCCGACATACATGCTTACAGCGATAGGGAAATAATTCACTCCATACATCTCCAAGTCTTCTGCAATTTTAAGATAGTTCATCTCTGCTTCGTACCTGGAGGGAGAGGGTGAGGCAGAGAGAAGGGCATGTAGAAATGCATGACCCGCTCCAGGCAGCTCGAAAGGGGGGCGTGCCATGAAGGGAGATGGCTTGTCCTGTCCTTGTCCCACCAGCACTGATCAAAGCAGCTTATAAATTGCAAAAAGGACAGGATATGGCATACAGATTTATCAAAGCTGCATAACTGGACAGACAGATCCAACAGCAGCACATGAAAGCAGTGGCACATGGACATCAAGCCCATCCAGAGCTGTTCAGCAGCAAAGCGTGTTGCACAAAGAAGCAACCGTTGACAGAGAACAGCCTCCCCAGCAAGGAGATTTCCAGAGTTTGGGTGCCACTACCAAAAAGGCCCTGCCTCCTGGATCTGCCTGCCAACTGTCTGAAAGCACACAGAGCTCAGGGTGACAGCTGGTGACCCCAAAACCTGGGCAGAGCCATGAGAGGAGACAGTCCTTGAGATAGCCTGATTTAGGGCTTCAGAGACCGACCAGCCCTCTGGACTGAGATGCAAGAACAGCCTTCCAGCCATGTTGGTGCCAGAGCCCCTTTGGAGGGTGCCTGGAGAGGGAGAGCAATCAGCAGAGCCAATACCAGAGAGGTGTGTTATAACGACCATTTCCTAGGTTCCCAACTGCTTGGCAGACCATGAGATGAGGCCCCAGGCAGACTAGGGACCCCCAAGAGCCAGTGCCCAGAGCCAAGCGGGGGCAGGGCTGCCCCTCCCCTCAGTGCCCCCATCCCGTCCGGCGATTTGGAGCAATGGCGCTCTGATACCTGGCTAAGCCCTGGTGTCCGGCATACCAGGCCGCGATCTTCTTTTCCCACATCTCGGGTGTCATTTGATATTGACGGAGGACCTACAAAGAAAGAATCTGTGGAAGGCCGTTCCATGCTGTCTGTCCTGCAACAACGGGGGGTTGGACCTGATAGCCTTCCTGGCCCCTTCCAGCTCTACTCTTCTATGGTTCTAAGTCAGAATGGAAGAGTGTTTTCTTTGCTTTCTAAAAAGGTGCAGAAAGACTTACTCTCTTTGGCAAGAGCTCCTCTGGAGCCAGGAAGCCAGGCTTGTGCAGATTGGGGTCATAGTCACCATACTGTAACCAAAACAAGGAAAAAGAGATCAGGTAGGGTGGCTGCCCTCCTGCAGGTAGCCAAGGGGGGCAAGTTGCAGCCTTCCAGGCATCGAACTGCAGCCCCCATCAGCCCTCGCCAGCCAAGGACAAGGGCAGTTTGCAACGATCCATCGAGTGCCTCAATTCTGAACTTATTCCCCGGCAAGGATGTTGAACACAATAGCTAAGAACCGATCCATGATCTCAGTTCCAAGGAACTTTGCTGGGAGGCAAGGCAGCCTAACAGTGAGATGGTGTGCATGCCACTGGTTCCATGAAAACCTTGTGGAATATGGGGTTTGCTGTGGAATTCAAGCTCCTGAAAATCTCTTCTCAATAAAAGAGTCCAGCAGAAGTTCCTAGGCCTCAAGGTGGAGAAGGTAGACCTGGGAATGTGAGGGCAAGGCCTACGAAATCTCAGAAAGCAGAACTCTGTGCCTTGCTGGCAAAGCCCATCATGCACACTTGTAGCTGCACACACGTAGTCACAGGTGCAGCTTGGCCTGGTTTGGATTTTCATCTTTAAAAAGACACTCGGTTTGAAGCAAAAGTCCTACTTCAGTCAGGAATTCCAATCACATTGGCCCCGAGACCCATCAGGCCTTTGAACAGGCTGTGTTCACACATGCTGGAGCCGGGGGTCAGACTAGATGGCCCGGGAGACCCCTTCTGACTTGCTCTGTTTCTATGTTTCTATGCTTTCTCAGCTGGAAGAAAAGCATCCCAGCACTGTTTTCCGGCGCTCCACGTGCACGGGTATCAATCCAACCCCTTTCTGCATTAATTATGGCTGTGTAATTGCAGAGAAAATCTTTTTTTTAAAGCAACAAGGAAAGAAAGGTGGCGACCACACAAGTTTAAAGCCGCACCTTGGCTTGAACAGCGTAAGAAGCCAACAGAACCGCAACCTCAGGGGAGCAGAAGATGTCTTCATCCAATATTTGTTTCTTCACCTAAAGCACAAAAAGGAGGAGAAAAAACAAGAAAGAAAAAAATCCAAGACTTAACCAAAGTTTGAAAACAAAATGGTGCTCACCCAGACTTTTTAATGGCAACTGCAATGTAAACATTCACTGAATTATGAGAGGAGAAAGAAAAGTGGGCAGCTGAAGCCTTCTGATTCTTTAAAAAATGCGTGTTTAAGGGAGTAGCCTACACTTCTCTCCCTCTGCAGAGCCACAGAAACGGTGAAGAGGCGTTCAGAATCACGCTCCCTCCGTGTGCAGAGCTCCGGCGCTCCGAAAGCTGGCACGTCAGGTGCCGGAACAGCCCGCAGGAGTGACCAAGGCCAGCTGAGAAAGGACGGAGTTGAGCAGAGCTGGCTGGGGCAAGCCGAGCATCGCAGGTTTGTTCTGGCTGATCATGCCTGGGGCTGCTCCTCAGACTCCATGGGCACGGCTGCCTGCGTGAGGTCCGGGTAGCGAGGCCGCACCGTTCTTGCCCCACGGCGGCCAAGCAGAATTAAGGGAGGATCCACTGCTTTCTGGTATTCTTAAGTGGACGGCTTTTGCACACAGAAGCTCTTCAACACAGCCCACGAGGTGCTGAATGGCATAAATGAGTTTTCACCAGCCTGCCACCCTCCAGATGTGTTGGACTACAATTCCCAGCATCCCCAAGCCAGCAGGCTGATAGTACAACACATCTGGAATGTGCAAGGTACACACTCACTTCTGGAATGTGTCCTGAGACTTACAGTCCAACTCAGTTGGGGAAGACTGGTTTACAGTTTTTTCATTCTAAAATGGTTGTTCACCATTTCAGTGGCTTCGTAGTGAATAAGCGAGTAAAAGGTAAAGGTAAATGTTTCCCCGTGACATTAAAGTCCAGTCATGCCTGACTCTAGGGGGCGGTGTTCATCCCCGTTTCCTGGCCGCGGGAGCCAGCGTTTGTCCACAGACGGTCTCCATGGTCGTGTGGCCGGCATGACCAAACACCGAGGTGCAGGAACGCTGTGACCTGCCCACCGAAGTGGCACCTTTTTATCTACCTGCATTTGCATGCTTTCGAACTGCAAGGTGGGCAGGAGCTGGGACGGAGCACGGGAGCTCACCCCGTCTGCGGATTCGAACTGCTGACCTTGCGATCAACCAGCCCAGCGGCTCAGCGGTTTAACCACTGCGCCACCGCATCCCTGAATAAGGCAGTATATGAATACAAATATGAACAATGAATAAAAATAATAATCAGTCATGCATCTGGAAGGCCCCACAATAGGAGAGGCTGAAATAGAGCATACACGCAGTTTTGGGGTTAAGTTGGCTTTCAAATGGGTTTCTAATCTGCTCTCTGAAATGGGGCGGGCTGAGAAAGCTAAGCCACTGTGCCTCTCTGACCACACATTTCAAGCCGTGAATTCAAAACTTGTAAGTGCACAGATGTCTGAACAAGTTTTCCCTGCACCCTGTACGCACACGTTATGCTGCAGATGTGTGATCTTTGTTCAGATCTGTTGCTTCTGAAGCTGGAAAACACTCCCCCTGCCTGGCCTTCTGTAAGGTCCAAACAAGCCCAGGCAGGTTCCCCACAGAAGAAAAGAAAGGAAGAATGCAGATGAAAAGACCAGCAGCCTTTCCAAAAACAGCACAGCACAACAATTGTCAAGGTGATGTTGAAATAACAACCAAGATGCCTCCAAGGAACCCGGTTCTGCTGAGCCAATTAACTCTTTGGCGGATAAAATGCAAGAGACCTCCCCGTCACAGAGCAGATGGTTAGAAGATGGTTGGTGGCATTCCCCATCTCCCCATTATGTTTGTGAGCCGCCCTAAGGCTTCGGCGAATGGGGCGGCATAGAAGTTCCATACATACATACATACATACATAATCTCCCAACACCATCAAGCAGCATCTTACGTAGAGCACTGCAGACAACAGCAGCTCTTCGGGTTTTATATTCCCTGGTCCAGAACACACCTCCAGCACGCCTGTGTCCCTTCTCAGCCACACACATTCTCTGCCAAGCCTCTAAATGAAGGTTTTTCCTGGACTGGCTTTCCTGTGACTTCCCTGCCTCTACCCCAGTCTTCTGTAGGGTGCCCCTTTTGCTCAGGCTTCAGTTCAGCTCAGGCTTGTTAACCTGCTGCCTCCGTCTCCGACTGCTGCATGCGGCTCCCACCGCAGCCTCAGCCCTTGGCTCATTCCTGTCTCCCATAACAAGGGCGAGAACCTCTTTCAGTTTCGAGCGAGAATCCCGGTGGTGGGAGAGCCCAATGCAAAAGGAAGGGAGCCCAAAATACCCCAGTGGTAGCATTTTTCATTTAAAGGTCTCTTGCATTTTATCATGCCAGCACTGACATGCTAAGAAAAATATTCCAGTTTTTTAAAGGGAGGAAAATGCACCAAGGAGCAAACACAGCTGGGCAGGGGGAAGGGGCAGTGGGTGCACCCGGGCAAGGGGGCACGGCTTTCTGAGGCCCCGTGAAGTGCCAGGCAGAGATGCCAGAGCTGCTGCCTCCTGCTCACAGCCGGCCCTTGCTCAGGATCCTGGTTTGGCACAGCTCCTGCCTAGGGACTGCTGGCCTGTGCTTGGCCGCCCAGCCTCCTCCCTGCCTTCTCCGCCACTGCTCCTCTGCCCTGGGCCCACGCGAGCACCTGCGGGGCGAGTTCCACAGCTGCCATGCACAGGCAAGGAGTGGCAGGCAGGCAGGCCAGCAGGGGCGTTCACACAGGCCAGGCGTGGCTGAACCACACCCTGCCCCTCCGCCTCCGCCTCCCCTAAGCGGTCCCACTTCGGGGGTGCTTCCTGATGGAGGACTCCAGGACTCATAACCAGAAGCCCTTGTTCCTGGGCAGCTCAAGCGGAAAGTGAGGAGAAATTACCTGCAACTGTTCAGATGTATTTGTTCAGTAATGCAATCGGTATATTTCAATTTGGAATCTTATCTCATTCCCAGTTCCACACATTTCTGGAGAGGCTGGCTGCACCGGCACTCCTGGTTTTTCCATTTCTGCCCATAGCAGCTGCTGGGGGGAATGCAGCTGAGCTCAGAGGGAGGGGGCGTGGGGGGCAGACGGCACCCACCCTCCTTGTTCCACTCCTCCGTGAATTTACGGCCACGCTGCTTTTCAAGAGGCCAGGGCCGTTGCCGTGCCTGATCCGCAAATGGGATGGAGCAGGTTCTTGGCCCAGCATGCTCCTACCACAGCGCACTAAAATCGTTAGTCTCTCAGGACAGACCCTGTTGGAAGTTATTCTTCCAAACCCTGTTTTATGCAGGTGAAAATAAGGTGGGGGAGATTTTAATCCAGTTCAGGGCAAGCCTGTTCAAAATATTACAGAGCAATGGAGGGCAGGAAGGCAAGGGGGGAGAGCCACTGTTTAGGGGCTTTATGCAGGAAGGCACATCCACACAGACACACCACTAATATTTGCTCTCGGCTCGATCATGTTTCGGCTTGGTTTTTTCTCAACTTCCCTCTGCAGCCATGTTGCTCAGATCTACAGATCATGCAAACACAGAATGAGGAAGACGACCCAACGGGCATGCCAGTCACCCCAAAAGATGCTTCCCTCAAGGAGTGGCCATTGCAAGTACATCAGCATACAATTACACACACATGCAGGAATAACAGAGGCGAAGCGCGTTGAGCACCGAAAGCAAACTGGGATGGGTGCATCTCCAGGCTTCCCTTCCAAAAGGCCACGCGTGTCCCCTTGGGTAGGAAGGCCCAAAGGTGTGGGGCCACCCCTGAGAAAGCCCCAGCCCCAGTTCCACCAGCCCCACTGTCCTTGCTGAGGAGCTGCAGAGCAGAGCCTCCGATGCAGCCGCGCTTGGGTGCGACTGGCCCGTCAAACGACGAGTGCCCAGGCTGGAGCTTGCCGGCCCCGCGGCTGCGCCTCGCAAGAGCTGCTGGCTCACCTCGTCCCTCCAGGCACGCAGAGGAGAGGAGATGGAGTAGCACCTTCTGCCCACTGTGTATTTTCCCTCTGGGTGGCTCGGAGGGTGCAGCCCAGAGGGAGGCAGATGGCCGGGAGCTTCAGTTTGGGCCACGTAATGGTCCCGGTAAGGCCAATAATGGGACGCTCTTCTCCTCAAGTTCCTGCCTGGACCTTAAGCACTTCAGCAAAGGCCCTCGCTAAGGTACCACTTCTAAGGCAAGCCAGGTCCATGTGGTGCCCCATCTGTGGAACGTGCTCCCCCGGGAGAGCCACCTGGTGCCGTCCTTTTGGGGTTAGCTGCAGCCTTGGTGAGCTGCCAAGTCCCACGCATTTTGTGTTACTGTTCTGAATGTTTTTGCTTGACACTGCACACCACCCAGACAGCCCCGTGGGCGATGGGTTGGTTTATACATGTAATAAATACTATCAGGGACATGTCCCAGGAGGCCTCATGACACCTCATGACACCTCAAAGCCAGCTTGAAAATATAAGGGAGTCCATCTGACCTGCAGGAAGAAAAGGTGCTGTGTGATCTCCTGCAGAAGCTCCTCCTCAACTTTCTCTGGGTAAAACTTTGCCAGGAAGCAAAAGCTCACCGGCTCTTCCTTGGGGATGTCCTGATCCAAAACCTGTTCAAAAGAGAAGAGAATGAAAGCCGCTGAGCGACAGCGACTGGGAGAGCTGGCACAGTTGCTGCTTTCACATCTTGCTTTTGCCATGAATGCACAAAGAAGCCTTGAGTTGGCTGGGAATGATGTGTTTTGCAGTCCAACCCATCTGGGAAAGGCAAGCCCCTCTCTGCCCCGGCCTTGGCACACGCACATCCATCCGTCGATATGGCGACAGCAGTAATACCGACTCGGCCTACAGGTTGGGATGCAAAATTTGGAATCCAAATGGGACGGACATCGCGCATACTCTGCCATCTATCACAGAGTTGCACAAATTTGGGAATGCTTTCCACCCCACATTTTAACCACCGCTCCTGCAAGATGGCCTGCACCTGCCAGGTGCCCTCCAGGTGTTCTGGACAGCGGCTGTCATCTGCACCTTCGACCAAGCTGGTGGGACGGATGGGAGTCGCCATCCAAGGCAATTGGAGGGCGCCAGGTCGGAGGAGGCCGAGGCTGGTTGCTGCGCGTGACAATGGCCGACTTGAACGTACGAGCCGCACCGGTGGCTTGCGGAGTCACCTGCTGCCACCCACCGGGGCTTGTTTAAGCCATAGCGATCATCTGCGTCTCTGCTGCTGTTACTTGCAGCTCTGGCGAAAACACCACTGCTTCCTCCCAGCCTCTGTCGGCGTCAGTGGCGAGCAAGGAGAAGAGCTGTGACGGTGACAGTGGGGATGCGGAAGGCGGCAGCCAGGCCTCCGGCTTCCGGGATCATAACGCAGCCCCGAGATCCAGCAACCCGCAGAAGACACGCCTCTGAGCAGCCAGCACGGAGCACAGGGAATGGCGCCGACAGCCCAGCTGAGCTCAGCCCACTGCCCTCCAGACACGCAAGTCCACCTTGATTGCTCAGCCCTCCCTTTTTTGGGGCAGCAATCTGTGCCATGAATGTTTTACATTGGTTCGATCTTGCATTATATATGCATTTTAATTTGAACCAGTTAAAGTCATTTGAGAAACATACATTAAGCAGCTCAGAAGGACCAGGAGAAGATGGGATCGTGCTCCGGCTGTGGAGTATTATGGGCAGGCAGAGGCAGCAGTGTCTTCTCCAGCACTAGCTGAAGGGGTCATGGTGACATTCAAAGCAGCAAAAAGCTGATCTGTAAACAGTACTCATGGGTGCAGTGTCGAATCGTTCACAGACATGAATACTGGGCTTTCTTGTTTGCAGCTCAAATCGCAGACACCGACCCTTGAAAATAGCTCTCAGCTTTCTCTAGGGCAGCCTTCCCCAGCCTGCAGAGACACAGGAATTCTTGGCCCCAGAGCCAAATTCCACTGCAGAGACACTCCCAGTGGCCACATCCCAGTGGTGTGTGACACCCCAGGAGAAGAGAGAGGGTGAAAAACATCAACTTATCGTAGCTTAAGGGGACAATTCCCCATTGTACTGGGGAGTACCGGGAGTTGCAGGACCTTTTCTGAGTAAATCTGCACAGGACAACTCTTGCTGCTAGAAAGCGAGACTTAGGAGAGGCATTCTGCCCTTTTAAAATGCAGACGGGGGAAAGCTGCACGCAAACCCAAGCAGAAGAAACGTGGCCAGAAGAAAGGAGAAGGGGAAATGGCTGCCTGGAGCCGGAGGGGTGGGGAGAGGGGCTCCTCACCCACTGTGGCTTTTCTTTTGAGCTGGACAGGAGCTATCCAGGGGGTTCCGTCACAACGAATCTATGCTGGGCACACAGGTCAGCACCCTGGTCAGATCCCATCAACCTGAACAGGCCAGCCATGCCGGATGACGTGCCCCTTACCATGGGAGTCACCAGCCTCCCCTGACCCAAGCATGCAGATTTGTCCCCTGGCTGGGAATTCTCCACCCTCTCATGAAGCTCCCCCATTTCAAGCTGATGGCGAGCATCCAGACCTTCTTATCCATCTTCAGCCAGGTTCCTAGCCCTCTGGCGGAGTACTGCAAGCCGAAGAACCACGATTCCCGCAGACCCAACGCACGGCACACCTGGTCAAACAGGTCTTTCCCCTTCCATTTCACCTATGGACAAAAGGCCAAAAATCCATTAAAAACATGGAAACAGAGCGAGTCAGAAGGGGCCTCCCAGGCCATCTAGTCTGACCCCCGGCTCCAGCCGGCTCCACTCACGACATGCCCACCATGTGCATGTCCAGCCTATCCTTGAACACCCGCACCGATGGGGCCTCAACCACCTCCCGTGGAAGCCCATTCCACACCCTCGGGGTCCTGACAGTCAGGAAGTGCTTCCTGGCATCCAAATGGAACCTGGGTTCCCTGAGCTTGGCTCCGTTGGAGCGCGTCCTGCCTTCCTCTGCAGGGGAGAACAGATCTCTGCCCACCTCCGTGTGACACCCCCTCACATACCTGTATGTCGCCAACACATCCCCTCTGAGCCTCCTCTTCTCCAGGCTGAAGAGACCCAGTTCCCTCAGTCTCACCTCGTATGGCATCCCCTGCAAACTGGCCACCCACCTTGTGGCCCTGCGCTGCACTGATTCCAACCTGGCTATATCCTTCCTGCAACGAGGGGCCCAGAACTGATTACGGCTGCAGAGCCAGATTCCAGAAAGGGAAGGCCTGCTCTTTAGATGCCCTAGGTGAGTGTTTCCAGGCAGCGCATCTATTGGAGCGCAGAAAATGCACAACTGTGCATCAGCACAGAAAAGGCATACCTCATGAAGCCGTGTGCAGGCTTCACTTTCATGATTTCACCTTTAAAATGAAGTTTCAAGTTCCTAGCCCTTATGGCTGAAAATGCCAGTTGCCAGGGAGGTGACTGAACACACATTTCAGTGGAATTAATTATTTCTGGATTATATTTTTAATCTGTCCAATAACCAATATTTCCGCAAATTCACTGCTCAGGAGAACAACAGTCCAAGGTGCTGTGCTGCTTGTGGGTACAGACACACAAGAATTTTGTTCCCATTTGTAAATCATGTGAGCAGGAGTACCTTTCTCAGGTAAGGTACATTATTTCCCACACTTGCATTCATTTCCAAAGTGAGTGCAAGTGCTCACTTCCAAAACATGCATTTCCCCACCTATCCAAAAATTCACATTTTCACACTTCAGTCTATGAGGGGCAAACTGTGCATTTGGGATACATGTTTGAAGTGCCTCCATTTTTCCTGTTTGCGGGAGGAACATTTGCATTCAGCAGCAGAAACAAAGCAAGCATTGAGGGAGAAAATGGGGAACCTCACAAGTTCAAATATTGCTTGTGCTGCCGTGCCTATTTGCTGGTTTTCTAAAGGCATCGGGTTGGCCATTGTGAGAAAAGGGACCCTGGACAGATGTGCCTTCGGCCCTGATCCAGCAGGACTTCCTCTATGGCTTAGCGTTTCATCTGCACCGCTGCTAACCGTGGCTTATGCACCCTGGTTAACCATGGTTTGCAAAGTCAGCTACTTCCCAGGCCTATGGACTTTGTCCTCCCAGAACTGGACACTTGTGTTTTGAGGCTTTCCTTTTGGACACTTGTGTTTCAGGGTGTTTTGGGACTTCTCTCCTCTTTAGCAAATATCCAGACCTATATTCAGACCTCCACAAACACACTGAGAGGGTGCTCCTGACTCCCCCATGCTCATGGATTACATTTCATCCCAATCTGCCGGTGTGAAGGTAGGAAGAATACTAAGGCTGTAATTTCTGATCTAAATGAGTAGTTAAGAGTCTTCGGCTGATGGAATGAGGGCAGCTTCAAAGGCATGTCCCAACAGCAAGGAGGAAAACACGCCAGTCCCCACCCACCCGCCGCCCCTGGCACAAGGGATTCGTACAGGCAGATGGAGTTTGGCAAACTCCTTTACAAAACCAACAGTGGAAGCACTTTCATGCCAGCAAGATCCTTCCCTTCAGAGTGCCTGCCTGCCGTGTCTCTGCACGTCCTGGATCTCGGCGTGCCACCGGATAGAGAAGGAGCAAGGCAAGAGCAGCCCAAGAGGGAGGCGGTGCTTTGCTGCATCCTCCACTGAGAATGATTTGGCGGCCGGCGGGCGATTGCCTGCCCCGAGCAGAGGCTGACGGAAAGGTGGCCGAGGCTGCAGTTCACAGAGAGCACAGCGGGCGGGCTCGAAGCACCCGAGCAACTCCTTCTTGTGGAACCCAGCGGCTCTCATGGCCCAGCAGCCAAGCACAGCAAGAAGCTTGGAAAGAACAGCGCCTGGCAGAGTCCCGTGCGGAAGACTTTTCCTGAAAGGACTGGGCGGATGAATATGCCCTCCTATTATTCCATGAACCCCAGCGTGCTGAAAACGCGCTCAGCCCAGCTCTCCCCAATCTGATGCTCTGTGGTTCCCATCGTCCACAAGCTGACTGGGAATGATGGAAACTGTGGTCCAATATATCTGAAGGGCATCAGGTTGGGGCAGCCTTGTTCAGCTGAAGTTTTGTCAAGATGTCCTGGATTTCTTTGCGCAGGCAGATTTTTGCAGGAATGGGAACCCTCTGAAAAATGCAAACCTTCCCTCTCAGATCTGGATCCTGAAATATTTAGGTAAAACTTGGATTCCATCTACTGCCTCCACCTGTACCCCCAAAATACCCACCCAACATTACCTCACAGCTGAACTCCATCTCAGTATCCACGGTTGTCACTTTAACTTTAAACGTCTTCGGCTGCTTCTTCTTCAGGCCAGTGATAGACATGTTTTTAAGCCTCCAGGCGCACCCAACCTAGGACTGCACAAGAGAAGCGGCCGTTGGGAAAAGGGACAAGGCATGGAGGACGGGCAGTGCCAGGTGCATCCCTGTTTGCGCAGGAGCCCGGCCTGTCGTGTGGCTGGACCAACAGCTGCTCAGATGCACGGCCGGCCGGCCTGCGGGCTCCACCGAGCCAGGGGCGGATCCAGCCTCCATCATTTGGCTAAGCTTTTCCTTCAGCCAGGACACTGCAGCCTAAAAGCAAGTCCTCTTTCTGCGGGGGCTACCTATGCTTTTTTCTGGAAAGCTCGGATGATTATTCATTGTGAGTGGTCTTACAGGTGAGGCTCCCAGGGTCACACGCATCAGGAAACAGCTAAAGATACTGGTTCATAGAACATGTCAAGGGTGCAACTCTAAAAGTCCCAGCATTCCCTGGCCAGCACGGGCTTGGCAATGGGTTCCATGTTTAAAGACACAGACCTTTCACTGTCTAAACATGCACCAGATTGTAGGACTTTTTCTGGCTCAGCATGCATTAGGATCTCACCCTATTTTTTAAGTTTTAAAAGAAGTAAAAATGATTTGAAATCTTTTTAAAAAGGAGATAAATGTCCGAACAGACAAAACATGGGAAATGAGGAACAAATGTATTACAAAGAACGATGCTAGCGAATCACAGTTTATTTTTAAAAACTTGAGAGAATATGAGTTGTAGTCCAACATGTCAGGACACCAAACCAGGGACAGCCGCTCCGTTCTTCACCCTCGTGGGGTGAGGCTGATCTGTGCTGCCCAGCACCAAAGGCCAGGGCAAGCAGGAAAGGTGCAGCCCGGGGCAAGAAGCGCCCCGTTAACATGTGGGGAGATGGCCACAGCGAGCGAGAAGTGCTTTGCGGATCCACTCCCATGTGCTTGTCATTCACTGTAATATCATCATCAGGATGACAACCCTGTGAGGCAGGCTGGCCTGAGAGCCCGTGACTGGCCCAAGTCACCCAGTGAGCTCCACGGCTGAGTGGGGGCCAGAACCCAGACCACTGGAGTCCCAGTCCTGTTCTCTGAACCAGACACCATGCCTAAGGCCAGCAGGCTAGCTCAGGGGGACTGGGGGAGCCGCCCCACCGCAGCTGCCTCACTGTGTCTGATCAGGGAGAGGCTCTGCCTGAGCTTTGGCTGCCGGTGGCCTAGGAACCAGCTCTCCACAGAAGGTCCTGATAGGGGAGCAAGCGGTCTCATGACAACGTCCCTGCAGAGCAGGCTGGATGAGACCCGTTTTGCAGCTGGGAGGCCTGAGGTAGAGAAAGCGGGAGACACCCAGCCCGCCCACCGCCACGGTGGGCTTCACGCCTGGGATGCCTGACTCCAGCCCGATGACCCGGGGCTCTGCACGCACACAGGGGCTGCCGGAAAGGCTGGTGGGCCCTCTCGGAGAGGGGCTCGACTGGCTCTCACCGCCCCGCCACAAAAAGCCCCTGCTTGTCTTGCACGCCAGCCTTCACTGACCTGGTGCCTTCCAGATGTGCTTGCTGAACAACATCTGGGGGGCAGCAGGTTGGCAAACTGCTCTCTCCCTCTGCACCCAAGCAAAGGGGGAAATTTTTGAAACTATGGCTGTCCCGCGGGGTGAAAACACAACTACAGGGCTGGCCATATCCCCGGGAAAATGTAGGAACCAGGGCCCGGACTCTCATGGGTAATTTCACAGCAGAGCACCACCAAACCGCACACAGCGGCCAAGCCACAAGCGCCAGCATTTTTAGCGATAAGCCCGTTCCCAGCGCAAACACACCCTGCGTCACTAGCAGAACTGACGGCTGGAAAGGGGAGTGGGGAAGAACAGCTCTGCAGAAACGGAATGCACCTCGCAAGTCCTTTTCACAGTGTGACTCGCCCTGCTTGCTTCCCTGCCTCCTTCCTGCACTTCTAGTTTGCAGCCCAGAAATTAACGCAAGAAATTAAATCTGCAGGAGCAGCACGCTAAACAGTGCCATCTCCCCGCAGCCCTCACTTTTGTTGCCGATCCTGTTGCTTTGATTGCAAACAATTCAGGGGTCTGAATGAGGGACCTAATCCAACTGCTTTCTTACCTCTGGGGTTTCCTGGATGCATAAATTCCACAGCAGAAGTCAAATTGGCTTCCTAATTCCTTCTCTGACTCAAGGAGGTTAACAGAAAAAAGCATTTAATCCTAAAGGTCGCAGTGTATCATCGCCCACATTCCCACAAGCATGGTAAAAAATAGCACCCAAGGACTGCTATGCTCCTCTGTCTGCGCTAAACCAGAGCATGTCAGCTCCACCGCCTTCGGGGAAATCAAAGAATTCACTTTGCAGGTGATGGGAGGCTGGCAAGCCATTTCCTGCAGGGGGCTTTTCAGGCTCCTCCCATCGGCTTCCCCACAGATTTTAAAACCAGGACGGCTCAACATTTTAAGATCTTTTAAATCTCCAGACAGACGAAAAACCAATGCAACTTGTGCAGAATGCTCAAGCATGTTGCTGACGTTCAGGAATAAGTACCGGTCACACTGACTGCTGGTGCCCCACCAGCTACAAATTACAAACAGCTATGCGAGAAGAGGTAGTCCAGCGGACGGCGTGTTCGAACTGAATGAGAGCAACAGCCCTTCAGGTAAGCTGGGGTGGAGAAATGTTTCCCCTCACAAGGTCCAAGGCAACCTCAGAGAAGCTCTTGCGCAAAAACCCAGTGGTGCGATGGGACCTAAGTGAAAGGTAAAACAACAACCACAACCCCCCCCACACACACACACACGCACATTTAATCTTAAGCTCTTACTGCCAGTAAGCATCCACATTGAGGCAGATTTCCACCTTTTAGAAAGGGGGCAAAACTGCACAAACACTAGAAAAGCACCAAGTTTCCTGCCATGAGCAGAAGAAACCGGTGCGGCCCCCGGAAAAACCACAGAGGGCCAGATCTGGTCCCACGGAAGGCTGGACTTGGCCACGGAGCCCGACGTTTTGCACCTGTGAGAGAATCCGACAAGCCTAAAGTTAACTGAGCCAAGTTTATCGTTTTCCTATCCTGACCCCACAGAGGATCTAAGTGGCTGCATCTGAAATGCATGTGCATCCTTCTCCTCTCCGCATCTCCCGGCCTTTCCCCAGGGTCTCATTTGAAGCTGGAATCTCCCTGGAGCACAGAACTTCTTTGATTACCTTGAAAACAGACCAGGCACATTAATGGTGCAATAGGAACACTCAAACGTATTTCAGCCGCATCTTGCTGTTGGATTTCTGTAACGTGCTCTATGTGGGGCTGCCCTGGAAAATGGTCCGGATGCTTCAACTGGTACAAAATAGAGCTGCCAGGTTGCTGACAGGGACCAGCCGTTATTCCCATGTAACTCCGGTCCTCTACCAGCTCCACTGGTTTCCGGTTGAAGTCCGGGCCCAATTCAAGGTATAGGTTTTAACCTATAAAGCCCTAAACAGCTTGGGACCAGGATACCTGAAGGAACATCTCCTTCCTTATATGCCCTCAAGCTCTGCGGGAGAGGCCCTGCCCTGGGAACCCTCCCTGAAGGAGGTAAAAAGGACATCTACTCGGAGCAGGGCCTTCTCTGAGGTGGCACCCAGATTGTGGAATGCATTCCCCAGAGAGGTTCACCTGGCGCCAAGCCTATATTCTTTTCAGCACCATGTCAAAACCTTTTTATTTAAACATCATTTTAAAAATTAGTAATTTTAGCAGTTTAACAGTTGTTTTTGATTTATTTTTACTGGTTATATGTTATTTTATTGTATTGTTTTATTGATTGTTCTTATTGGCTATTGGTTTTAATAATGTAAGCCGCCCTGAGATGTTGTTGTAAAGGACGGCATATAAATATTTTAAATAAATAAATAAAACAAAATCTTACATCTTGCCCTGCATCACAACAGCTTGTGTTGTTTGGCCTCCTGGCACTTTCTGTAAAACAAACTACATTCCACATCATGATTTCTTATGTGCTGATTGAGTCAATCATTAATTCGATATACTGATACTGCCTGCATCATTCAGAAATACAAATCTTACAAACGCCAGTGTTCTTGACTGTTTAAACATGTTTTTATCATCTATGTTAATGATTTTATATTCTGTTTTAATTTTTTACCGTTTTAGGGCACTGTTCTATGGCTGTTTAGACAGTGTTGTTGTCCAATGAATCCAGGAGCTGCTGGACTTCTTTCTCTTGAAGCAGGTGTAGGAATGTCCCCTTCATCTTTACAAACTTCCCAGGGAGTGTTAGCTATTGGAGAGTTTAGAAAAACTTAATAAAACAGTGGCTGAATAAAGGAGTTGCACACAAGCATATAATCCATTTTCAAAATCAGCTCTATCACAATTGAAGAAATTAAGCCACATTTAAGGCTGTTAAAACTACCTGTATTAACACCTAATCAGAATAAACAAGGTTTGGTATGAAGCAGAAAGCAGGGATTTCTACAATTAAGGGGCCAGCACCAAAAAGCCCCTTCTGAACTCTGCTGTTCTGGCCCACAAGAACATCTGTCGCTTTACACTTTATTAAGGTCCCACAAGACTCTTTGTTGTTCACATTATCTTGTGGGGTTGCTGTGAAAAATAAGACGGGAAAGGCCCATGTCCAGCTCTCCAGGTTTCATGGGGAAAGGTTGCAAAATCAATACAATTAATACAATTTTATGGTTGTTTTTGGTAGACAGGGCTAGCAGTGGTCAACACTTTACATGGGTTATCACTGACAGAATCTCAGATTTCCATTTGCAAGGAAATGAACACTCCAGTCCGTGGGAAAGATCAAACATTTGAACCTCTGTGGCTTTATTGATCAGTGGCCCAGTAGCTGCAGTCACTAACGATAATGCATTGCCAGGCAGAGGTAAACTCAATTACACAATCACTGCCCATGTACAGACACTTTTATAACCTGCTCATCACATACTCCAATGCAGAGTGTTGGTTCAAGAGCATCTTGATGTCTTTAGGCAATGTTCTAAACCGATCAGAAATACTGCTCACAGTAGAAAACACGGAAAAGATTAGTGATTGCTTTATTGATAGGTCAAGCTAGTAAATTCTTGACAGTTCAGGTCAGCTGGTCTGCCTGTTTAAGCAGGCAAATATGTCTGACGGAGGGACCATTCAGGAAATCTGGTTGGGCAGCTACACTCCGCAGGGGCTTGCCTCTGTGGTAAGAGATGCTTAGGTGGGTTCACTCAGAAGCAAATGGGCACCACTGTTTCAGCTTTTCTGCAGCTGATGAGAACACGGGCACTTCCTCCCTAACAGTATTCGCCTCCAGCAGCTTCTCCGTCCAGCTGAGAATGCCATCTTCTTAAAGTAACAGCAACGCCAAGCCATGACCTGCCTTGGAAAGCTGCTGCCTTCTGAGATAAAAGGAGCAGGTTTGATTTTATAACACAAAGGCACATAGAAGCAACGTTTTTCTACCAGGATTTATCTGAAATTTCCCAACATCATCAGGAAAAGTGGGTCCTTCCTCAAGTTGATGACAGCTGGCATTCCAAACCGCTGGCAGGGTAGGCGCAATAGAAGGAGAGAAGGAAAGGGAAGCAAAGAAAAACGTAACAGGGATTCTTCACAGTAGCAAATGCTAGATTAACAATTCTCTCCTCAAAACTAATGCCAAGTAACTCATATTTGAAATGTTTTCAAAATTAGATCTAAACCATTATTTTTAATGAGCCCGTGTGGTAAGGTGGAAATGCTGGAGCGGGGGCGTGGGATATCCGGGTGGTGGCCCCCACTTGGCCATGATGCTCACGCGGTGACTTTGGGCCAGGCACAGACTCCCAGCCCGGCCTACCTCACAGGGTTGTTGTTGTGGGGATAAGACTGAGAGCAGCAGGAGACTGACGGAAGCCGCTTTGACTTCTTGGTAAGAAAGTAGGCGGGATCTAAATCTAATAAACAAACGAATACATAAATAACAGATACATTAATTGACTCCAACGGCGAAGAACGGACATGTCGAACATTAGGTGCCTTGCATTGCATTTCCTCTCCGCTTTGTGGTGGGAAAGTGAACCTAAGAGCCGCCGGCGCGGGCGAACGCGAGCAGAGCCTTCGAGGGGCCGCCCCGCCATTCCTAGAAGGGCTGCGGCGGAACCGGCGGCTCGCCCTTCCGCTTCCGGTCCCGCCCCGCCGCTTCCTTTTTCCGGTCCCAGCCTGGAGTCAGTGACGAGAGTGAGTGCTTCAGCGGCGGTTATGGGGGGCGGTGCGGACGGTGGCCTTGCCCCGGGGGGCAGCGGGGGAGGCTTTTCTCCCTCTGCGGGGCAGGGGCCTGGTGTTTCTGGCAGGGGCTCGTTCGCGCAGAGGGGGAGTTGGAGATGCGCAGAGCGCTGGTGGGTAGCCTCCCCGCCCTCTTGGATTGGCCATTCGTTTCCATCCTGATCCCGCGAGGCCCGCAGCTGGCCGTGGATGATGGGGTTGAGTCCAGCCTACCTGGTGGGCGCCAGGTTGGAGCGGGGAAGCTGCTCTTAAGGTGTGCAAGTACAGTGCAGTTCCATTCTAGCTTCAAGCAGCAGTCCCCTAAATTCAGTGCGGCCTGTTCCCAGGAAAACGTGCATAGGATTGCGGCCTCCATTCCCCCTTTTTAGCCTTAACGTGCTTTTGGAGGGCATAAAAATGGAATGTTAGATCAGCTTCCTTGTTTACAACAGACTGAATCTGAAACAACATCCTTTCCTGCCTTTGGCACCGGCCACCTGTGGGCATCAGGTTCTTAATAAACAGCAGCAATTCAATCTCTGTTCTGTTTTTCTTTTGTTAGCATGCTGCGGTCTTAGCCTGTAAAAATCTTCACTTACGAGAAGGGCTCTGCTTATGAGAAATAAGCAGACAAGTAAAACAAATTGCAGACTAAGAAATATGGGAGTTTAGTAATCAGACTGAACTAACTGGGATCTTCCTTTGTTTAGATCATGGCTCAAATATGAGCAAAATTTATTAATTCAGCGGAAGTCTTTCTAAGTAGTTTTGATCAGCCACTGCATTTGCTGTTGAAATTATCCTTGCGTTTGATTCTCAGGGTACTGGTGATCATACCTGAGGTATGTCTGTGTTACGCGGTGCTGTCCACGCAAAATGGATCATAGGAAAAGTCATTGGGACCAAAATGCGCAAAACAGCCAAAGTGAGAGTAACACGGCTGGTGCTGGATCCTTACTTACTAAAGGTAAAGCTTCCTCCAGAGTTAGGAAAACCAGGCAGAAAAGCTACCACGTCTGTTAGTCTCTTTGGACTAGTATTGTAGAATATCAGTTGAAGAAATAAAATAAATAATAAATGTGCGGGTCTGTATAGATGGCGGCTATAGCTGTCCTAGGGTGACTATCTCTGATACTCAAGCTATAATTTTCTGGCTGCTTAATCACAATATTTGCAACATAGATAGGCCCAAAGATAGAAAAATACCTAGAAAATTAAAGCTGTGGTGTTGCCATCCTCTCACTTGGGAGTCTTCACTCCAACCATGAAGCTTACTTACTTACTTAATTAGGGAACTTCTATGCCGCCCCATTCGCCGAAGCCTCGGGGCGGCTCACAACCATAAATAAATAGAATCCTATAAAACAATATAAATTAAGTCGCCCTGGCCAAAGAATAAAATAAATAAATATTAACAATTAAAATAACGTTTGAATAGAAAGGTCTTTGCCTGGTGCCGAAAAATGAAGAGTTTACTGGGTACCCCTTGCAACTCTCAATGGGATCTACCTCACAGAGCTGTTGTGAGGATAAAATGGTGAGGAGGAGGAGGATGACATCAATCATGGATGGCACTTTAGGTTCCTTGCCAGAGGGGGGACAAAGCACGATAGACATGTTGTGCTAATTAAGTCGAATTCCCTGGCACTTGTCTCTCCTTCCTCTCATACTTCATTTAATTCTTCTAACCTGTTCACAGGAGATACCAGCACTCACTCTTGAGACCTGCAGTTCTTGAGAGAGCATGTTTCCCAGGGTGGTGCATTGTCCTCCAGCTCTCATGCCATAAGTCCTGTTCAAGGTGCTTGCACGCACATGCTTGCACAAACAAATGCAGCGCTGTCTCTCACTTTCTCTCTCTCTCTGGGCCTGAGCCACTAGCTCCCTGTTCAGAACATTGCTCATTTTGTGCTAACACTGCTTCTGATCATCTCTAGAAGATCTGGTCATGCCACCTAAAATGAGTTGCTAACACGTTCTGAGAACTTTCTTTGTTTTCTTCTAATTGGGGTACATTTTATTCTTCTTTTAAGCATTTTAACTGAACCATTTGTGTTTTAAACTTAAGTGTGTAAACTGCTTCTAGATGTGCTTAATGTAGTCAAGGCATTATACATTTATTTAGTAAATAATAAATATAATTTTGCAGAAACATCCTCAAGAATAAGCTACAACTTAACCAGTGTTTTCTCTTCATGGTTATAGTTTTTCAGGCTTTGACTAGTAAAATGCATCCAATTTCCACTGTAACATTTAGGTATAGTATGTGGCTTGCCTCCCCCCCCCCCCCCCCGCCCGCCCGCCCCCTTTCAGCTTCAGCTGCTACATTGGTTCTCTATCCTAGATCCCATGTAGGAGAATTGTTAACATGTCAGAGTAGGAATGAGGAGAACTGGGGTAACTATTACTCAGTATATAACCTTCAACTAAGTGGTTGTCCCTGTCTAACCTGCCTCCATAAAGTTAGTGAACGGGTTCAGACAGCTTAATGGCCCTGATTTTGCTCTGCTCAGAATAACAGCACCACTCCAAAGAATCCTTATGCCCTTTCTCCTTTTCTACTTAAGTTCTATAACAAGCGGAAGACCTACTTCGCTCACGACCCTCAGCAGCAGTGCATCGAGGGAGACATTGTTCTGCTGAAAGCCCTGCCTGAGCGAAGGAGCAAGCATGTGAAACACGAACTCGCTGAGATTGTATACAAGGTTGGAAAAGTCATTGATCCAGTGACAGGGAAGCCCTGCACAGGTCAAAGGTTCCTAGAAAGTGTAACAGACTCAGAAAACCTGACTGATAGAGATACCAGCTACCTGAGTGAAAAACTTCAAGAGCTGACTGTTTCGTCTCCAGACAAATAAACGTGTTGGAGCAGTGGGACTTTTACATGTGTCTCTTTGAAGAGATTGTATGTGACTTTGTGTGTATGTGGCCTTTTCTAATACGGCCATGATTACAATAAACTAGGTTTAACATGTGCATTTAGTTGTGCATAACAGAAGGATTCTGTTTGTTTTTAAAATACTGCAAATAGCAGAGAATGTAAGCTCCTTATAATGGATATGTCTCTACTCTGCCTGATAATATTCAGATCAATGCATAGTCATTTAGAATGTAATCCTCTCCATGCAGAAAAGAGTTCCATAACCGCGATGGAGCTCTGGAGAGATTGCCTCAGCCCTCAGCAGAAAAAAGATTGTCTACCCCTATTTTCACCCAGCCACTTAAAAGGCAGTTCTAAAGTGCTAAAATCCAATAAAACTAAAATTAGAAGATGACACACAAGAGGAAAACTCAGAATGTTAAAGGCAGATAACTCCGCCCCACACTTGATACCTATAATCCAGTTCTAATATGTGACCTACAACTTCTGGTTTTCAAAACTTGTTTTTCAGTATAGTATGCCATCACGGTTAACTGAGGGTTCCTTGCTTTAAGAAAATCAGTGAAACGGGCAGTTTTGGAAGCTCAGCGGAACTGAGACGAGGGCTTGCATGTAATATGAATTCATGGGTGTGCCCTGTTGGGGCTATGCTGGAAGTGAGTGAGCCCACGACACATTCACTTCTGCTTTGCATTTGCTTTCATGAACAGCTCTGGAGTATGCTTGGTACAGTCAGAACCTAGAACTCTAGGTTGTTGAGGGACAAAGAACTCAGGGTTCTGACCGAATAATAAACCATGTTTTGTTTGAGAAACCAAATGCGAAGCAAAAGCAGAAAACACACAGCTGACTAATTCCCACATGGCACCAGCAACACATAGTTTAAGCAACCCAAGGGTTGTCATTATGTGTGAATAGGAGCAAGATAATCCATTTTTTGAGCAAAGTAATGTTTATATGCAGCGTTTGGAATTGCACTTTTGCCAGGCTGGATGTTGAGGAAAAAGAAAAATTAGGAAGATGTTTGTGAGCTGATTCTTTATGTTCCCCTTTCAAGTTCCAAGATGATGGAAATTACAAAGGGCTAGGGATGTACAGATTTTTTTAAACCCATTTTGTCTGTAGTTGGCAGATTGTCAGGTCTCCACTCATTGACAGAATTGGCCTTTTAATTTAGGGTTATATGAGAACATTCTTCCTGTTTGCAACTGTTCATTAGCACCCATGCACTCTTACGCAAATCCCTCACCCACTAAAAAACAGTCTGCAAGTCTGCAGAATCTACATGATGCAGAAAAAGCAAGCCTGCTGCAGAATGGGTCAAAGTTATATGTGGAGGAAACATTAATTAGTGGGTATCAACAGATGGGCCTTAGGAAGTCTGAGCAACAACAAAGCTAGTGGAGGCGACGGTATTCTAGCTGAGCTATTCAAAATTCTAAAAGACAATGCAGTTAAAATGCTACACTCAATATGCCAGCAAATTTGGAAAACTCAGCAGTGGCCACAGGATTGGAAAAGGTCAGTTTACATTCTGATCCCAAAGAAGGGCAATGCCAAAGAGTGTTCGAACTACCGCACCATTGCACTCATTTCACATGCTAGCAAAGTGATGCTCAAAATCCTACAAGCTCGGCTCCAGCAGTATGTGGACCGAGAACTACCAGAAGTACTGGCAAGATTTCGAAAAGAAACAGAAAACAGTGAGTCAGAAGGGGCCTCCCGGGCCATCTAGTCTGACGCCCGACTCCAGCCGGCTCCGCTCATGACATGCCCACCATGTGGACGTCCAGCCTATCCTTGAACACCCACACTGATGGGGCCTCAACCATCTCCCGGGGAAGCCCATGCCACACCCTCGGGGTCCTAACCGTCAGGAAGTGCTTCCTGGCATCCAAATTGAAGCTTGGCTCCCTGAGCTTTGCCCTGTTGGAGCACGTCCTGCCTTCCTCTGCAGGGGAGAACAGGTCTCTCCCCACCTCTGTGTGACACCCCCTCACACACCTGTGTGTTGCCAGGGAGAGGAACTAGAGGGAGAGGAACTAGAGTTCAAATTGCCAACAAACGCTGGATCATGGAGAAAGCTAGGGAGTTCCAGAGAAACATCTACTTTTGCTTCATTGACTATGCTAAAGCCTTTGACTGTGTGGATCACAACAAATGGTGGCAGGTTTTCAAGAGATGGGAATACCAGACCATCTTATTTGTCTCTTGAGAAACCTGTGTGCGGGTCAAGAAGCAACAGTGAGAACTGGGCACGGAACCACTGATTGGTTCAAAATTGAGAAAGGAGTTCGGCAAGGCTGTATACTGTTGCCCTGCCTATTTAACTTCTATACAGTGCACATCATGAGAAAGGCAGGGCTGGATGAATGACACGTTGGAATTAAGTTTGCCGGTAGAAATATCAACAACCTCAGATATGCAGATGATACCACTCTAATGGCAGAAAGTGAAGAGGAAATAAAGAGCCTCTTGATGCGGGTGAGCAGGAGAGCACAAAAGTTGGCTTGAAACTCAACATTAAGAAAACTAAGATCATGGCATCCGGTCCTCTCACTTCCTGGCAAATAGATGGGGAAGAAACACAGAAACAGAGCGAGTCAGAAGGGGTCTCCAGGGCCATCTAGTCTGACCCCTGGCTCCAGCCAGCTCCGCTCACAACTTGCCCACCATGTGCATGTCCAAGAAGAAATGGAGGAAGTGACAGATATTACTTTCCTGGGCTCCAAGATCACCGCAAACGGGGACTGCAGCCAAGAGATTAAAAGACGCTTGCTCCTTGGGACGAAAGCTACGGCAAATCTAGACAGCACACTAAAAATCAGAGCCATCAACCTGCCAACAAAAGTGCGTATAGTCAAGGCTGTGGTTTTCCCAGTTGCAGTGTATGGCTGTGAAAGTTGGACCATAAGGAAGGCTTGAGGCCTTTGAACTGTGGTGCTGGAGGAGACGCCTGCGAGTCCCTTGGACCACAAGGCGATCAAACCGGTCAGTCCTAGAGGAGATGAACCCTGACTGCTCTTTAGAAGGCCAGATCCTGAAGATGAAACTCAAATATCTTGGCCACCTAATGAGCAGGAAGGACTCCCTGGAGAAGAGCCTAATGCTGGGAACAATGGACAGCAACAGGAGAAGGGGACGGCAGAGGATGAGGTGGCTGGATGGAGTCAATGGGGCGGTGGGTGTGGGCTTGGGTGGACTCCGGGGGTGGTGGAGGACAGGAAGGCCTGGAGGAATGTTGTCCATGGGGTCGCAATGGCTCGGACACGACTTCGCCACTAGCAACAAATCAACCTGTGGCACAAAGGATACATGAACATAATTTGCTTGTAAGAGATGTCAACTGCATTTTAATTTTTGGCATTCCTGAAATCTAAAAAAATTACTGCTGGAGTCTAAAAAAACTCTTGAGTTCTGGCAATTCTATTGAAGTTAGTTTGAAAACTTTGGATTCCAATAGGTTAGAAGAGACAATCCCATTGAATTCTATCACATATTTCTGAATAAGCTTGTTTAGAGTTGAGTTGCTCAAGTGTATAGAATTAACATTCTTAGTGTTTCTTAAATTTGTGGATTAGTCACAAATAGCCATCTTTATAATACAGTTATTAGCATATTGGCCAGAATTTCATTCTTCTGGCCCACTACCAGAATGTTAGGATGCAAAGCCAGAAAAGAAGCTCATTTATTAAAAGTGTCTTGCTACCTATTATGAGTGTTTAAAACATAAAGCAAAAGATATACTGGGATAATTAGAGATGTGTTTTGGGGGGAATTTTAAAAAGCTGTTTCCTGTCAGAAAAACAGTCTGCCAGTATGCTGTAGGAGCAGACTCCCAAGGCCAGTTCTGTGGCATAACATTCAGGACCCTTCGAGGATGAAATGGACCTTGCTCATGTTCAGAGGTGCTCCGTCTTTTCTCAAGGAGAGCAACAGGGCAGGGTTGTGAATCCTTTAGCCTTCCAAATGTTGTTGGACTCCAGCTCCCTGTAGCCCCAATAAGCATGGGCAATAGTCAAGAATATTGGGGATTGCAGTCCTTTGAAATTGTTGTTGTTAGTTGCGAAGTTTGATCGCCTTGCAGTCCAAGGTACTCGCAGGCGTCTCCTCCAGCACCACAATTCAAAGGCCTCAATCCTTCGGCGCTCAGCCTTCCGTATGGTTCAACTTTCACAGCCATGCATTGCAACTGGGAAAACCTTAGCTTTGATGATACGCACTTTTGTCAGCAGGGTGATGTCTCTGCTTTTTAGTGTGCTGTCTAGAGTTGCCATAGCTTTCCTCCCCAGGAGCAAGCGTCTTTTAATTTCTTGGCTACAGTCCCCATCTGCGGTGATCTTGGGAGCCCAGGAAAATAAAATCTGTCACTACCTCCATTTCTTCTCCATCTATTTGCCTGGAAGTGAGAGAACCGAATGCCATGATCTTAGTTTTCTTATTGTTGAGTCCATCGAGATATGGAGGGCCAAACGTTCCCTACATCAGCAATAAAGTTTAGCTAGCGTACCTGCTCTATTTCTGTGCTGCTTCCTGCCTCTGGATGTCAGGTGGGAGCTACCAATGTACTGTTTTTTGCACCTCCTGAAAAACATTGTTTCAGATACTTCCTAAATTAACCAGCCATGCTTTTACGAATAAGTTGTTTTATTCTTTTGATTTCTTATTCTTTACTGCTCCATCCTGGAACACCAAACACAATTTTGTGCACTCTGTCAAGAGGAGATATGATGCTTGTGTGGAAGAAGTGCAGAGGGAGACCTTTTTCCCCCACTCCCATAAAACGAGAACCCAAGGAGGTGTGCAGTGACGAAGACGAAGGAGCCCTTCACCCAGGCAGCGTGAACCGCTGAATTCCCTCCCACAAGATGGAGACAGGGACGCGTTTCGAAGTGGGCTGGGCAGGTCATGGCTCTCCGTGGCTATTCGCCCTGGTTGAATGAAGCCCTGGTAGAGCTGCTTTGTACCCGTCGCCGCCTCCTGCCCTCAGTCGTATCCCCCAACAACCGCCCTGCGAGGTGGGCCGGGCGCGGAGTCCGCGGCGGCCCGCCTGGCTCCACGGCGAGCGGGGACCGGAGCCCAGGCGAGGCGCCCGGGGCCGCCCTCCGCCCCGCTGCGCGCTGCCCGTGCGGGGCCCCCGCGGGCCTTTAACCGGAGGCGGCACATGGACCGCGTGAATCCGTCTTAACCGCGGCGGCGGCTCAGGCCCCCTTTCCCACGACGCGGGCAGGATTCGCCGGACGCCGCTTGCCTCAGCCGAGCCCAGCCGAGCCGCCCCCCAAAAGCAGCCCGCGCCACGAGCCCCTCTCGCCGGCCGCGGAGGCAGCGACCCCCGCCCTCCTCGCCCTCAGGGGTCCCCCTAGTGGCTGCCGGGGCGCACTGCGCCCCCTCGCCGGCGCTCCCCACAGCGGAGGCGGTCAAGATGGCGGCCCGGGCGCTGCTGCGCGGCCGCCCCCGCCCCGGCGCCTTCCCCGCGCAGGGGGCGCCTTCCCGCCTTTTTCTCCTCAGGTGAGCGGGGCCGCGGGGGGG